TGAATTGTTAGGGACGGAGAGTCTGAAGCATGCTTTAAAATCGTGGCTCCTGGTGGGCTGAAATTTTCAAGAAAAACTGTATTTTTCCAACGCTGGTCAGCCGACCAGCGTTGGAGAAAACTGTTTTTTTTTTCAAAAACCGTTCTTAATTTTTCATATTTAGTTAAATTCTGACGTTTCTTTGCAATTGATCACACACCTGTGAAGGGGTACAAGCCTGCTAGACTGATTCTCTGACCTTACAATTCCCCAAAGTGTTAATTGCTTCGTTTCATCTTAAGTGGGGTCAGGGAACCAGACTACAAGAACATGATAGGTTTTCTTGGTTTTTTTTAGCATCTACAAGCCCAAAACATGAAACAAGTCAGTTTAACAATATTTTATATAACATACTAATCCTCCAAATCCATTTATTTCTGAAAATTGCAGCAAAAGCAAAAATTGTACATTCCCTTTAAAATACATGTACCGGTACTGTACATTGCACAGTATGTATACCTTACTGCATGAACATTTACTGGGAGAAATGCAAGGCATTGATCAGTTGAATAACTTGCTGATATCACTTTTTAAAGAAATACACGGACCCAACATATTTGAAACACTATATCCTAGAGCTCCTCATTCTTGGTTTTTAACTTAAAAATACATTACCTTAAAAATACAAAGCGCATTTTCAAAGATTTAGAAAGTCGCAAAATGCGTCAACAAATTATACATTGTAGCAATAATAAAAAAAAAACAATGTAATGGCTGTCATCATCCGTCAATGGGAAATTAAAAAAGAACCGACTTTCACTGGCTTCCTGTAAAAAAAATAAACAAATTTCAACTGAGGTCCAAAAGTTCCATTCCTGAGTAATGTAAACAATCTGTATCCCTGCATGACCACCATCCGTTTCAGGGATCTCACTATGCACAGGTTTAGGCAAGCATATGGGCAAGCTTATTGGAAATCATGCTGGCAAGGACTGGAAGTTCTTGCCAGATGCAAATTATCCGATGACCTGTGGCTTGACCTTGGATTTGGAGGTGGTTTTGGGTGCATGGCTTGTAAGCTGTAAAGGGCATGGCTTGGATGGAACATCTGGACAGAGTGCTTTTATTTTTGCTAGGGAAAAATTGTGGTTAAAGCATGGAGCTATAAAAAGGATGGGCAGTGCAGATGCAAAAGTGTGTCAGTGTACAAATGTATGTACGGTAGTTGCAGTACTTACATGTAGCATTTATGTGTACAGGTTAATTGGTTTGGATAGTAGACAGATGTCATTAAGCAAATGACCAGTATAATTTTATAACATTTTGTTTTCAAAATACGTAACTCTCATTACAAAATATTTAGTACCAGTAGTACTCCTGAATACAATATTATGAATTTTAGGTAATTTGAGTTTGAAACGAAGTCAACTAGAACTGCTTGGATGCATGGATCTCACAGATGAAAAAAAAAATCAAAATACTTTTTGATTAAAATGTAAGTAAAACCTATCAATTCTTTTTAGTTTTTTTTTTACTTAAACACTTTTCAACATAAAAACCCACTTCGCATACATTTTGTAGATATCTCAAGCAGAACCACAAAATCATCTATTTCTCATCAAGTACAAGGGCAGATTATCATGAAAAGAAAAAAACCACTCCAGGAGTACAAAACTTATGAACAAACCTCTTGATTGTACGCTTTGTCAACAAAAATAATATAAGTTTGCAGAGGTTAATACCTCAAACTTCAAACAGTGAGACCTTATCTTTGCCAAGCTCTTGAAAATCACAACCTGTCACTGGGAGCTCACAGTGGTCAAAATATTCCCATAAGTGGATCAAAATCTTCCTAAAATAGCTGTCAGCTTTTTCTCCGAGCAAATTCCGTCTAGAACTTACATGTTCAACCTTTGCACAATTATCAAACAACTGACAGTTACTGAAAGTGTGAAAGAAAGTGTCCTTCTTAATGGAAAGCGATTCCCAGGGAGGATTGTTGGATTCCCTCAAATTGACTATCGCCCCTCCGGCGTTTGAAGTCTCTCTTGACCCCTCTTAAGACAGACAGGCGGCGGCAGCCCAACACTTCACAAAACCGACCTAACGTAGGAAATGTTGGACTCTGGACTCTTGCAGTGGTTTCGGGTGACATTATACAATAACATGAAAGTGCCATAATAATACTCGTCAGGATAGAAAATAACTCAGAGGTGTGGATCTGCTGTGTTTTCGGGGACACCTTGGAAAAACACCTGTATTTTCTGAGTTTGGAGGATACTGGCCGGAATTCGAGCCATGAAGGAATTGGCACGTCTCTGAAAAGTGCACCTGGCCAGTATGGTTTAGATTTTATTGACTTGGCAATGGCTCGGCACCTTCACAATTTCTACTCAATAAGCCTTACTCCTATGTCACATTTTGAAAAATATAAAACACTCTGCAGGAACCCAATTAAAGGTGCACATCGTCCTGAAATCGCCGAAATTTCTGTGTTACTTAGGTAAATGTACCCTATTCAAAGGTCTGGTAGAAAGGAAATTTTAAACCTAATGTCGCACTGTTACTGAGAAAAGACGAACTAGTAACAAAATTGTGTCCAAAGTAGCCATAACCATTTCTACATTTTGTTGAAAACAACTAAGAAGACAAAATACCGGTAGTGACAAATTGCAATAGGAATAAAACAAAAAGGCAGCAGCCGGGAAAAAAAGGAAGCGGGCGGGGACCAGAAACTGATATATTTTTTTACTTGGCCTAATGTTGTTTCCCGCACGTCCGTCTGCAGCATGCGATGCGGACGTGCGAGAAACAACATTTGTGTATCAAGGTGCAGTATGTATGTGACACACACACTACACAACGAATGGACACAGCTAGAAATACGTACACCTGTATACTAGTATGCGCATGCGACAAAATGTCCGCCATCTGATGTTTATCAAACAACCAGTTTTTTTTCTTTCTTTTCTCGGAAACGGTAAGACATTCTCGTTTCCTATCAACTAGACCTTTGAAATAGGGTAAAGTATAACATTTTCGGCTGTAATGCCCCTTTAATATTTGTTGTTCTGTAACTTTTTTTGCAGTATCAAGCCCATAGTGCAAGTGACTGGGCCCTATGGGCTCCGTGCGCCGACAAAAGAGGGCGCCCTTTTACCTAGCAACAACATTCCATGGGCGGGACATTTCGCTGGTTGACGCGCACCGTTCCTTGTGTGTGACGCACGTACACCAGGGGATTTGTACTATGTACACGCAGTGGCCGCGGCTTCGCGGCAAATGAATTGCAGTCAGGCAAGATGGCGTCGGTCGGTCACCCCCAACTGTACTTCCTTTGCCGGTGAGGGGGTACTTGTGAACGGAGCGGATACATGTATACCTTTTTCAATCCTTCCAAATCCCACAGTTAAACAATTATAAAACTAAGTCTTCCAAGGAAGAAAGAATGAATTTGAGATTAGGGTCCGACCAAATTTACAGCACTTGAAAATTATCCAAATGTTAAAATTACATGTAGTTTCTCATCTCCGCCAGCTTCCGTTTTCAAGCCCGCCTCTTTTTGTTTTGTTTTGTTTTTTAATTCCACATTTGCAATTTATTTTGTAAAATGTTGTCAATATATTGTCTTTTTATTTGTTTCCTACCCAATTGTTGCTTAAGGTGATGGCTCATTTGGAGTTTGGACACACAATTTGGTATTAATTTAGCAAAATAGTCGAGAAAATGGAAGATTGCATGGATATCCGCAATCTTGAAAAATCTTGAAAAAAAGGGGGGGGGGGGGCATCCTTCATTTTTTCAAAAAGCCCAGACAAGAACTTTATTTTTTACTCAGCCTTAATGATAAACATTAAATATTTATATCAAACTCATTTCACTGAAGCTGTTACGGAATTCACAAAAAGAATACTTTTCTGTTATACTTTTTCTTCGATAAAAACAGCCACTATAGTGTTTCATATCACTGCTATCTATCTTCCATTATCAATTCCAAACAAACAAAACAACTTCTATCAATTGATAACACAAGCCTGACAAATGCATGCCTACAGCACTATTGCTCCGTCTTTAGTTAAAGATCTGAAAACAGTTTAACAATTTTACACAAACGATATCGTTATTGAATCCTCCTAGTCTCATCGTCTGAGAGGCTACAGCTCTGTCACATTTGCTCTAGAGCACAAAATCTTGATTAAACTCTTCCTGCCTGGCCATTTGATTTTCAATCCTTTTTTTCTCTTTTGTCTCTAGAGCTGTTCATATATGATTAAATCAGACACATGAAACAAACACTAGTAAGTTGGCAAATGCTTAAAATGTCGAAGGGGCTGAGTTGGTTCGCATGTCATTGAAAATCAAATTATAAAAGCTAATTCGATATTAGATATCATCCTCGGAATAATAATATACTGACACGTACATGTAGGTCTACCATTCTTATGTCTTTCCAAATGGGTTATTATGTGGAAATAATGTTGACAACACTGTTTTTATCATGTCTCAATGAAGGTCAGTCATTGCAAAAATGTTGAAGACAATGAATCTGGGACTGAGAAACATTATCATTTTTGCTAGAAAATACTTTGAAAATGCACTCAACTCTCCATAGTCCATGGACTTTGTATACATTACAACCAAATAGTTGGTGTCTGGATCCTGCATTCTTTCCGGCATTATGTAAAAAAAAAAGTAAAAAAATTAACATTTTTTCAACCACAATGCTGCACAGAGCCGTCTTGTCAACAATGGAACATATAATTTCGTAAACAAAGCTAAGACAGTGTCGCCTAAAAAAGTAAAATTACATCCAATATTTAGGGCCTCAAGGTCACAGGTTGATTGTTAGAGCACACTTTTAAACAACAACTTAGTCTGGGCATGGGCAGTTTTAGTACTTTTAAAACATGAATTCTGCAAAACACGTTTTATGTGTGATCATGGCAAATGTGGCCAGGGTGAACTCAAGCGTAAAAAGGCGAGACTAAACTAAACAAACGAACAACCAAAGATAACCCTACCTGCCGAAACACCGGAAGCTGCCAGCATCAACTGCAGCGCGACGACCCACATCACCACGCCGGCCATCGCATCGCCGCCCCGGTATCGCCTCTCCCCTCCGCGATGGTACTCAGGTCTCATCTCGGGCAAGGTTGCCGTTCAAGCCTTGCCTGAGACAAACTACCCATGGTGAGTAACGGATTCACGGAGGAAGATTTCACTACCCGGAGCCGGACTGTCAAATACTAGTGTGGAGTTAAATGACATTCAGCGTCGTGCCTGTGGCTAGGCTGTAGATTCTGCCAACACGCGTTGCATGCACGTACTATTCGCATTCATACTTGTACACACACATAAAAAAGCTTTTAAGTTTATTGCGCAAACCATAGGCGCGCGTAGTTGATGTCATACTGCCTGGGGAATGATTCCATCACATTGTGTAACGGAGATTTAGTTTCTCTCTGACAGCAACTACATGATGTAACTTATGCGGGCTGCAGGTACAAAGGAAAGTAGGAGAGCGCCCTCTATATGTCCCAAAGGTGATTTGGGGCGAAATTAAATAAAAATCGATCCTCTGGATTTAGAATGTGGTGAAAATTTAATTTCTGACTGCTGCAAATGTTCACCATCCTCCCTTTGGCCTTTTCTTTTTTGCATGGGGTCTCCCCCCAAGTTGTTTCCTTTGCCCCCACCCCTCCCCCAGTCCCCCCCCCCCCGTGTCAAAGTGTCAAAGTTCCAAAAGAAAACGTCACACTATTTTGTAGTTTACATCTTAAATTTTAATTCAATACAACAGAAAGATATTTCTTTGCATTTTCCAAAAACATTCAAATTGGATACTGTTAAAGGTCTGCTCACAACATGCATGATGCTGTAAATCAAATAAGAAAATCAGTCATACGAAAGGACTAACAATAAAACTATTTAAAAAAAAAAAAAACCTAAAAATAAAAATTAAGAAATAATTAAGGTAAAGGTAATAAGGTACAAAAACTCATCCGAAAGTGCACATTTCCCCTGCATTCCTATTTACACATATGAAAATACACATATGCCGTGTTTATTGTGTTTCGAGTCGAATATCCCTGACAATAATAATTCTAACAAATTTTACACTTAGAAAAAATGAAATTCTGCACATTATGCCAGACACGCTCGGTGATTTTACAAACACGAATTCTGTACAACACAGGAGGAAAAAAAACAGAATTAAGCTAAATTGTTGCTGCCCAAGAAAAGTTTTGAAAAGAAAAAGGTGGCACAAGCAATTTCAGCCGTGTTCCTAGTCATATGAGTCATGTTTAAATAAAATACTTCTAACTCGTCATGAGTTTTGAGTTGAACAATAACCTGCAGCTTGATCGATACACAGAGTTCCCAAAAGAAATTCTAAAAATGAAATTTCATGACTTTTCTCTGGGACTTTTTTCCAGGACAAAAGCAGGACTTGCCCAGACCAATCTCTTTGCTGTTTTGACATCTTAGGAGCCTATTGCTATAGAGGCAAGGGACGCTGCTCCCTTTCAGCCGTCCAGTTTGACACAAGACCACTGAGCACCGCAAAAGCATCAAAATGGTGCATTGAACAAGCAAGTATATAGGACATACATCCATAAAGAGGAAGTATAGCAAACTGGAATGCAAACTGGAGGAACGCAGTAGCCAAATATTACCCATCATCACTTATCGGTTGTGCATTTTTCCGTGACTTTTCCAAGGTTTTTCCCTTGAAATATAAATGGCTCCTTGTTAAATAACAAAATTCCATGATTGCTTTTAACTTCCAGGATTTGCTAGGACTTTTCCACGACTGTGGAAACCCTTATTAGGTTTTTGCCCTTCACCAACGTATAAACACTGTATACTCAGTGTGTTGCCACCCGAGTTAACGTTGGAAAAAAATCACATCTTATGAATAGTTAATGCGGTACCCGCTGCTATGTACATCAGATTCGTACCAGCCAGCCGATCCCATTAGCTCGATGGTCGAGTGGTAAGACGTCTGCACTAGAAAGCAGGAGGTCGTGGGTTCGAGTCCCACCAGAGTGATTTTTTCTAACTTTCACTCGGGTGGTAACACACCGAGTATACAGTGTTTATACGTCAGTGAAGGGCAAAAACCTAATTTGATTTACATCACCCCGACGCAAAAAAAATTCCATTTTATGTGGGGACCCTTGGAGATATAAGAGTCTTGGGAAATGAATGGAAAATGCTTCAATTTAATCTTGTCTCACAGGTATCCAAACACACCTGAGCAGCAGCATCCTAAAAATGTTTCCTCCATCAACCCTCCTAGGCAAACATAAATTATGTGCAAAGTTGTCCTTTCAGTCAAAATCAATCAAGTGACTGTTTTCAACATTTAAAAGCTCCCAGCCTACATAAAGCAGGATTGACTGGCTGTGACTGTTCGTAACTTGATACAGCTATGCTTTGACTGTGGGTGATTGATAAACCAGCTGTGCCAACCACTTGCCCGTTTTTGTCTGTTGACTGAATTTGACTAGTCACAGTGCTTGCCTGAAATATGATCTGACTGTTGGTGACAAGCCTGTGTAAATGGCATGGCAGGGAAGAGGATTGATTTTTGCTTGTCTGTAGTGTGACTGTTCAAACATGGGGAAATTCAGTGTGGGGAGGGTTAAATTCTTAGGTTTTTCCATCTAAAAGTAGGAGCACACGTTTGCAGTAACAGCAAAAGCAACATTTTCCATGGCCAACATTGCTACCCTTCATGGCCTGCATTTTTTCACACACAATCTTCACCTGACTACCAAAGTACGAAATCAATCAGACCGCTTCATACCACTTTGGACCCTTGTTCTCACTATTTTAAAGTTGCATTCCCCGTGTTATTTTGCGACTTTCACTCAAAAAATATATTTTATTTTCAACCGCTGTTTTCCCAGCAATATAAAAGTTATTCACTTTTGAGTGAGACATCGAACGAAAAACATCCACCGACATTTGAATTGAATTGTTTTCTTCCCAAAATTCAAATCATTAGCTGCCAGACAACAATTCAGCTCTTGCAGGGCGGGGTCATTTGTGTGCAAAATGAAAGCCCTTTCTTATAGGGTTGCAGATGCCCAAAGTCAAATTGAAAATTTGTTAGAAGAAAATCCATCGTTTAAAAGGCACAGGGTATGCAACTTTAATGTAATCTTTTCTTGAGCACACATAAAAAATACATACAAATTGTTTTGAAATGGTGTATATACATTTGTTCATCTAAAATATTGGGGGAGGGGGGGGGGGGAATTTACATATTTTAGGAACTCTAACCTCTGACCTGAATATGCATGCCTGCAAAAAGGCTGGTCCTTGATTCTTTATTAAGGAGAGGCAAGAACCAATAGGGTCCAATCGTATGACGTCAAAGTACCATGTGACCATTCCATTTCCCCCTGATTGGCCACCATTGCAGTAGGCAAGCGTTTCATTAGAAACCACATAGTACATTCTGTACATTGTTAACCAAACAGTAGGGCTTATTTTCACGTAAATTTTTTTATCAAATGGCACAATAGTCACTACCTGTGCCGTGTATGGTTGCCATAATCATACCGCTCCAGAACTGGGTGTTCTCTCCGTGTTTTTCTCACAGTTTTTGCCATCCATCACAGCTTTGAAGGTATGCCTACTACCTACTGCGTGGTGCACCATACAATCTTTGCCTACTACAGCGTGTGTCAATAAAAACGCAGGATTAGAAACAAAAATATTAAGAATATAAACCACCCCTATTCATCATAATGTTAACCCTCTTTTCAAAGTACCTTTCCTTCTCTTCACTATGCTTTTTATCCCATCTCATTTGGACAATCCTGTCCAGAGATAGAGTACATTGAAGAAGGGTTATAAATTCCAAGCTGGTCTGATTTGTGAAATCACACATAACTAATGAAAGGTTTGAATTCAGTACAGGTGAAAGTATTTGTGGATCACAAAGAAGGACATGTGTGGCAGGATTAGGCTTACATAATCCTTTAGTCCACAATCAATGTTATTAGTCAATAATTCATGATGCTTTGAAACAATGATGGTCCAGTTATTAAATTTAAGTGATACTTATCATCAGTTGTTTCAAAGAAAGTTTTGTTCTGGTTTAATTGGCTTCAATGCATACCTGCATTGTACATAACTGGTCGTTGTGTTAAGGTCATTGAATCAGACCAACCCGCTTCAGAAGGGCTTCACAAAACTTGTCATAACTTTTGAACCAAAAGTCCAAATTCCACCAAACAAAAATCTTGTCAAAGATGAAATTATGGACAATCAAGTCCTTATCAAATTAGGCACACCAGTAGCATAATTTTCTCAGAAAAAAAATTGCTTTGAATCCTGCGTTTTTATTGACACACGCTGTACAATGGCGGCGCTAGGCCTAGGGTCATGTGGGCCAGTGAGAGAGCCCTACACAGAAGTACGACCATTTGCCTTGCATGTTGTCATACACCGTTATATCCTAACAAAATTTACAAATCTTTGCAAACTACTGACATGCCATAAATGGAGAGTACCGTCTCGGTTTTTTTTAGCCTTCGTCACTGTTGGAGTATTTTGTTTTCCAGAGTCATTACAAGAGGTTTTTGGTTTTGGTGTTGGCATCATGGTTTCATCATGAGCTGAGGGAGCGGAATTGCTGAAATACTTTAAGGATGTTGGGGTCGGTGTCGCCAGTGAAGACTAAATCCTCTAGGGTGCCCGTGTAGGCCAGGACTTGGCTGTAATGCTGAAAGGAAAAATTACAGAAATAGAAAATCAACTAAATTGAAGTGTAGAGTGATGTAAACATGACATCACTCAAGTTGCAATCCTCGTGCAATTTTCAAGTTTCATCCTGAACAAAAGATTCCTTTTCTAAATTGATATTTTTTGTTAGCAATACAAAACTTAATTGAGACATTGGCTGAAAATAAAGATCGGCATACGTTTAGTTATTGAATTATGACTTTGGACATTTTCAATTATTTGTGGCTCAACAATAATTCCGTTCTCCATGGATATCCTGGTTCCCGTCCCACAATGAGTATTAATAATGTATTATGTGAACAAAGTTATGTATTAAATAAAAAGGTATGGACCGGTACAGGCAATATTATCGCTTAGTACATGTAATGTGTTTTTGGCTTGAGATATATTTTCTGTCCTTGACAAATTTGTGTGCGTAGTAACTCCATTAAAATTGGCCCCCACAAACTAGAAGTCAAAGAAAGAAGATATTGTTTTGTTTTTTCCACCCACCATTAGGAATATCTGCTCTAATCTCTGGATGCAGTAGTCATACCACGGCGTGTGGAACGTGACGCCGCGGTTCTCGTTGGTCACAATGTGCTCTGTCAGGATCATGATGAATCGCTGGAGTGAACAAAGGGAGAAGACACAAAAATGAAGGGGAAAAAAAGACAGATACACAAGAGACAAGAGACAAAATGCATGCCATGCATGGGCAGTGGGGGGGCACACCGCATGCATGTACTGATTCATGCACGATTAACCCTCCTGCTATCTGGCCAGCCGCAGACAGTCACAAAATCAATCCGCTTCCTTGTCATGCCTTTTACATAGGCTAGTCACCAACAGTCAGATCATATCTGAAGCAAGCACTGTGACTAGTCAAATTCCATCAACAGACAAAAAAAAGAGGCAAGTGGTAGGCAGAGCTCTGGTTTATCAATCACCTACACTCAAAGCATAGCTGTATCAATTTGCATAAACAGTCACAGCCAGTCAATCCTGCTTTATGCAGGCTGGGAGCTCTTCACTGTTGAAAACAGTCACTTGACTGATTTCGACTTAAAGGACAACTTGGCACAGAATGTCAAAATAATCCTGGCGTGAACTAGTTAAGGTCAAATATTAAGGTACCCATGGTAAGGTTTTTTTATTTAAGTTTATACCGACAGAAGGCTACATATGATTTCGTCATTATTTTTGTTACCTGAAAGATGATGAGAAACAAGTTTTTCTGTTCACTCTGGGCCGTTTCTAGTGCTTCCTGCAACCTCTCAATCTGAGATTCTGCATCCGAGTCAGAGTCACTTTCCTCCGAGTCTTCATCATCACTGTCCATACTCTAAAAAAAAGAAGGAAAAGTCCATTAAAAAGACCACAGTTTGACCGATGATAAACTCATAAGACTTGTAGGTTGGTTATGGTGAAGAGAGCGATAAGTGTATTAGTTTACGGATGCACTGTGTAACAAATCTCCCAAAGAGAGGGAGAGCAGCATACTATCCGAAATATTGAGATTTCTCCACTTCTTTTCAGAACCTCACAAACTCACAAAAGAGATGAGTTACACGGTGAGTAAACTTACTCTTAATAATGATAACACGTTGTTTTTATTCTTGTGACGTCATATTAAATGTGCATATTTTGAAGGCCTATATCTACAGAACGACTGGTCTGATTTAGTTGAACGTTGGTATGTACCTAGACTGGGATGTGTTATAGATGAAAATTGAATTGACATAATCATGATGTCATCACGTGTCACTTGACATCACATTAAAAGTGCATAATTTGAAAGTCCTTATCTACAGAACTTCTGGTCCGATTGGGTTGAAAGTTAGTACGTACCTACACTGGGATATGTTATAGATAAAAATTGAAGTAACGTCATGATGACGTCATCCCGTGTCACGTGACGTCACAATAAAGGTGCATATTTTGAAGATTTATATCTACAGAGATTCTGGTCCAATTGGGTTGAAAGTTGGTATGTACCTAGACCGGGATGTGTTATAGATGATGTCATCACGACGTCATCATGTGTCACGTGACGTCACATTAAAAGTGCATTTTCTCTGCATTTTTAAAGTTAATTCAGTTCAATTTTTTACTGACGTGAAGAATAAGTAGACTTATGAAGCTCTCGGTTTTGCCACACGCACTAAACCTAATAAATGTTTTCTCCAGCCCGCAGACTGACCTTTTTCTTCTTCTGAGCCTTCTCCCTGGCCTCCTGAAGTTCTGCGGTGATCTTGCCCACGTGCTTGCTCATCTTACGCAGCGTGGCGTGCAGGATCTCCCAGACGTAGTGCTTGGTGAAGTCCCCGCTCATGGAGCCAGAGAACAGCCAGTTGACCACGGCCGGGCAGCTCACGATCTGGGTCCGCAGCATCTTGTCGATCAGCACACAGATCATCTAAATGGGGGATGAAGGAAGTTAAGGAAATGTACATCATTGGCTTTTGCTGTAATTTTCAGAAATGAACTATTTGAGGGTTTAGTATAATAGATCAAATATTGTTACACTGACATGTTTGAAGTTTTGTGTTTGAAAATGCTGGAAAAACCAAGAAAAACAAAAAAGTTCATGTAGTCTGGTTCCCTGACTCCACAGGATAAAATGGATCAATTTATAGATTCCGGAAAATTGTAAGGTAAGGGAACTAGTGTAGCTGGCCTGCACCCGTTCATGAACATGTAACCAATAGCAAACAAAATTTGGACTGAAAAAATTGGTAAATTTGGAGCAGTAGTTGAAAAATAGTTAGGTTTTTCCAACGGTTGTCGGCCGACCACCATTGGAAATGTGTACAAAAATACCATTTTCTTGAAAATGACTTCACACCGTGTGCCATAATTTTACAGGATGCTTTAGACTGTCATTTACCATCATCCTAATAAGGTATTTCGTAAAAACTTGATAGTTTTATTTTTCGATGATTGCAAATGTTGTATATTCCCTTTAACTTAGTGCAGGGTCAAACCAAATATTAAAGGGACGCTGCATCCTGGAAAGTGCCCTATTGGGCTACAAAACATGTTTTAAAAGAAATGATATTCATTGGAAAGAGCATTTAAAAGTAGAATATAAATGTCCACACAACCATTCTTTATAAATATTTGCTGTATTTGTGTTATTCTTACAAGAACAAATTTGGGGTTTAAAATTTTGACTCTCAAAAATCCAGCTGTTTGGGTGCTAGTCATGATTCCTGTCGCACATGTTCCACCAGTGCATCACATGATACGGACGTGCGGGAAACAATGTGTGTATTGGTGCTGTGTACTTGTACACTATACACACACGATGTGTACCATACATTAAATCATCTGACATCATGGACACAGTAGCTGGGGCCAACGTCTAAAGAGAAGACTTATATTTACAGCTGGAAATACGTGTGTGTATGCTACAAAATGTCTGCCGCGTCAGAAGTAAACCAGGTTTTATTTGGTCTTTTCTTAAAAACAGTGCGACATTAGGTCAATTTCTTTTCAACCAGATCTTGAAAATAGGATAAGTAAACAATCTTGTACATTTTCAGGACAATGTGCCCCCGTTAACCTTTGTCTCAATGAAGACACAGGTCACTATTTGGGATGAATAAACAAACCAACCAACCAACCAACAAACCAACTAACCAACCAACAAACCAACAAACCAACCTGTTGGTGATTACACCAGAGTTCCCGAACCATCTTCAGGACATGGATCTGGCTCTCTTCCGAGTCGGCAAGAACTTTGAACACATCGTGGAACCTGCAAGCAAAACACAACCGATTAATATTACAGAATGTCGTTAATATGTCTTGGCTTTGACACCCCCCCCCCCCCACCACCAGAATAAAAAAGATATAAAATGTTTTCTTGTTTTCTACTGTAAAACTGCAAACCTAAAAACATGAGTTCTGTGTCCTATGGAATGCTAATCTGAGTCCTGCGCATTTACTTGCCCTTATTTACTGAGACAGAAATCCACAAGGTGGATTCTGATTATTTACGTAACGTAAGACGCTACTACGCTCCTTTAACCCTAACCCTCCTCAATCCTCCAAAATCCTCCAGGCAATTTTTGGAGGATTTTGGAGGATTGAGGCTGAATGGCATAAAAGTGTTGGTTGATTTTGGAGGATGTATTATGCCGAGGTTGAACACTGTACCCAGCATTTACGTTCAGTTGTGCATAATTGAGCCCTGCATTATGCTTGATATCATCCGCACTGCTTCTGAATGTCATCAGCACTGCCTCAACCCATTAGCAGTGATTGTTGGAGGATTTTGAAGGTTTGAGGCAATGGTCACCCCTCCACTGAACAAATTCAAGAATAACGGACGATTTTGGAAGATTGAGGCTGAATCCAATTAACAAATGGTGGCAATTAAAGGATTTTGCAGGATTGAGGATGGTTCCTAGTCAAAAATGGCATAGTGGGTTACGGTTGATTAAAGTTCAAGTATCTAAGTACTGTGCCAGTGGTTTCCTGCAAACTGATAATTTTTTTTAAGGAATCAGAAAAATGTCAAGTAAAAACATACCCAACGACTCTCAGACGGGTTTATATCAACATTTTAATGATGGGTAAAAACGTTCATGACGACATACTTAGCGAGTGCACTGAAGGAATGACTGAAGGATTTCTGGCCCAGGAACAGCAGCGTCTGCACAAAGATGTCAATCTTCAGAGGGTTGAATGTCGACTCATCTGAAACAAACCAATTATCAAGGGGGGAAAAAATGTTTATGTCCGACTAGGAACAAGTGCTGAATGCTAGTATTAACAGTTTTCAACTCCTGGGCCCAATTTCACGGCGCTGCTAAGCACACGATTTTCTGCTAACAGAGCCTCCGTCTATTTCATGGAGACCGTAAGCATAAGCACAGCAAAAGGCACTCTTACTTCAGAGGAAAAATTTGCTTAACTTAGTGACGTAACAATAGAGATCTCCATGCAAGCGCGACCGTTAGCACACAAACGCCGTGAAATAGTGCTTAAGGTTAGCACCAAATTTTTCTGCTATGCTAAACACAACTTTTCTGCTAACTGTTAAGCAGCGCCGTGAAATTGGGCCCTGGTGATTACATCGAGCACAGGGGTTCAAAAGTGTGTCAGGTGTACTGCTGTTTTGCAGTCTCTATCACTGTGCAGGGCAAATGGTGGAAAACACCTTACTTCAGGGGCTTAGGTTGATTTTTTTTGGCTTTTCTGCATAGTTGCGGAAAAGCCTTTGTTTTTGTCAAGATACTTTTTGTATTTTTTACTTTTCTTTTTGGGACCCAAATCCCATGGACTTTGTACATGTTTTATTCCACCGAGCACTTTTGACAATTAACAAAGTCATATTCCCTGATAAAACTTAACTTAAAAACCCCATAGTGAACTCGTGGCCTGCATAGTGACGTCATGATGACGTCATCATGGGTCACGTGACATCATCTTAAAAGTGCATATTAACTCCCATATGTACAGAACTGTAAGTCCGATTGGGTTGAAACTTGGCATGTGGGTAGAATGGTATGTGTTATAGGTAAAAACTAAGGTGAAATCATAATGATTTCATCATAAGATTGAGATTTTGAAGTTTATCGCCATATCATGAATGCAGCATGCTAAATTCAAAATTCTTTTTGTAAAAGGTTTGTTAGGTCATAGATATTTAGTAATTATTGTTCCATGGGAACCAACTATTACAGTTAAAAGGGACCCAGATCTTAAAATTCCCCCTCCTTATAAAATCACACTGCTTCTTGTCATGGCTGACCAATCAGAGAGGTGCAGATGCTTATAAATATGCATGAGTTCTTATCGTCGTGCCTACCTTCCATGCTGTCCGGGTCCTGGGTCGGGTTGGGCACGTCGTCCAGGACAGCCGTGACCTCAGAGGTGGTTGCCCTTGCCTTGATGGTCTCCATGAGTTTATGCGCAATCATGGTGCCAGGTAAGGAACCTGAAGGAAGCACAGTAAGCATCGGAATGACTTGGCTACGGCTTGCTGAATCCATTTCCCATAGACATGTGTCTAACTGCTAGCCGTAGCCACTTCATTTTGATGCGGTCAAAATTGGGTATTTTGTGGCTAGGGCTATGGCTTTTGCTATTGACTTGCTGTGATAGATAGCTGTAGCCGTAAACAACAATGAACACTTTGGACACAGTATTAACCTATCGCGGTAGAATCGCGTCAACGCAGCTTGAGAAATATTGTACAATTACAATGATATACAAATGGATGAGGAACGCGCAAAATCTGAGACAAACAAAACTTAGTGTACAAAAACTCCATAGGGTTGTCTGAGGGGCGTGGCTAACTCGCAAATGGAGATTGGTCAATTAGCGGATGAAGCTCTGCTTATTATTATTCAACGTACAGCAGAAAAAGACGTGCTATTTATTAGCGTATTTCACAAGTCCTGTACCTACGGATGCCGTGCTTAGTGCTTTAAGCACAGAATGATGAATATACTAAGCATAGAACATTTTGGTTAGCAGGGCCATCACATTTGGCCCAGGATGCAAACCAGCACTGACTGCACACTTTTGCATTGTCCACAGGCACGCAAACCGGAAAGCCACAAAAAATACTGCAAGTAAAACTTGCGTGATCCCCCTAGCACCCTGCCAGTTTGTATACATGTACATGCACAGGCAGTTAGTAAGGACAATTTTCAGTGACGGCCTTGATTGTCCACCCAGCAGGTACCAGTTCTCAGTTGATTGGGGAGTTTGGGTTAAATTGAGAGTTTGGGTGAGGCACCGGACTAACATATGTTAGAGTCATACTGAGCTGAGCTCTCCAGAGACCTCGTAAATATCCATATTGGAAAGGATTTTTTAATGACAGACAAGGAAATACAAAAAGAGGAAATCAGTTTATCCGAGGAAAACTTGCATGTCTGTAATTCCCATGCTGGATGGGATTTATGGGACATAAGATGCGAATTACTGATAGCCCACTCATTTCTAATGTTAAACTTTTTTTCCTAAGCCGCATCCTCTACTTTTCATCCCTCACATGACCTACCGGCCCCTTCCTCATTGTACTTGTAGACAGGCACAGGTTTGGGTGGCATTAGCGGAGTGAAGGGCTCAGGGTTGGTGAGGCTCTCCACAATGCGTTGATGATAGGACAATCTAAGGATTACAAATCAGATTCGTTTTATTATTAACCCTAACTCCCTAGGCATTTTTGCGACAATACAACCTCAATACAAAAAAAATGAAACTGCGAACTACAGGTTTTCCCGACTTTTTTCAAAAGTCTATCATTCGAATTCACCGTTTCTTATATTCAAATTCGCCCATCAACATCGATTTAATACATTCCCAATATTTAATTTCATCTTTTGTCAGACAATTTCAACTTCAGTTTAAGCGAATTCAAACAATGAGCAGTGTTTTCGTTCCGGAGTATTCGATTTCGTCTCGTCTATGCCAAACCTTGTTATTCAGAAATCAAATTCACCATTTCTAATTCGATCAATGAATGCTGCCATTCGGCAATAGCTTAGACGAATTTGATCTGTAATGACGAATATTCTTGACCTGGAGACCAAAGAGGGTGACCAAACTTTGAAATTGAATGGTAAATGACTAAATTGGTGTTGTTAAAAAGCGTGTGAAATTTTTCTCGGACTAAATGGAATGTTAGAGTTGGTGAATCTGAATGAAAACTGTTTTAAAATAGCCGGGAAAACCTATTTTATGAAATATATTAATTGACTGTAAGAAAATCATAGGATAAAGCATTCTGTGAAATCAGTACGCCTAGTATGCGGTCATTTTCAAGAAAAGAGGAATTACCATCATTTCCTGGCGATGGTGAGGACCAATCCACCGCAAGAAAATAAAAAGGCAGTGGGGGGGGGGGTCAAATACTCCTCCCAATTGACTGAATTTAGTTTAGTTTGCAATCAGTTACTGGGAGATATCCATAAATGAGACTTAGTTTTCCAAGTGGCAAACTGGGATCATAACACAAAAGTCTACAAGTCAAAACGTATCAATGAACATTTTAGAAGGGAAGGCTTTTCAACGGGTAACCTTGCTTGGCGTTGCAATTAATGAAGATGCTTTGTTTTTTTACAGAGTTTTCTCAAAAAGTATATCTACCTAGCTGAATTTCCACAGGTTACATGTAGTTTGTCAATAACCTGCTTCAGATTTATTGTATATAAAAACACATTTTTTCTTTAAAATGGTGTCCAATAGATTTCAGTTTTAAATCATGCAAAAAATGACATTTAGCTTTTTGGGGGCTAGTATTGATACATACCTCATAGACTTCACTAGGACTTCCTGCACAAACTTTGGTTTGGGCATCTCCAGATCCATGCTGACACAGTCAGCCCTAAACGGGAAGTTGAGAAAAAAAAATTTAAAAATTTAATTTAAATTTCCAAGCTACATTTGTTTGATTGTGGTTACCTCTCTGCAATGAATAATGAAATGAGTAACGCTCTTGTAACAAAAACTTTCAATGTCTTTCTAGACCACTCTCCATCTTCTCAAGATCATATTCCTGGACTTATTTCACTAGAAGTTGTTCCAATATGCTCAGCTGAAATTTAAAACAATCCTCAAAGAAAAATGCTTTACTTGACTAAAAGTCTGACTGACTCAAGCCTCAGTGACTGCAAGTCGTCATGTGTAGTGTTGCAGTCCAGTCCATCATTAGTTCTTAAAAAGTCACTCACAAGTCCTCCAGCCCCAAGTCCAGTCACAAGCTATCCGGTTTGTTAGTGTGACGTCATCTCAATTCCATCATGCGTACTTCACACGGTGTAGCATAGCACGAATGGAAGCGGAAGTTAACACACGTTGGCGTTTATCCAATGGGCGTTAGTTATTAGTGGTGCGCGCGCGTGTACGACGTTTTTTGCTAACGAACCGGATTCTACTGAACTGTGACGAAGGCATTCCTATGTCACATGCCTTTTGTCAATGGACAGGACTTTTGATGTATTCGGCCACAGCAGTAACTATGTGCCAATCGGGCCAATCTCCTACAATGTCCACTTCAAGCCAGCCTCCACTCCATCGGTGCGTGCGCATTCCTTCACTAACCCCTTGCCGCGAGGAATACGTAAACGACTCTGATCGGCTATTCAGAGCATACTGCGCACTTATTTCGAAGGTTGCACCACCTATTATGCTACACGTCACGTCACGTACAAACATTTTTTCAAGACTGTGTGATGCCTGTATGATATGGTTTCTGAAAGTATCGTTTTGTTGCCCAAAAAACCTCTTTGTGTTGTAAAGGGACGGCAGAGGTATGTACATTCAAAATAAATGTTTGCTGAATAATGCGGCGTTGACATCTCATATTTGAAAAGATTGATTCCACAAAAACAACAAGTTCAAACTTTAAAGCACTGCATTCCTAAATTAAGTATCCCAAATAGCGGGACATTTAAATCACACAGTACCAGGGGTTAAGATCGCGCAAGGCATGATGGGAAACAACATGGCGCAGCAAGATCGTACCCATGGAAATGAGGTTGACTTCCAGCAGTGTTGTACTTGATTCCATTCCATCACAAGTCAATCACATCTTAGGCATGATATCCCAGTGTGAGACTTTGCCAAGAACCAACGTAGAAGTAGAAGTACAAGTAAATCAAAACGTCCAGTCCCAAGCTACAAGGGATGAACAATGACAAAGGAATGCCCTAATCGTAATTCACTTGAATAGTGTATGACATGACCTGCGCCTGGATGACTTGTGATGGACTTGTGAAGACTTACGACAGACTCAACAATAACAATTTTTCCAACTTTCGCTCGGGAGGTAACACACTGAGTATACAGTGTTTAAACGTCGGTGAAGGGCAAAACCTAATTTGATTTATGTCACCCCGACGCAAAATTCCATCTCAAAATAGTTAATGCGGTACCCGCTGCTATGTACATCAGATTCGAACCAGCCAACCGATCCCGTTAGCTCGGTGGTCGAGTGGTAAGACATCTGCACTAGAAAGCAGGAGGTCGTGGGTTCGAGTCCCACCTGAGTGATTTTTTCTAACTTTCACTCTGGAGGTACCACACTGAGTATACAGTGTTTAAACGTCGGTGAAGGGCAAAACCTAATTTGATTTATATCACCCCGATGCAAAATTCCATCTTAAAATAACACTGATTTCAAGACACAATGGCACACAACTCACCATTCATCCCAGCTCCATCGGAACTGGAAGTTGCTGAGATGATGTGAGAACCAGTTGACAAAGCGATCGATGCAGTTGAGATTCATGGTGTCCAGTCTCTCGTACAGTAACTCGGAGGCTTGAGCAAGCTTTATTCCATGAAGTCAAGGTTCCTTAAGACTTTCCTTTCCTTTTTCAATTAAATTGATCATGAGACAGCGCCGTGTGCTTGGAAGAGGAGCATATACGTGTACGCCCTTAGGCGCGAACGCAAAATTACCAAAATGTTCCCAGCAAAAGGACAACTGCCTCAAACTGCGGAAAACTGCTCTATTTTAATGACATCTAAACAATTCCATCGGAAATTAACATACATTGTTCCAAAAAATATGATTCACACGTGTGACAAATTGAACATTCATATAATTTATAATACGCGTGGGAGAACATTGGATTCATAATATGCATTGGGAACATCAAAACCTTTCAATGCAATTTTCTTGAAAAGCGATTTTTTTTGCGTCAGAACACTCATATGCCCTTCTGCCTGACATCCAAGGACAACTCCAGTGCAGACCCTGGGATAAGTATCCAAAATTGTCAAGAGCCAACTGTCGATTGTAAGTTTCATGGTCCGTAACAGTAAGTTTTAATAAACCAACTGGGTAGGAAGAATTACCCTGTTATTTTTACGCAACGAATGACTTTCCAGAGGCCAAAATTAATCCAAGTACATCAACGTACGGTAGAATAACCACAATGGAATGTTAACAAACACTTTTTCACAAAATTAAGTCCAATGTGAACGGGGTAATTGACTTATTGCGGTGGAATCGCGTCAACGCAGCTTGTGAAATATTGTCCAATTACATGATATACAAATAGACGCGAAATGTGCAAAATGTGAGACAAACAAAAGTTAAGTGTACAAAAACTCCACAGGTTGTCTATGGGGCGTGGCTAACTCTCAAATGGCGACAGGTCAATAAGGAAGTAGCCAAAGCAACTTCCCATAGACATGTGTGTTGCTACCGGCCGCAGCTAAGTTATTTTGAAGACAATTTTGTTTTTGATATCACCTGAAGGTTTTATTTTAATACCAGCCCGGAGCTTCGCTGGCGATAAAAGGATACGACTTGAGGCAGGGAGCCGGGCTGCAGTTTACAGAGCTCGAGCAGCAGAGCGGTGTAGGCTACCTCCTGCTTGACAGCCTGGGGCAAGTTGAAGACCTGGCCAAACACCACCTCCACGATCATGTAGTTGAGCGGCACTTTGGCCTTGCCGTGGAAACTCACTAACTGAATGGCACTGGAGAAAAGTTGGACAAAACGAGAATCATAATAAAGACAAATTTGAACATGTGACTTGGGATTTCAAACCTGTGACCTCCGGACCGCAATATAGGTATCTCTCTATTGACTGAGCCATCCAACGCTATGTTGGTGGTCTGCCAGAAAGTCCTTGTTCAAGGGATGCTAGCCAGAAGCCATAAACCCATATATGCCAGTAGCCCAAAACAACGGAAGCTGCCAGCGGTCTAACAAAGATATTGACTGGAGTGAGATTTGAACATTTGACGTCTGGATAGCACTTCCGGTGCTCTACCAACTGAGCCATCCAGCCTTATGTTGGTTGTCTCCCAAACAGTCAATTCTTGTTCGAGGGAGGCTAGTCAGACGCTAAAAACGGTATATGCCATGCAGCCAAAACGCTGGAAGCAGCCAGCATTCAAACAAAATAATTTGACTGCAGCTGGATTTGAACCTGGATTTGAAAGGCTCCTCACGAGTGGTTCCTTCTTTTGTATTTCCCAGACTTGTATAGCCTTGCTAATGTTGCTGGCATCAAGAGTTCTGCCGTGATTTCAAAATATTGGGGGTCATTGGCAAAATTCCCCGACAAGTCAGAGTTCAGACTTGACATGAGGGGAGCAAATTGAGAAAAAGAGGACTGATTAGATTCAACTAACCATTCCTTGCGGTCCTTGATGTAGGCATTGATGATGCAACTCAACTGCTCCTCAACCAGGTACCGTTCAATGGAGTGATGCCCAGGCATGGTAGGCCCCTTTTAAAAGAATTCAGAAAAAAACTGGTAAGCAAACATTCAACTGTGAACCAGTCACAATCAGTATACATTGCATGGTATTGTGGCTGGTAAACCGCTGTTGCTTAACAAACATTTCCTGTGCAGAGAAAGTAAAGGGTTGAACCCGGGTTGAACTCAACCCTGGGCGAACCCAGTGCCACCCCAGGATGATTTTTTTAATATTTAACCCTGCGTTCAAACCCACGTTCAACCCCGCATCGTTTCACATGTTTCGTGCAAACCAAGCTTATTTCACTCGGTAGCTGTTTTGAACCCTGGCGAGAGTTTCAACCCTGGTCGAGTTCAATCCAGGGTGAAATCAATCTCGGGGTTGACGCAGCGTTGGCGTTGGCATATTATCAACCCTGCGTCACCAAGTGTCTACCCGAGATTTACCTAGTGTGAAAAGGGCTTAAAGATATAGTCCATCATTTGTAATTTGTGCATTTTGTTCGTTTGAAGCAACAAAAGTGTTCAAAATCTAATGACGGATACTGAACAACTAACCTGATGAAGCTTCATCTCAGCTTCAGCTGTATATTCCGAGAAAAACAGCATTCTAGGATCTCAATTTCAAATCAAAAGTTGCTGAATCATGTTTTGAATTGTTTTGAATTGCAGCTGTATGTCGCGCACTGATCCGACGAATTATAGCAACCGCGCGCGCCTGTGCGTCGTGCCAATGCTTGCGCGCGCTACGCCGAATAACAAAACGAACTACTAATTTAAATTTTCCTACAGTGCGTCTTAAGACGCACCGTTGGAAAGGCCTTCTTTCGTTGATTACTTCAAAATGATAGCTTTCCAGAAAGATTAATTTCACAGGGAGTTTAGTCCACTTACCATCTTTCAACCAAGTATGTTTTTCAACAATAATACGCCAGTTACTTTTTCGGATGGCTGCAAATGATGGACTATAGCTTTAAGTATGCTTATCAGCTCTATGAAATGTGCCCCAGCTCATGACTCAAGACTTACATCTGAAATGATATTGAATTTATTCTCTGAAACACACGATTAAATCCTTTCTAGTAATGAACTCTTTGCAGGAATGACAGATGCCACTTTTGGACCGAAAGAGCTCAATGTTGGCACTGAGAAGTTTGAACCCACCTCAGGCGCGTCGGTGTAGTCAAACATCCTGAAGACCACCCTGGGGAGTGGATAGAAGCTGTCGTCGGGGGAGTGGGGAGGGACAGTGAAGGCTGGCAGGGTATGCTGGAGGGCCTCACACAGGACACTGTCGAAGGCCATGTAGGGACGCAGGAGGCTCTGGTGGGTCCAGTCGTCTTGGCGGAGCTTGACGGTCTGGGCCCACAGGCAGTCCAAGAACTGGAAGATTTGGGGAGACAGTTGTAATCAGGATCAGTCAAATCGCAAATCACAAGTCCCTACACGGCTTGTGGTGCCTAGAGGTCACAGGATGGTTGCGGAGAGGTCATTGTCTATCTGTGCAACTAGATTGTGGAATGACCTCCCATCAACCATCAAATTGGCTCCTAACCCACAAACATTCAAATGTCTCCTAAAGACACACCTGTTTGCTTGGTCTCTTATATTTTTTGGTTTCCCTCGCTTATATCTCTTTAAGTGTAATTCTTTGTGATATCATTTTTTTTTGGGGGGGGGGGGGGTTGGGGGGTACTTTGTAAAGCACATTGATCATTAGTTTGGAATTGCATGATACAACCACTGGTATTATTATGTTACCCTAACTCCCTACTGTCTTTTGTTAAGTACTCGACCAAGTCTGCCAAAATCCATCAATCACACTGCTTCCAATGCATGCTTTTCTTTAGGCCTCCAGGCCCAAGTCCATCATACTCCGGCAAAATTTAGTCAGACCAGGCCGCAGGACCAAGTCCCCCAAAAATGCACCAAAATGGGGTGGATGGATTTTGATGGAGTTGGGGCTGTTAGGGTTAAGTCAAATTGCAAAACAATAACAAGTCGACCACAAGGTAATTGACAAGGCAACTGACAGTCACAGGTCACCACAAGTCAAGGTCAACACAAGCCACCCAGTCTCAGGGCAAGTTGCAAGCTGTTCACATGGCACTCCTTCGTAATTGTTCATCCCGTTACTTGTGGTATGACTTGGGATTAGAGTTTCGCTTGAGTTGATTAAAACTTACGTCTTCTTGCGGATGGGGGCTGTCACTGTGCCACACCCTCAGCATCGCTACATGATCTTTTTTCCTTGTCCTGAATAAATAGTAAAAAATGGTTACAAAATTTGTTATCAATCCTGCAGCTGATTTCACGAAATAGTGTGTTACTTACACCATGCTCAGGACCTACGCAACAAATTTATTGCACAGCTGCGCCATAAAATTAGGATCGATTTCACGAAACTCATGGCTGTGCAACATTTTCAATAATAAAAAACTTGGACCAAGATAATAACAGCATTTACGACGGCTATTATTTGTGTCTGATTTTGTTCGTTCACAAAACAGTTGTTGAATCACCTCTGCCCGCCATTTTGAACAGATTTTGTCTGACTTTTTCGGAATCATGCGCAACTCTAAACACTCTGTCAAGAGTAAAACAGCAATTCTTTTACTTCAGACACAAAGCTGTGATTATCTTGTACCAACCTTGATAAGTTGTGTAATAACAGGCTCCACAACGATCATGATTTGCTGGTAAAATAGGTCATTTTCAGTTGCTACGCCGCAACTTACAATCCCTACTCCACCTATAGTGATTGCGTAAGTTAAGCCATATTTTGTTGCGCAAGTCGCAGACTTTTGCACTAAACTTGTCATAACTGAAATGTTGTTCAGTGTGAAATGTTGTGCAACTTGAGCAATAAATTGTGGCGCGAGTGGATGTATGCCATTGCCTAAAGTTTCATGAAATAGTCTACCGACTTTTCTGCAGGCATTTTGCAGGAAACGTTATGAACACATAGAATTAAAACACTGACCTGAGGTAACTTTCAATCTTGTTCAGTATTTTCTGCAATTCCTCATCTTTTTTCTCTGAAATCTCCGCTCCAACCTAAAAGGACAACAAAAGATAATCACGTAAAGAATTCCAGCCAAATGTACAAGAAGCTTTCACACTGACAGGAAGCGTACATGAATTTCACACTTGGAATTTTGGCTTGTGTGCATGAGCATATCCAGAAACTATGGAATCTCTGCTTACTATCTGTAAAGTACAGAATTTCCGTGCTAGTACTCTAAGTGTAGAATCATAAGCGCAGAATTCCGTGCTTAGCAGAGCAGTAAAATTAGACCCAGGGTCTCCAGTCTTATAGAGCTGGGCTAATGAAACAGAATCTGCTTTGCAAAAACAGGTTACCAGCTTAAACATAATGGGAAGTTTATGGCTGTTGACTGGTTCCCAACTTAATAATGCTTAGCACATTAATCTGCTCAGCAATTTTATATTTTCTACTTAGCAGCTCCGTGACCTCTGTGACCCTGATATGCACTCACCCATGGGAGGCTGGAGAGAATCGCGTAGACGAACCAATCTGAGCGGACCTGGGGGATGCCCTCCTCCAGCGTGACGTTGGCGAACGCTTCGTAGAGCACCACGATGGAGGAGACGTCCACCACGCGGCAGTTGACAAGGTCGGCCAGGAAGCGCGTTAGGGTGCGCGCCTTGTCCCACTCATTAGCCTTCATGAGATCTCGCAGGTGCACCCACAAATCCTCCACAAACTTGAAATTTTAGGCAGAAAAAAATAAACAAGTCAGGTGTGTTTACAAACACAAATGCCCCGCAACCGTGACTGTTCCCATGACATAACACCACTCTTTTAACATCAACTTACATGTACCTTGGTCACATGGAATGTTCATTGACAGCATTAGTGTCTTCTGTAGGTTTTATATGAATTAATCCCTAATCCCTATGATCTCAGAATAAATACAAGATTTCGATTGTTTTAGCCACTGTGCCCTTGACCCTTGACCTTTTGGCCCCAAATGCAAAAGGCTTCTTAGGATTACCAAGGACAATCCACAAACCAAATTTGAAGTTCATATGTAAAGTATTTCTCAAGTTATCGCGCTGACAAAATTTCTATTGTTTCAGCCACTGTGACCTTGACCCTTGACCTTTCGGCCCCAAATGCAATAGGCTTCTTAGGATTACCAAGAACAATACACAAACCAAATTTGAAATTCATATGTAAAGTATTTCTCAAGTTATCGCGCTGACAAAATTTCTTTTGTTTTAGCCACTGTGACCTTGACCCTTGACCTTTCGGCCCCAAATGCAATAGGCTTCTTAGGATTGCCAAGGACAATCCACAAACCAAATTTGAAGTTCATATGTAAAGTATATCTCAAGTTATCACGCTGACAAAATTTCTTTTGTTTTAGCCACTGTGACCTTGACCCTTGACCTTTCGGCCCCAAATGCAATAGGCTTCTCAGGATTGCCAAGGACAATCCACAAACCAAATTTGAAGTTCATATGTAAAGTATTTCTCAAGTTATCGCGTTGACAAAATTTCTATTGTTTCAGCTACTGTGACCTTGACCCTTGACCTTTCGGCCCCAAATGCAATAGGCCTCTTAGGATTGCCAAGGACAATCCACAAACCAAATTTGAAGTTCATATGTAAAGTATATCTCAAGTTATCACGCTGACAACATTTCTTTTGTTTTAGCCACTGTGACCTTGACCCTTGACCTTTCGGCCCCAAATGCAAAAGGCTTCTCAGGATTGCCAAGGACAATCCACAAACCAAATTTGAAGTTCATATGTTAAGTATTTCTCAAGTTATCGCGCTGACAAAATTTCTATTGTTTCAGCCACTGTGACCTTGACCCTTGACCTTTCGGCCCCAAATGCAATAGGCCTCTTAGGATTACCAAGAACAATACACAGACCAAATTTGAAGTTCATATGTTAAGTATTTCTCAAGTTATCGTGCTGACAAGATTTGTCCGGACACACACACCCACCCACCCACACACACACCCACACACCCACCCACCCACCCACCCACGGAAGGACAAGGCGGAAACAGTATGCCCCTTCGGCTTCGCCGCGGGGCATAAAAATAAACTCCATAAATTTGGGATTCTCAATACTAGAAGGTCAAAAACTTAAGACATTCGAGAAAAGACATATGAGAAAAAAGAATGATTTATGAAATAACCAGTCCATCACTTCAGTAGTGCTGCATCGGTGTTATGTAAAAAGTAACATCAGTAAACCACTGTTAAATTAAATGAATATAAATACTGAAAAAAATGGGTATTGACTTGACTTTCAAACACTATAGACTCTATGCCCAAACGGGAAATGGCGGGCTTTTTTTTTACCACTTTCGCAAGCTCCAGAGGGAGGGACACACCGCGTCTGTGTATGAATTCGCAAACGAATGGCACAAAAGTATGCAGCACTTATTTTATTCGGAGTGTGCATAAACCACAGCGTCTTCACGTGAGCGCCAGGCGCCAACAGTGACACGTTTGAATATTCCTCCCACTGAATTCTCTATTTGTAATCGTTGAGGGAGGACTTGTGCACGGGGTCCACATGATGACGATGGCTCTTTGTCTCGTTAAAGGGAATGTACATCTTTGGCTTTTGCTTTAATTTTCAGAAATGAACTATTTTGAGGGGGATTAGTATAACAGATCAAATTATTGTTACACTGACATGTTTGAAGTTTTGTGTTCGAAAATGCTGGACAAACCAAGAAAAACAAATGTTCTTGTAGTCTGGTTCCCTGACTCCACTGAAGATGAAATGGATCAATTTATAGATGCTGGAAAATTGTACGGTAAGGGAACCAGTCTAGATGGCATGCACCCATTCATGAACATGCAACCAATAGCAAACAAACTTTCGACTGAAAGAAGTTGGTAAATTTGGAGCAGTAGTTGAAAAATAGTTAGGCTTTTCCAACGGTGGTCGGCCGACCACCGTTGGAAATGTATACAAAAATACCATTTTCTTGATAATGACTTCACACCAGGTGCCATAATTTTACAGGATGCTTTAGACTGAAATTTACCAACATCCTGCAAAGTATTTTGTAAAAACTTGGTAGTTTTATTTGTTGATGTTTGCAAATGTTGTATTTTCCATTTAACACAATCAATGGAGCCCAAAGCTCTGCAATATTTTCCGAGCGCCTTTCTAAAACATAACTCACCTCTGGGGTAAAGCCGATGAGGTACACAATTTTATCAATAGTCAAACAGTAAAGTTTGATGGACCCTAACAGGTAGACAGACAAACTTACATCTCCCCCACATCCGTAGTTTTTCACATTGATGAGTCCAACCAACGTTGTGTAGACACTCAGCTTCTCTGGCAGTTCAACCGCACTGTAGCAAAAAAAGACATAATATTGACCCTAACTTACTTTTACCAAATAGAGGACCAAATCCGTCAAAATCCATCACTGATTTTGCTTCACATAATGCTTCAGGACCAAATCCATTGAAATCCACCACTGGTACTGGTGGATTTTGATGGACTTGGTACTCATGGCTTATCTGCCAAAATCCCTCCAAATGGGGGATGGATTTTGAAGGAGTTGGGAAGGTTAGGATTAAGGTTAGTTGCAAACGTACAAGAGTTGATAAGAGACACAAGTGTGACAGGATAAGAAAATATTTTATTTGTTGCCAAGGCAAACTGAATGTCAAAACAAACAAGTTAATGAAATGATCATCTTTTTGGGGATGTTGGAAAAGATTTCTGACCTTGACATTTGACTATTTGACACTGAGCTTGTTCTACTACTGAATTTTGATGACCAACCCTCCTGCTATCTGAACAGTCACAGACGGTCAAATTATCAATCCTCTTCCCCTTCCATGCCTTTTACACAGGCTAGCCACCAACAGTCAGATCATATTTCAAGCAAGCAGTCTGACTAGTCAAATTCAGTCAAAAGACAAAAAAAGGCTTGCGGTGGCCACAGCTGGCTTATCAATCACCTACAGTCAAAGCACAGGTGTATCAAGTTACATAAGAGTCACAGCCAGTCAATCCTTTTTTATGTAGGCTGAGAGCTCTTAACTGTTAATAACAGTCACTTGATTGATTTTGACTGAAAGGACATCTTTGCACAGAGAGTATGTTTGCACAGGAGGGCTAAAGAATTGAAGTGCACTAGGGGATGATAGCATGCCGCTTGATTGTACACTGTGGTCAGCATACAACCCTGTACTCTGATTTCAACAAAGATGCCAATGTTTACCATTCACGTAAGATACTGATGATTTTCAGCTTGTAGTTGGGGAGGTCAGCCTGCAGCACAACTGCCAATCCTTCCAAGTTACTCTCCAAGGACGACGTACTCTGCAAAAAAAATACCCCAAAAGACAAGAATTAATAATGAAACTTGAACAATTACAGTGCAGGGATTCACCACACAAGACCAAGAGTCTGAAATTATTGTTTGAAGTTGAATGCCTTTGGAGAATTTACTACATTTGTCTGAGCAAATACAGGTTTGTCATTTGTTGAGTACAATTTTGCACAGTACGTATTCTGTGACAACTCAAAACTGAATGTGCTGGTTCGTTTCGTTTGAGCAGTTTGTGTCTAATTTTCATTTCACCTATGCAGACCCAGTGGCTTTACCATCGGCAAGTTATCTTGAAGTGTTTAGTGTGCCACTTATCCCCATATACATTTTCAGGAGAAAACTATGGCAAGTTTGCTTAGGAATGCTGTATAAAGTGTAACAAATAATAATTTTTATGAGTTGTCAGGAGACATTTTAAAGACATTCTGAGAATTCTAAAGGACATGCAAGACTGTCACACTTTGGCTTACAGCAAAAAGACTTTTTTAAAACATGGCCACTAGTGGCAATTAAACTGTAAGTTGGCAATGAATTTCATGAATGTCAATGAGTATTCAGTCACTATCAATTTTAGGTGTCTTTTTTTTTTCTTTTTTCTTTTTAATGTACCTTTTCTCCAACTCTTGTGATGAGCGATTCCAGTCTCTCTTCAATCTCGTTCTGATCAGTAGTTGTCCTTCGGCGTTTCTGACTCCTGGAGTCATCTGTCAACAAAACATGAACAGTGTTCAAGCAATGGACGCCATTTGCAAACATTACAAAATGAAACTGCCAAAATATTATGACATTTCCTACCCGATTGTACGTAATTATTCTGTGAAATCATTGCGTCCAGCAGGTGTTATGGTGAGTGGGCCCTTGAACTCACTGCTTCTCCCCATCCAGGAGTAACTTGGGTACCTGTATCTCCCCCCCCCCCCCCCCATTTTGTCATTTTTTATTTTACAGCATAATTCCCCTCAAAAATCAAAACCATGCCCTCTTTCTTTCCACAAAATTAATCTTGCAGATATTCAACATGGTGTCATCGGCATCAACTTAGGTGAGTCCAGAGAGTTAATAGTGGATTTTCGTTCTCTCTTTTTTTTTTTATAGACACGGGGTCCGGAACTTCACAATCGCCACAATAACAATATTATTTCACGAAATAGATGCAACTACAGGAAATGTAACTAAACGACCCCGTCATGAGTTCTGACAAAGCACAAACAACATTAATGAGACATTAAGCAGCTGTTAAGAAAATACTACCATCTCCATCATCCTCCAATCGTCTCCTCCTAGACATGGTGTATTCTAGAGAAATGTGTAACGCTACTGTAGTGTAGTTGTCAAAAAATGTGAATGTTTTGTCAGCTCAACACACAGTTCTGTACACGCCGCCGCAAGAACTGGTATTTGGCTGATATTAAACACAACTTCATATCATACACATGTAATGGACACCAGCGAAACAAAATTTTCAATTGTCAACAATAGGTGGCGCTAGCGCAAAAAAAGAGGACAATGCTTGATTGCTTGTGCTGCGCTTAATTAAGCGCTTGTACCTAGCATGCAGCAAGCGCTGTGCATCAGCAGCGTGTTTACCAAAGTTTGCTAAAGGAATTATTTTTCGTGGGTGGGTCAGAAAACACATGCCACATTTCAAATGAACACGCAATATTTCATTACTGCAGTGTGAGCGGAAAACCTCCAAATTCATACTTTGACACTTAAGTATATAAATCGCTGGACCATGGAGGAATAAAACAATATTTTTTTCTCCATGATGATGGGAACACTTGGCCTCATCTTATGATGAATTAGAGTCGCTCTTTCCCGCGCTATTTTCCGTCGCGTTTCCGTGCAATACAAAATCGCTCCCTTTTAAATGAGACACGGAACGATACAAATCCGCCAATGTTTAGGTATGAAATAAATGCAACAAACTTCGAATTATTTGCGGCCCGACCCAAGGGGCGGCGGAGCGACTTTTCAAACTGGCCGGCAACATTGAAGGGGCACTTGCTCAAATGGGCACTGTTCCCCGTCGGTACGGTGAACTTGAAGTGGAGGGAAAGAATATGGTCCCGTTCATTTCGCTATAAACCTATTTGACGAGGAACAAATGATGAATACGTTGTCCACCTTGCTCTTTGTGTTTCTTTTACCGTACCTTGTAGAGCTAGAGACCATTTTTATCGCGAGAGGGGCACTGTTGCTTTTGATGGCCAGTTCCGTGACCATTTTATTCCCGTGAGGAGCACTATTATTTGGGGGGCCAGTTGTCCATCTTCATTACCAGCACATTTTCGCAAAACCTCATTGGCCGGAGGTTTTGTGCGTAAACCTTATCAGTCAGCTGATCACAGTCAATTGACTTCGGCAACTTGAACCGCAAGTCCCATCATAAAGAATAGGTTAACCGGACCATTTTTGCCGAGAGTGTGATTGTTGAGAGCGGGGGGCAATTTTAATGTTGCAAGCGGGGCACTAATTGTGCTTTCGAGGCGCAGTTTTTCATCTTGAGAAGTTATTGCGAGAGGAGCACTGTATTTTTTTTTGATGGCCAATTTTCCATCTCGAGAGGTGCACAATTGTTTTCATCTCGAGAAGGTGCACAATATATTAATGCGAGTGTTTTTGAGGGGCCCTGAGTATTTCGTTACAAGAGAGGGGACAATCTTATTTAGCGCGATCATGCGTGTGCGTTTGAGGGGCATGCAGTTTCTTGTTTTCATCTCGAGGGGGCACATTTATAACCGCCCTGCCCCCCCCCCCCCCCCGGCCCGATCATAATTCAGGCGGATATTTTTGAGTGTCAGAGGCACAAAGCAACTCAAACTGAAAGCCCCATTTCAGTGGTCGTAGACGTCCCGAAATGGTGAAATTGATCTTTTTTAAATTTAAAAATAGAACATAGAATTTGGCATAATTATGTTAATCGCGGCGAGAAAAAAAATACAAATTTGTTGAAGAGCACGCGTGGAGAGAAATAGGGCATGAATGAAGATTATTAACAAGGGCAATACACTGCACTCAACGCTTTTCAAGAAAGATGCATGAATAATACATGTGCATTGTACTTGTGAAGTGCCGTGGCGCTATGGCCTCGTGATCTGGAGCCTGGAACTCGTGGGACGTCTGCGGGTGATTCTGCAGGTTGCGGGTTCAATTCCAGCCTGGGATTGTGGCGCGTGTGTCCTTGGCTATGGGCAAGGCAGTGTCACCCATAGCTGCTTCACCTAACCCAGGAGTAAATTGAGTAGGCCTACATGATGGTTATATTGTGATTGAGTTTAGCTGATAGTTGCATCGAAATGGCTGCATCGAGCTGTATACTCCCGGTCCACTGCGATCGAGATTGTATTTGGAAGTTGGCCCAATGTTCAGATGTAATAATAGTGTAAAGCGCTTTGATCTTAAAAACGCTATAAAAGTACCCGTAGTATAGATCTCCGTGTTATTTTCGAGTTTTATCCCAACTTAAATTTCTTTTCTAAATTGCTATTTTTTTTTCCATCGACAAAAAAATCCGTCTGTGGGATTGAATTATTTGGCCTCATTGGCTGCCAGCTCGTGCGGCCGTCGCGATTTGCGGTGTCGGAACCTCAGACAGTGATTATTTTTCCAACATAGGCCTACTCGACTCATGACGGAAAAAGCAAAATACATGTTTAACATTAAATGTCAGGTCAATTGTTAGAACCTTTTCAAATTCATTCAAAAAAGAGTAAAATGCGCTGCTTTATTTGTCCCACAACACAAAGAACCTGTTACACAAAGGGGGCATGTAGGACGAGTTTGAGTGCCTTTTCTTAATCTTGATCATATCGATGCATGCAGCGCGCGCTCTAAATTACATAGCGCCCTCATACCGTCAGTTTCACATACGCGTTGTCAGAAGTATGGAAGTTCCCAAATCGGCGAAACTTTTTATTATTTCTTCTGCAGTTCAGCTTATTACGGCGTCGATGACATTGGGAACTGAGTGGCAGGTAGTCGAGACATCGTAAATCCCGAAATTGGGATTCATAACCCGGAGGTAGGACGAAGAGTAGGTGAAAATTCGATTTCAAAATCGATTGCAAGCAAAAGCTCACAACACACGGTAGCTACGTAGTAGTATTGCGCAGTACATACTGTACATGTGGTGAGGTCACGCACGGTACGGCCGTTTGTGTGTACATTGCTGTAGCCAGCGTAGCCGGAAGAGATTGCGGTGCCGCGCACCGTGTCGCGCTCCACTGTGCACCGGTGTATTGTTCGCCAGGCTGGGGCGGGTTATGCATGGGCACAGCTACATCAAACGACGTGGAAAAGTGTGGGCACAGGCAAGATAGATCTAAAATCTGACTGATTTTTTTTGTCATTTGGTGGAGTTTGCTTTGGTGTTTCTGCGATGGATTGCCCACACCTGGTGAACAGTGTTACAGCTGGGGTGTCCGCCATGCCGGTGACTAGAAAGTCTAACAATGGAGAGACACTTTCTAATTGGGTTTGCGCAGGTAAGCATTGAGGTCGAAATACTTAAAAATAAAGGTTAATTACACAGTTTTAATTACATTCAGAATACAGTGCCACTTATTCCCCCTTTTCTTCAAATTTAAAGTTCAGACCCGACCGTTGACAAGATTCTAATGCAAAATACTCTGGACGCTTGTTTGTAGTTTAAACAAAAACACCGCAAACTATTTCACTGAAAAGTCCATTTTTGTGATCCGTTTGCAGTTTGCAGTGTGCTCTCATTTCTCTGCTAAGGATTCTTAAGTTGGATTAAATGGGAAGTTCGAGTTAACAAGGTGTTTCATTTTTTTTCTCTACTGAGCAGTTTGCAGGTCAAGCAAAAGCCCATGGATGTGTCTCTCGTGTGGCACCATCACTTGCGGAAGGTATTACTCGACATCTGATTAAACCTGACTTGGACAACCCCACCGAGACATTTTCTTGTTGGAGATGGGATCAATAACCTCGAAAATGTTTCTGTAGTCCACACCCCTCCTTATTTGTTCAAACAGCTTTTGTCGTAACATTAGGATACAAGGGGATTTTAAAGTAAATTTGCAAGTTAAACTTAGTCCGTAAGTCCAGTTTTGTTTTAGTACACCTGGGCATCGTCAGTGACATGATGGTATACAAAACATTGCATTCCCCCCCCCCCCCCCCCCCCGGAAAGAATGTTGCATACTGACGCTCATTTTTTCCCATCAGATATTATCTCAATGAAGGCCAGTCATTGCAAAAATGTTAAAAAGACATGCATTTGAGACTGAGAAACATTTCCAGTTTTGTTCGAAAATACTTTGAAAATGCACTCAACGCCCCATAGACTTTGTACACAACTGAAGAAGTGGTGTCTAGATACTAAATTCTATCATTTTTTTTGGACAAAAAAGAAAAAGTACATTCAGGATTTGTGTCTATATTTTATAGTCACCCCAGAGGGTTCAATACAAAGAAGTACCATTGTATCCAAACAGCCATACCAACATGATTACTTTCTCACAGACATACTGTACTAATTTTCCTCATATTTTATTGCTGGAAATTCTTTGCCTAGGTACGTCAACGGTCACTCCAAAAAGCATTTCGAAGAGTGCCAGCACAGTGTGTGCATCAGCTGTGACAATCTGAGCGTTTTCTGGTAATAATTCCTTCTCATCAAAACCCTTTTAAAACACACTGTTAGCGACACTAGCGCAGTGATACATAGGGTGCATTCGAGTAGCTCCCCTGGATCGACTCGGGTAAAGGCAGACGGGTTAGCCACGACAGTGTTATTTGCAGCCGTAATAAAGTGATTTTGGACACCTAACACTACGGATCGTGGCATGTTAACCAAGAAAACCAAATTTGCTTTGTATTTAAATATGGTGCCGTTTTACATAATGCCATCCGTAAATTGCTAAGTTAATTTGGAAATATTGATTTCCTTATTCATCATTCTTTGTTTATTCCCAGTTATGAATGTGACGAGACTGCTGTGAATGACACAAAATCTGGAACGGTTCAGCAAGTGAGACAAATCTTACAAGATATAGCCAGGTGAGATATAGTTGGAATGACTTATGACTTTGAGTCAGATATTTTTGGGGGAGGGTTGTGGCTTTGGCTTTCTACCATTAGCACACGCTGCTGAATAGCCATAGCCGTAGAGCATACTGTGCGTTTTGGTCATGGCTTGAATCTGGTCCAATGCAATTTAGTCTGGTGCTTACTTTGTTTCTACATGCACTCCTAATGAATGAAGTCTAGGTACCAGACTGAAATGGATTCTGAAAAAAAGTGTTATTTCAAATGAGAGTCTCTGGCTTGATCTAAACTTGGGCATCTTTTGTCTATGGTTATTGATGTTCAGCGTAATACATCTTTCAGAAACTGAAGTAAGTCGTATATTAATATGCTGCTTCATTTATATCCCCCATATGTAGCACGAATAAATAAAAGTCGAGACAACTGTCTAAGTGAAACCTAATATTTTATAGGTATTGACCTGAAAGTTTTGTTTTTTAATCTTTAATTTCAGTGCACAGTTTGACAACAAACGGCTAAAAAATAGTAAAGAAAACGTCACCGATAGCGACGAAGAGGGACCCCCCAAGAAGAAACTAGCCACTAACAATGTAAGTACACGGGAGACTTCTTGTGGTTTCCATGGTAATATAACCACCACTGAATGATTTGGCGTTGGCCGGTGATTACTTTGGTAGCCGAATGATTTGGACATGTGTTACAACTGATAATGTAGTAACCAACGGATAATGTATCACCAACCGATAATGTCACACAAATTGACCGATACTGTATCACTAAACGATAATGTAACAGAAATTGACCGATAGTGTAGTAAAAATGTACTATTCTATCAGTCGATCGTTGTTACATTATCGGTCTTAACCAGTAATGTAGCAAATATTGACCGATAGTGTAGTAACATTTACTACACTATCGGTCAATTTCTGTTACATTATCGGTTAGTGATACAATATCGGTCAATTCGTGTGACATTATCGGTTGGTGATACATTATCCATTGGTTACTACATTATCAGTTGTAACAACATGGCCTACCTTTGACCTTGCATATATGACCAGCTCTGTAAAAAGTGTCATTATATGTTAGGGATCACGCCTAAAGTCACGATGCCTCATGGCATACTTGGGTTTATGGCTCCTGACTAAGTTTAAGTTAATTTGGGGTTGATTAAATCTTGTATTATATGCCATTTTTTACTCTAAGGTTGGACTATATTGGCCTTTTTTTTTTAAAGGGAATTGTGTACAGTAATTAAATATATTCCGTTAATTGTTTTGAACATTTGCAGGTAAAATCGACCATTCCCGGCCTGAGGAATCTAGGAAACACATGTTTTATGAATGCAGTACTACAATCACTAAGGTAACAAGAAATGAGTCCAACGAAATGTAGGATCCAATCAGTCCCCCCCCCCCCTACATGATATTCTGATCACTTACAGCCATGACTGCTCAGCTAAATGTCTTACAATGAAAATGACGTGCGTGGAATAAGCCATTTTGCTGACTTGCCCGAATGCTTGGCACATTTTAAATTTGAATTCTCCAGACCAAAGAGACTGTTGCTATATCACGTGATTGGGGAAAGTTCCTCAACAGTCATTGCATTACTGGATGACTACACTTTGAATGCCAGTTACTGATTTTCATTATCTTTTTTAATTTTTTTATTTTGCATCCTTGGCAGCGTAAAATATAACTTCAATTTGTTTTTCATTTGCGGCTGTAAATTTGTCTTCCCCAGCAACATACACCAGTTCTGCTGTTACTTCAAGGATCTCCCCGCGGTGGAGCTGAGAAACGGCAAGTCCGCAGGAAAGCGCATCTACAACACACGAAACCTCAAACACGACGACGTGTAAGTAGGAGAACTTGCGCATTCTTGAACAATCGCACACTGGGCCGTTATGTGTAATTGATAGAGGGCGGTCTTTATTATTCCCATTTTGGATTATAAACAGCATTAATAAACATCGTTTAAGAAGAAGTAATAGGTGCGTAGTATGTACACAGGTATTGGAGGGCCCCGGTCACTGCGCGAATAACTGTCAAATCTGTCGCAAGCCAATGTGACCCATCATGCCGGCGTTTATCCACGGGTTCAGTGGCACGAAACGACTGAGAATATATATAAAACCCCTGGATTGGAATGCCAGTCCATCACAGGTTACTCCCCAGCTAATGCCGGTAGCCATTAATACTCCTGGGTGGAGAGAGGCACGTGGGGGTGAAATGGCTTGCCCAAGGACACAACATGTGGCCAACAGCTGGATTGGAACCCCTGACCCTCTGATCATGAGTCACGAACCCTAACCACGAGGCCACACTCCCCCAGTCACTGCGTTAACCAGTCCCACATGTCCATCTTGGAATGGACTATTTATTTTCCCATTTCTACATCTACGTCACAGTTCTGTGTTCTTTGTATGGCAACCTGCCATTTGATCTATGTTTTTTTCCAGGTCTTTGGTTGAAGAGGTGCGTAAGACACTATGTGCCCTCTGGCAAGGCGGTCAGTCAGCGATCTCCCCGGACTCCCTGTTCTCAGTCATGTGGAAGATCTTCCCAAGATTCAGGTACGTAACCAGAAGAATTAGGTCTTTTTTTATTCTTCCTGTTAACCCTCCCTCTATTTAAGAGGTCACCAATGGTCAAAATGTTTGTATCTCACCTCCTGGCATTTGTGTACAAACCAATGGGGGTCTTGTCCAATATTGACCTAAGTAATAATCAGGCTGACAATGCATGTTTCCATAGGAGGGTTAATCCGTTAGTTCCCGTACCGCCCTTAACCGCCCTGCCTAATTCTCCCTATAATGCCCCAAATCGCCGAGCACACTGTGGTTTTATGGGTTCATCGGTGAATAAATTCAATGCAATACAATGTGGCGCAGGTGTGCATGGTTAAAGGCTGTTTCATATCTCGTGCAAAACATTTGCAGCAAATTTTGTGGGTTGGGTATGCATTCTCCACCAAAAAAATGTAACCGTGAAAACTGACACAATGGGGATTAACTACTCAAACTAAACTAAATTCAGGATCTTTGAAAGGAACGGTCGTGAGGAAATTGAATTAATAGAGACAATGGACACAATTCTAGAATTCAAACCAAAAAGGACCAAAAAGAATTCATTTACAAATACCTTAAATTAAAACCAGAAACTAGAAGCAAAGAATAAAACCTAAAAACCAAAGACTAAACCCAACACAAGTGTGTAATAAGTGGATCGAAAAGAATACACTGACAGAATATCAAATGACTCCAACAGCAGATTAACTTCAAGCAGAAAACACTCTCCAGGTAAGAGGAACATAAATGTATGTAGAACTTGTCTCTGCTGGTCTGCTGGGTAAACTGAGTGAGGCTAGAACATGTGGCAGCTTATATAGGGGGAACATGTGGGCTAAAATAAACAAACGGGGGGACACACTACCAACAAAGGGGGGATCTTAAGTAAAACTAAAATGATTTTTTTTTCTAAGGGGAGCTACTCCTATACAATACACTTTACATTAAATACATGAAAATATACAAGTAAAACTGGGCCCTGCCACACACACAGATACCAATGTTCAGCTGCGTGTACACAACGTGCCTTTTATCAATCGACAGAGGTTACCAGCAGCAAGACGCCCATGAGTTCATGCGCTACCTACTGGACAGGCTGCACACAGAGCTCCAAGGTACGCTGTGGCCTGGCAACCCACGACGGCAGACCAACGGAACCAGTACTATCGTCACCTTCATGTTTGGCGGACTCTTACTGAGCCAAGTGCATTGTGTCGTGTGTGAGAGCTTCTACAAGAAGATCGATCCATTCCTTGGTGAGATGGGTTTGGGTTGGGTTGGGTTGGGCTGGGCTGGGGTGGGTTGGTTGGGTTGGGTTGGGTTGGGGTGGGTTGGGTTGGGATGGGTTGGGTTGGGTTGAGATGGGATGGGTTGGGTTGGGTTGGGTTGGGTAGGGGTTGGTTGGGATGGGTTGGGTTGCGTTGGGTTGGGTTGGGTTGGGTTGGGTAGGGGTTGGTTGGGTTGGATTGGGTTGGGATGGGTTGGGTTGGGCTGGGCTGGGTAGGGGTTGAGTTGGGATGGGTTGGGTTGAGTTGGGTTGGGATGGGTTGAGTTGGGATTGGTTGGGTTGGGTTGGTTTGGGGTAGGGTGGGTTGGGCTGGTTTGGTTTGGGGTAGGGTGGGTTGGGTTGGGTTGGGTACAGTTTGGTTGGGTTGAGATGAGTTGGGTTGGGTAGGGTTGGGGTGGGTTAGGTTGGGGTGGGATGGGTTGGAATGGGTTTGGTTTTGGTGGTTTGGTTTTGATTGGGGTGGGATGGGGTGTGGTGGTTAGGATTGGGTTGGGTTAGAATGGGATGGGTTGGGTATGGTTGGAATTAGTTGGGTTTGAGTTGGACGAGTTGGATTGGGGTGGGGTGGCTTGGGTTGAGTTGGGTTGGTTGGGTGGTTTGGATTGGGGTGGGGTGGGCTCGGTTAGGTGTGGTTTGGTTCGGTTAGGTAAGGAACAAGAGAGGAAGCTGTGCCACCTAGCAACAATATCCTGTGTGAAGGATCATTAGACCCCGCGTTATCATTATTATAATCAGCAACTTGGTACATTTTCTCCTCTTGTGCAGATGTATCATTAGACATCCCCCATCGGTTCAGGTCAAGAAGCAAGTCGAAAGACGGTTCCAGAGTATGTCAGATACAAGGTGAGAATTGTATATTAAACACGGAGGCATTCATTAAAGTATTCAATGTAATGTTAACAATATCTTGAAAATGTTGGTGATACATGGATGAATGGAATATTTTCTTTCATCTGTTTTCAAACTGCTTGCCTCTCTCCTGCCAGACTGTCTGCAGAGCTTCACGGAGGTCGAGGAGCTGGCCGAGTCGGAGCACTACATGTGCACAAACTGTCAAAAGAAACAGCCCTCCACGAAGAAGTTCTGGTTCCGCAAGTTGCCTAATGTAAGTAGGGGGAAACTCTGGAGGAAAGGTGGACACTGGCACCAGTCTGGCAGTGTTTTTGTGCAGTTTTTGTTTTGTTAAGAAAAAAAAAAGATTAAAAAAACCCCAAAACTTTAGATTTATTTATTCATTTATTTCTGGTAATGAAACCAAAGATTCCTCAAAAGTGCCCCAGGCACTGTAGCTTGCAAGCCTGAAGAAACCTGTAGAGAGACGACAAGGAGAAGAAATGACAGTTTTAGAGATGGGAGGAAACCCCAGAAGAATATTCTGGGGAAAACCCACGGAATCAGGTAGGGACTGAAAACCCAATCCACATGTGGACCAGGACAGGAATTGAACCCGGGACACAGCGGTGGAAGGCGAGGACAGTAACCACAGCGCCAACCTCATTCCAAAATGTGTACCCCTGAAATTGTTATAATTGTTTGCTTGTGTATACCATTTTTCTATGTTTATAGACTTGGGCAAGTTAGAAATGAACTTGACTACAACATTTGGCACATATTTTCTATTTTTTTTTCCGCCTTCATTTTTTCAGGTACTGTGCATGCACATCAAGCGTTTTCAGTGGACAGGGTTTCTACGCAGCAAGATTGACGTGTTTGTGCAGTTTCCGCTCAGGGGTCTGGATCTCAGACCGTACATACTCAAACCAGAGGTAAGTGCGCAATGTAACAGGAGATAGTCTGGTACCCTGCCATCAGAAGTAAATACCCTTTTCCTCCCTTTATGGGCGGAGTAAGAATGGGGACGGTTTGGGTTGCTTACAGCCTCCTTCCAGCAGAGCAAGACTTCTTTTCTATTTCTAGGAAAAATCCTTGTAAAATAACATCTTACAAGTTTTTCCAAAATTTGGTTCATTGCTTCGGACCTTGGTTTCTAAAGGCCAAGTAAAAACCAGAAATAGTTTCTAGTTAGGGCTTTTTGAGAAAAAAAAAGGAGGGCCCTCTTTTTTTCCCCACCAAACACGGCAAATTTTCTCGTTTTTTTTCTCGTTTCTTTTGCTGAAACTTTTGTGGCCAAAGAAGCCGTCACCCTTTCTACCACATTTTGAATTTGCTTACAACGTTACAACTTTCCTAGAAACAAATAAAAAGCCAAATATATTGCAAATGTATGATTCATATAAGTTTTTTTTTTTTTACTTGGTCTTACATGTTGACTTCATCAGCCCCTGCATTTTTCTACTAATTAAGCAGCACCTCACTGCCTAGAATAACTGACGATACGAAACACCCGCTTGCTTCAAACCTTCTCAAAGCTAATGGTGGAATTTCTGTTGTTCTGATGCACAGGAATTACCAGACAGCGAGAGTACAGTATATGACCTCAAAGCTGTGGTTATTCATCAGGGATCTGGGTGAGTACTTGCCACGAGTGAACAGCGCCACCAAGTGTCAGTAGGTGTTCGGAACAGCGCCACCAAGTGTCAGATGATGTTAAATCTCCGACTCGCACTAGCCTGGTGCCACCTCAGAAAATGGCCGTCGCCAAAATAGTCTGTAACAAATCACACCACACCCCATCCAGCTTTTATTAAAAATTATCTGGCTAAAAAATTCCGAGAACTATTTTTGAGAGGTGTACCCCATCCCACCTCCTTACAAATTGTTGAGGTTGTTTATTTCTAAAACGTTTCACAGTAAAAGGGGTCAAAGGGGCGACCATACTGGAATCCTCCGGTTATAGGTAAAGGAAATGTACATCTTGAAAGCACAGTTAAATTTTACAGTTACCCCTTAGTATGTTAATCATGCCAAGTTGGAAAGCAAATGCTAGTTTTCTTTTCAGTTTCAAACCTGAGATTTATTATTATATAAATTAATTTGTTCTTTGCAGTGCTGGGTGTGGTCACTACGTTGCCTTTGCTAAGAATGACGGTGAGTAGAAGTAACATATTCTTGTTAGACACCTGGGTTTCATGAAGATATAAGGGTAGCCTATGAGCAAAGAATTATTTTTATTGCCCGATTTCCATAGCACTACAAGAACAACCCATTTGTTCACATGAGGTTGACTTGCCAAAACAACCCGAAGGATAAATGTTAGTTCAAATAAGTTTTCTTGGATGCTTGAATATACGATGAGTAGGATTAAGTCAGTGAAAAAAAGGGCCCTCATTTTGCATGAAGTTGTCATGCATTAACATTTTGAAATACGACAAGTTTTTAAGCTCGCTGGCTTATCACGTGCGCACTACAAATTGAAAACAACGCCATCTGTTTTATTTTTCCGCACAGAATCCCGTTACAAAGCGCAGTGTATACAGGCCCTTACACTAACTTCGGGTGTTTATCCTTTTAGGTCAGTGGTTCTGCTTCAACGACACCACGGTCTCGCAGGTCCACGAGTCGGTGGTGCTACGCAGCAAGGCGTACATCCTGTACTACAACCGTCGCAAGGCAACGCAAGACGACTGTTTCCAGCTGGTCACCTCTTTGCAAGAGGAGCTGCGGTTGGAGTTGAACCAGAGGACCAGCGCCACCACGAGTACGGTAGCTTAGCTCGGGGGTTGGGGGTTTGGGTATTGTGTATGTGTTCATTTGGATATGGTCATCTGCTTGTCATAGCTGCACCCTGAACTCGGAAACAAGTGCGAAACGTACTTAAACGGCTGGTCAACTTGGGCCAAGAAGCTCTATCAGAGATGTGGTTTAGTCAATTACAAGTCACTCACTTGTTAAACTTTTAAGTCGGGTCACAAGTAACAGGGGATAGACAGATATGAAGAGGGGATAGATAGTAGTAAAGGTATGTCTCTGTCTTAGAATGGTTGAAGAGCCTGGCGCTTGACTTGAGACTGGATGACTTGTGATTGAGAATCCACAGCGTAGGATCTTTTTTCTGTCCAGATCTTTGGACCGTCTTCAGAAGAGTCAACAACTGTCCCTGTTATTTTCCCTGGAAATAAAAGATTACCCATGTTGGTTAGAAACTAACACGCTTTATTTCAGCCAGTGATTAAGACCGACTTGGACGACCCGCAGCAAAGGGCCGTATGAAGACCATTCAAGAGAAGCTACTTCAAGACACTCAGCTTTGTTTTTTTTATGGGACGCAAAGCCCCACGTATTCTCAGAGGTATATCTGTTCTGGTCGGATGTAGCCAGCGGTGTCCAACTATAAAAAATTGCGAAAGTTAACTTTTGTCTCACTTGTACAACCAGAGATACCTTACTGCACAACTGCAAAAGTTTTTTTGCACAACGTATGTTCTTCACAGTCGGCTTGTGTCGTCGTGGTTTTATTTGGAGATTTTGTAAAAAATAACTCTTGATGCATCCCAGTCTCCGTTTCCCAGGTTTGCAGCATTGCTAATGTTGCTAGCAGCGTGCTAATTCTTAATGTTTAATTTTTTTTAACTGGGTAGCCCATTCAGTGGAATCCACTGATCTCCCTTACGGCCCAGTAAAGAGAAGACAGTGTGAAGAAATTACAGTTTTAGATGAGGAAAGGAAAACCCCAGAAGTATATTCTTAGGATATTAGGAAAACCCACGGAATCAACTAGGGACTGAAAACCCAATCACATATTGTCCCAGGCAGGAATTGAACCTGGGTCACAGCGGTGGAAGGCGAGGAAAGTACCGCTACGCCAACCTGACTCTTTGGGCGTGATCTCTGGCAACATGGCACATGGGTTTATGGCTTCTGACTAGCGTCCCTTGAACAAAGACACTGACAAATTTGAAAGCTTCCAACACAGGGCTTGATAGCTCAGTAGGTAGAGTGTTGGTACAGTGTTCCAGGGATTGCAATTTTAAATCCCACGCGTAAATTTCTTGGCTCATTCTGATATTCACAGATAAAGATTGTCGGACTTGTGTTTGTACGCTAACCGAAAAAGTTGATACAATCTTGTTGTTTTTCTTGGAACGTAAAACAATCACTAAGCTGAAAGTTCATCAGGTTAGTTGTTAAGCACCCTTCTTTAGATTTTGAGCACTTTTGTTGCTTCAACCAAAAACAAAATGCACAAATGACAAATGATGGACTCTACCTTTAACCGTTTGACTTATAGGGAGGCAGAGGACTCTTTGAATGACTTCAGAAAACTTGGGAATGTTGGAAACACAAACTTAGGCTACAAAGAAACAATTTTTTTCACAACCAACAAATACTTGCAACTGTCTCCTCATGATAACTCACAGCCACAGCACATTCCATATCCATGGTATTAGCCAAATAAAATAGAAAAAAGGTACAATATGGAGGTGCCACCCAAAAAAATATTAAAAACCGAAGAAAAAAAATTGTGAAAAAAAAAAAAATTCAAGATAAATGAATGAACTTTTGATTCATTTTGACTGGTGCCGGAACACGTGTTCCTTGTTTACCTATTTATTTACATTTATCAAGTTTGTTGTTTATTTCGTCTCCCGCACTATTGTGTTAAAACTATGAGCAAATATGTGCAAGAAAGTACTAACAAAACAAAAACAAAAAATTGTAAAAAAAAAATAAATTCTTTTGTTATCTGTTCATTGTTTTTCATTTCTACTTGTTTTTGGAAAGAAATGAAAAACAGAAAAAAAAAACCAGAAGTTAGATTCATTTGAATTTTTTTTTAATATTAAATTCTTTAAATTTCAATTTTGAAATGCTTTTTGGCATTGCAATGATCATGCTTGAAATTCATGTTTTTTGAGTTTTCATTTCATTTTGTTATGATTAATTTTGTTTTTTTTCCCCAGAGAGATATTTGTACAGGGAAAATAATACCATTCGAATTGACAGTGTCACTCTTTTTTGCCTGTATATATTTTGACATGAATGTTTCATATGTTACAAAGCATTAAAAAAAAACCACTCTAGAACAAGTAGCTGGTTGTTTAGGTGTTAGAATGATGTTTGTGTAGAAACAAGTAGTAGAATTAGTCTGTTAGATGTTAGCAAAGTAGTGTTCATAAGGGAACATTGTAAAAAAAAAACTAAAAAAAAAAATAACGAAAAGTCGCTGTGAAGCAAGCGACACGGGAAAGAATGTTGGCTCAAAAAAAAAAAAAAAAAAAAAATAGCCAGAAAGTTTTCCAGAGCATATTACTAAAATGACTGAAACAACTAAATTGGCTTATGGGACATATAAACCTTTTGAGGGACTTGCGTCTTTTCAAATACTAACAGCAGCTACGGTAGAAGACATGTTTTACTCAATTTTAAATAGTTGGCGTATTATTTGATATTTACCATTTCATAAAGCACAATGGTGTAACCATATCATTAGGCCCAACTCACGGCGCTGCTTAGCACACGATGTTCTGCTATTAGCCTCCTTCCATTTCATGGAGAACGTAAGCAGTTAGCACAGCAAAAGGCTCGCTTACCTCAGAGGAAATATTTGCTTAAATTTGTGACGTAACAACAGAAAACCCCCATGCGCGCAAACTCATCCATGCCATGAAATAGTTTTAAGCTTAGCACAATTTTTCTGCTATTATAAGGCAACTTTTCTGCTAACTGTTAAGCAGCGCCATGAAATTGGGTCCTGGTAACATACCAAAAACCATAGCTTTTTTATGTTTAATTAACCTTTAGCAGCTTCAATGATTCTGTACTCCATCTGGAGAAATGCTTTCTCCAAAAAAAACCGAGTGAGCTATTTTAATCCAGCTGCAGAAAGTTTTCTGAGGAAAACATCGAAACCTCCTGTGTTAAGTAGAGAAAATCCAGGTTCACTTCTTACATTTCAATCATTTGGGTTATTTTTTATTTTGATATGTTTATCCTCTTTCGGGAAAGAAAGTAATAAAATTAAATGCTTTTGAGGAAAAAAAATCAATTGGGTTTTGCATTAAAATGAAACTATTCCAGGATAAATTTTGTTGTTGCAATTTTTAGTACAACAGTAAGCTTTTCTTTCCTTTTTGTTTTAAGGAACGCATATCTAAAGTTGATGAAGCACTTTTAACAAAATACGATTGCATGAGATTGTCTTTACCCTATTTCTAAACATCATTATACACATTTACCTAAACCCTTTGCGATGAAATGTAATATGCAAATTTGCCTTAAAGTAAATTAGGAGCTACTTTGATGTGGCATTGTTGCATTCAAATTAAGGAAAAAGTTACTGCGTGGTCGATCGCAAACCGTGTCTGATGTGCGTGAAATTCAAAATAAAAGTTTGAAGGATTTTTGCAAGTTTTCCTTGGCGACAAAAGGAGTGGAATTACTAGAACCAGTTAGATTCAAGATCGTGTTTTTTTTTAATTTCCAAAAAAATGTTGAGGCAGACCTCACCATAATGCCTAAGCTTTGTGTGTTATATAAATCGATAACATTTCACCCAGTGACCAATGTACTCAACATGTATTAGTAAACTGTTGCTCCAAATACAGGGTGAGTAAAAAAAAACAATGAAACCCCAATGTCCGAACCATTGTTTAAGTGAAGTTCTGCATGCAGCACTTTCAAAATCTAGGATATGAAAGCCCAATTCATAAGCTTTCTTTTAGTACAAGAATCATTCAAATCACTCATGGTAGTACTTTTCAAGTTACAAAGTTTTAAACACAACCACCGTTTTAAAGTTCTGTCTATGGATCATAAAAAAAGGTGTGCGTTCTTTCAGCAAACGAAAACAATTCACACACATCCTTATGTGATTTGTTGTCGTTTTGCTGAAAGAATACTGAACTTTTTGTGATCCGTGGACAGAACCTTAAAACGGTGGTTGTGTTTAAACTCTGTAACTTGAAAAGTACATGAGTGATTTGAATGATTCTTGAACTAAAAGAAAGCTTATGAAAAAAAGCTTATGAAAGTGCTACAGGCAGAACTTCACTAAAACAATGGTCCCGACATTTGGGTTTCAGTTTTTTGACTCGCCCTGTACACAAGTCTTTGCAGTAAATGTATTACGAGTTACAAAATTGAATGAGACGTTGAAATTTTGGCATTAAGATTCAGGAGTGTACATGTACAAGAACAAAAACCTGTTTTATTCATCCCAATACTGATCTGGGTGATTTTGAGGACAATAAAATCGTTGCCGATGGACAAAGTAGAGATGCTCGAAACATGATTATCAATTAAAAAGGCACTATTACTGAATAGTCCTTGTTCCATTTCACACATTTGATGTTTTTTTCGGATTTGCTCCGATTCATTTATCCCGTCTGTATAATGTTTACCAAAGACAAAATTATGAATATATCTTAAGTTTCCTCTTTTGTTGGGACTGTTATTTTCCTCACAGAAAAAAAAAAAGAGATATTTTATTCTGATTGTAGTTTTCAGCTTTTTCATAAATGTGGCTAATTGTCACTCAGAAATTGATTTGACCAAAACATTTAGCCGCCACAACAATGTCACTTTCTTATACATGACATGACTGATAACACATGTACAAGGACTTTGTGTATATTAAATGCGACTTTCAGTAGTTCTGTGACAATAGCCTGATCCACTAGGCCCCGCCCACTGTCGGCAACTGTGATTGGTCAAAGCATGGGATGGGCGGGGCTTAATGGATCTATTGACTGAACTATGCGTGTTGACCCTTTTTTCTGTTGTTGCTCTACTACATAAATGTGTGTGACTATTTGACGTATTGATGCTTTGTAGTTAAATAGTATTTCTTGTACATGAAACGGGGGCCACCACAGACTGTAGGCTCGATCTGTGCATACTGATTAAAAAAAGAAACAATTTGATCGAGTACAAGTCAGCTCGATGTGTATGTTGTGTTTTATTTCTTAACAAATTGGTCTGTTCTTCAGGATTTCATATGATCAAGTAAGCCAGTTTGCTATTCCAATTAAGCACGTGCACATTAAAAAAAATTCACTGGTGTGTCAGAGTCATTTTATAAATTTCGGGTCCTAAGTGTGACGTTTTTCCTGTCCCCGTTACCTTGGTACTTTGTAGTTTTATTGCCATTCAAGTATCGTTAAGAATGACTTCAAATGATTTTTTTATTTGTTGGATGGGTAGTTTGCTATTCATAATCACTCTTGGAGGATGACTACATGAAGGACTGCAAATCATAGATGTCAGATGTAACAGACAGAAAAAAACAAGAGGACCCCAAATTTATAGAAAGACCCAGGTCTGACTTCTGAGATAAAAGCCGCAAATAAATGTACAACAAATCTATGTGGGATAAATCACATCTGCAATTTGTAAACTCGGTGTTGTGTTGAAAAGATGGAACAGAAAAACGTAAACAATTCATTGTGCCTTTCTTTTCATTAATTGTGTTGGTATTCTGTAATATCTTGCGTGCATCGTTTACACACAAAGGGAAATGAAGTCATGTGGGTGCACTGACACACCGGCTTCTGTTTAATGGAATAGATGGGTATAACTTTTCTCTCAACTTTATGGAAGCAACTCAAATCAAATAGCACTTTGTTCAGGTCCAAGATGTAAGATGCAACACTACGACTTAAAAAGTACATATCAATTTGGTGCATAACATATGCTTTTATTCAGTCATTCACTGAAAATCAAATAACACATCTGTTTATGTTGAGAAAATAAGTTTTAAAGAGTGAATACATTTGGAAATGACGTATATGAGGAACCCAGTTTTGATGAAACCATAGGCGCTTGAAAAAGAAAACCGAGAAATACCCTCCCCCCCCCCAAAAAAACACCCATTAAAATAAAATAAAATTATGTAACTTACCCCCTCCCCCATCAACCACTGAGAACTGCAAACTTTGGACCAATTGAGCTATTAGCACAATTCAGAAATCAGCTGAGATTTCAGTCACAAGTACTACACATTGCACCAATTTTTAGAAAGTGACCTCTTTTTGCTAAGAACAAGCACATTTGCGCTCAACAGTTTTCTAAGCCATGGTATTCGGGCAACACAAAAGAATCTTCAAATAAAACCAAACATCCACGGAACCCTGAAACCCACACCAACTGAAGGACTCTGTGCAGAAGTATTCATCCACCTTGCACATTCCATCCTATACCTCCCTCCCCCTCCCCCCAATGAGTGAAAATGACGCAGGTCACTTAAGTGCAGGGGCGTTTGTCTCAAGCCCAAACACTACCGGTTTGTGCACATCCCAGTTAAAAGTTGGTTACACATACCCATGCACATCATTCACCACCAGAGAGAGACAGGGCAGGCCATGTTCAAGTCATATGGCTACAAGTCGCATGGCTACGGCTGACAATAGCACACAAGTCTATGGAAAGTGGCTGCAGCGGCTAGCCAGTGGCTTCCATACAAGTAGGTATGATTCGGGCACAGCCCGAGGCAGACACCGGATTCCTATGTCAATGCGCAATGGGCTTCGGCACACTCGTATGAAAAATGCGTTATGTGTCCCTTAGGCTGTGCGCGGACACCCCAGCCAGACAGAATTGTGGGGTGATAGCATTGTGTTCCCTTTATCCCTTTTTCTAAAGATCCTCTTCTGGGGTGATGTTTTTCTATTGTAAAGATAGTGGGGTGATGTATTCTGAAAAGGAACATCACCCCACAAGTAGGGTATAGTAAGAACGGTCGAACCAGTGCAAGGACGTGGTTCTCTCATGAGGGTCAAACAGCGCCATCTACTGTTCTTGCATATACAGTCAAATCTCGTTCGCACAAACTCTGTTAATACAAAATTCTGGTTATAACCAACATAAAGTCTTAGTCCCGACTGTGCATTTATGTGTGAAATGTATGGGACTGATGTTCCTCTTAATACACAATTCTGATATAACAAACAATTTGGCTAGGTCCGAACGAGTTTGCATAAACGAGACTCGACTGTAGTCCATTACAGTACCTTATTGTTGATATCCTCTTTTTGACAATACTTACCAAACTTACCTCCACGTGATGCCTGCTCTCACCGACTCTTTGCACTATAGATGCATGACCTTTCACCTTTGAACCTGACCTTGTGATATCAGCCACAAACAGGGGACAGACGACTACCAAAAGTGGACTCCTTTCTGTTCAACAAGCACTTTTGTAAGCATGTTTTTGGACTTTTCCTTCACACACTAAGACTTTCTATCAATATATGGGACATTTGCCGGATGAGAACCAGAGTTTAGACATCTCCACCAAAAATTGACAAATTTTAGGAAGTCAGTCCAAAGAGTTGGATCAAACAGTCTTTTACAGATAAAAATTAAAAATGCCAAGAAGTAATTATTCTAGTACTTTACAACTGCCAGGACTGGAATTTCATTCCTTTCCTTCCAAATTTCACTCACACCAGTTACTTTACTTTTTTCCCAGGTAAAATAAATTGGAGTTTACAAAATTGAACCAGGAGATAAATTGAACTGTTGGAATAAACACAAGACACTGAATCATACTAAACAGTTTTGCATAAACTGCCAGACCCTGTTTAGGATGAAAATTGTCTCACGCACGAAAATGCTTGCTTTTATTTACTAAACACTTCTACAGAACTTGCAGAGCCTTTGACTTCAACATAGCAAATTTAACACACGTGAAACAACCAAATGACTTTATCTACTTGACTAATTGTTCTAAAACTTTAGAAGCCTCTGGCACACCAAGTGTTGTCCTTTTTGATGATTAGTAATCAAAATGCAGCTGTCTGAGACAAACTTACAAAGATACTTCAAACAACTTGAAAACCTATGTAACAACAGTGACTCTGACTTAACCACTAGGAAAATGCATTATTTACAAACACGATAATGATATTTTGAAACCTCGAAGGAACTCAACTAGCAAAGACTTTTCAAAAAAATGCTTTGGAAATACTATACATGACGGAAGAATATACCGTTGTTATTATTCAGAGGACATCAGAAATGAATGACCAGCTTTTGGTCTTTCAACTGTTTAATGACAAATCAAATGAAACACTGAGCTTACAAGAAACGACATTTTTGCTTGACAAATGACAAACAAAATTCTACCACACAACACCTTAAACAAATTACTGTGATGACTTGACACAAAGCAAAGACAACATCCTTCTTCTTTAGCCCATTACTTAGCCACTGTATTATATTGTATTACATTGTATTACATTGTATTACATTGTGTTTATTTCCTAATGAATCCATAAAATCATAGAGAGATCAGGAGGTTTCAGCCGCTGTGGGCGGTACATTGACTAAAAGTTTAAAATTATGATTCACAACACAAATCAGAGACAACTTCTCCTTTGAACTTGTCAAAATGACAAAATGATATAAATAAACACGACTGCAAATCACCGACCACAGAGAACTAGAAAATATTATTCAAACATTTGGAACAAATGATCTTACATTGATGAGTTTCGGTGAAATACACATTTTATAAGACACACCAGTATGTTGCACCAGACAGAAACAAAATCTGCAACCAAGTGACATTGTTTTAAAGAGGATTGAGATTCACCCAATATTTTCTAAAATGACGCAAAGAAAAATCATCAGTTTTATTGTTTTTCTTTTGACGACCAACTGATACCACACTGCGACATTGCATCCAAATAATTTTTTGGGATATTTTTTATCAAGTAACCATTCTAAAAGCCTTTTATGACCACAATAAAAAAAAAACTTTTGGGAAAGCAAGACCCGAGCCAATCAGAGTGACGCGACTGTATTAATACCGACCAATGGTTACTCCGATGCGACGACCCTTGATGCTTGCACCATTCAACAACACTGATAAGAAATTAGTCAAGGAAAAATTACGCCATGTACATAAAATGAGATATATTTACAGGGGAAAAAATTAAAATTGAGCGACAAAACGTAAGAGAAATCAGAAAGTTACAAATTAGTTAGACTAAAACCAAATTCATTTTTTTTTCAATGCCCCCTGTCAAAAGTTAACCATATAGTAACAACAAGCAACAAGTTAAAAACTACAGGGTGACACCCCCCCCCCAAAAAAATGTAACCCTGAAACATTTGCCTTTTTTCAAAAACGTGATCTGTGAATTTTTACGTTTTGGATATCAGATTAAACTGAAGCCAAGAGTTTTTTCTTTCAAATACTGAAAAAAAATCATGAAAACAGCACATTGGGTTGCTGAAAAAATGCCAATTATGTAGAATAAGATATTTTTCATCCTTTCCAATAGTGCTTCAAGCAGTGAAACATGTTACTGTAAGCACGCTGTGCAATAGTTTTTCATTTGTGCAATTTCTTTAATATTTTGACATATTTATGATGCCGAAAGGTTAAAAATAGGACTAAAAAGGATTAGATACCTGTTCAGGTGGAAAATAAAAGTTATTTCTATCAAATTCATTTGTACTCTTGTCACATTATGTGCCGTGTTGTTTGTAAGGATTAGGACAAAATGCGCTGCATTTGTGGTCATGCCATTGGAATGGACCAAAAAGAACTTGTGTTACATAATTGTCATTTTCTCAGCAACCCAATGTCCTGTTTTCATGATGTTTTTCAGTATTTGAAAGGACAAATTCTCAGCTTTAATTTGATATCCAAAACATAAAAATTCACAGGTCATGTTTTTGAAAACCCCCTAAATGTTTCAGGGTTGCTTTTTTTGGGTCGCCCTGTAGACAAAGGAAAACAATTATATGGTTCATAAGATTTGAAATAGCCAAATTCTTTGGAGGTTTCGTTTTCCAAAAATGGCTTTTCAGCTAAGCAAAAAAAATGAAGCCTTTTGTTTCTGAGTGGCTCTCAACTAGTTTTAAGACTGAATCTATTAAGTGTAATTATATCTGCTAAGTGTACTTTTTATTCTGCTTGGGTGACCTGATGTTCTTGAGACCATTCAAAGGATACATATTGCCTGCTGAGCGTGTTGAGGGTTGTGATACTTGACAGTGCCAAAGCCTTTGGATTTCCCATCGCTGTCCTTCTTAACGTCTGCATAGTAAACTGGTCCTAGAAGGAGGGGTGATGAATGACATACAGGGTGAGTAAAAAAAACAAAACCCAAATGTCGGGACTATTGTTTTAGTGAAGTTCTGCATGTAGCACTTTCAAAATCTAGGATATGAAAGCCCAATTCATAAACTTTGTTGTAGTACAAGAATCATTCAAATCGCTCATGTACTTTTCAAGTTACGGAATTTTAAAGGTACTTGATCAATAAACTTCACTTGTTGAAAGCTGTTCACAAGACATACATGTAGTTCAAAAGTTCATACATGTATATGACCACATAATGGACTTGGCCAAATAACTGGGGTGTGAGTGACCACTGATAAAAAAATAGCTGAAAACAGCTGAAAAAGGTGTAAAAAAGTTGAACTTAGGAAATCTCCTATACTTTTGTACGGAGCAAGTGAAGGAAAAAGCTGAAAAAAGCTGAAATCCAACACACACAAAAAGCTGAAATCAGCTTTAAAGCCGAGATTTCACACCCCTGAAATAAGTCACCTCACGTACCTAGATACACTGCATCGTTCTTCACGAAAACTTTTTAGAAAAAACATTATCCCTCTGGGTTTTTTTACACACTGATACAAAAGACCCTGTGAATTTTTAAAAATAATGGTTCTTACCAATTTTCTTGAAGCAATCTTTGAGATCCTCCCAACTGACTTCAGGCGAAAGCTGAAAAAAATCGAAGAAATGCAATAATTGCAAAGAAATTAGAAAGAAAAGAAAGCACTGCCACCAAATTTCACAACTCATATCAGAGATTAAACGTGCCTCCCAGCACTTCATGAAAACAACATTTCTCTGAGTTTCACCTGATATTTTCCAAAATTCAATGAGAAATATTTTTTACCGTAATTTTTGGAATATAAGCCGCGCGGCGTATAAGCCGCAGCACGCAAAAATCTGCAAAATAAGATTTGAAGTCGGCGTATAAGCCGCATCGGCGTTTAAGCCGCACCAACCGCAGCGGTTCAATTTTGTAAGGCCTCCAAATTCTAGTCAAAATGCTCTGAACCAGTTCCAGGTACACTACGAAAGCTATAAAAAGGGCCACAAAGTTATATCAAATCATTTACAGTCGATTACTCTTACAAACAAATATGGAAATTGATGATGAGAAATAAAAAATGGGAATTGCTGCCGGCTGGCTCGTCAGTGAGCCTGTGCCGGCGAATGACATTATTTTCCCCTAGCACTTGAGAGAGTATAATGCAACCCACCATGTGTTGTCTGACTAAAGCGCTACAAATCCTGCTTTGTGGCAACAGACGCTAAGTTGTTTTGTCCTAAAGGATAAACAAGTCCGTTTTTACAGCAAAACTTATCAAATTGTTGTGATTACTAACGAGTAGTAACGTCAAAAATTCAAGTTTGGATCGTAACTTTCTTCGAAAACAGTCAACACGATGCTGAGATTTTTATGGAATTCACCCCTGTTTTGAGTTTTACATCGTTTCTTGAATACATTTCAAGAAAAAAAATTATAATGTGACGTTGAACAACTGATTATCAAATAAAGATATGTTTCAAACTCCATAAAAAGTATTAGTTGTCTTTTTCCTTTTTTTAAACTGGGGAAATATTGGTAATTATTGTTCCCAAGAAAGTACTAGCCGTACTTTTTACCTCTCGGTACCTTTTTGTGGGACGTGCTTTCGGTTTGTTAATGACTTTCTTAATTGATAATTATTTCAGCAACACATCTCTCCTTGTACCAGTACATTAAATACACATGTAAATGTCATTTTTATTCTTCAAGTCTCGGCGTATAAGCCGCCCTGTGTATAAGCCGCAGTAAATATTTTCATGGGCAAATTCAACGTATAAGCCGCGGCTTATATTACGAAAATTACGGTACTTAAACAAGGTTGCTGGGAAGTCAAGAGGTGGTTGCAGCAAAGCAACTAAGATACTGATAATATTTGCACTGTATACACACTAAAAAACCACCATAGCCAGTCAGTCAATGGATGGGACTTGGACACATAGCACAATACTCACATACGCCAAACTGGCAAAAAACCTGTCCCTTCTGGGTCAATATAAAATTCCCTGAGTTTTTTAACAGATTTTTTTTGGGGGGGGGGGGGGGTGTTTTTCCCAAATTCTCTGAGTTTTCCCGGACTACTTTTCAAGGTTTTCCCTGAAGTTCCCAGAGTGGCTGGGAACCCAGGGGTTGTTAGGCCAAAAAAAAAAGTAGTCGGTCTCTGGTCAGACCAAAGTTCCGGAATTGATGCGGTGACGCATTTTTGGGGGTTTTTTTGGGGTTTTTTTTTTTCAAGCTTGGATTGTACAGACAAGGTGGGTACTATTTTTGGCTTTTTTTTGTTTATCCTCATATACATTGGTGTCCTCCATCATTTGCCTTTATGCAATTTCCCCATTCCTTGGTACACAAATTTGAGGAGGTGCAGCAATAGAGGGCGCTGTTGTAGCTACCGTGGACAATTTGGAGAAAAAAAGGTTGACGCGCATGATTCAAATCGACGCGCACGCTGACCAGAGACCGACTATTTTTTTTTTTTGGCCTTATGATTAAGCCTTTAAAGGGTCCATGAAATGAATTTTTCTTAGGGAAACATTCTGTGCTACTTTCTATTCCCCTTAAATTTAGAAAAACTACTTGACATCTCTTTTTGGTTAATTTTATTGAAAAGTGCACTTCTTTAAACATTCACATTGCTTTTCCGGACAACTGAGGGAGCTGTTGCTGTGATGTCATTTCAGGAAGGCACTGTTCAGCCACGGCTCCGTTTAGGGGTTTTCTGTTCAAATTGTGAACCCAGAAAACTGCTCTCTGAAAACGTTTTCTGACAAAAGCTTGCTCATTGGCTCACTGCCAAGTACTGGCACTACAACGAATCACCAAAGAAAAGAAAATTCACGACAGCAAAATATCCGAAATTCTGGCAACCTTTGGTGCTGAAATAGCTGTAACAAAGATGTTTCTGACTAAAATGACATCACACTTTTGTTCATGAATATGGCCATTTTCATCAGCATAAAAACCAAAAAGGCACCCAAAATACCCTTCAAAATAGCAAAACAAAAATTGAAAATAAGGTTAACTGGAAGGTGCATTTTCAAGGATTGCGTTACAAAATTACATTGCATGTGTCTTTTAACCAGTTCGGGCCGGCTGACAAGTATACACGCAAAGGTTCTGCGGTATTCAGAACGGATGACGGATAAAAACGCAGGGAGTGAGGCCAGAAATATGAGTGTGCTGCCCGAGGGTGATGGCTTCAACCCACCTGGCATTGAGGTCGAGTGAATGTAATTCCGCGCCTCGTTCCGTTCTTGTCAAAATATCCCCGGCGTAAACTGGTTAGAGATTGACAACATTTGACTCACATTTCGGATGAAGACTTGGCACCCTTGACTGGGTTCAGTGTTGGAGGAGGATCCGTGGCCGTAGTTCCTCATGGGACCACCCCCAAACCCACCCCCGTAGTTGCCTCGGGCGTCTGCCTGCTGGTACCCCATGCCAAGACCCATGTCAAAACCCCTGCCCATACCTGTGATACACCAACAGGAATCCTGAATTAAAATAAAAGCTGGGCACAGGTACCACTTAGGTGGCCACACTTTTGTTAGCATGCAATGCTGTACAAATCCAGGCACGGTATCAAGTCTTTCAGGATGGCCCCCTTCAATGGAGAAAGCATTGTGCTAGCTATTGTTCAGATAATCCGTCACGGGACAGTTGCTTTAAACAATAGCATGTACAATGGTTTCTCCATTGAAGGGGGCCTCAGCCTAGGAGTGTACAGTGATCAGCGCCCATCTATACTCACAAGCATTTTTCTTCAATGAAACACATTTTCGACTTTCCCCGAGTGAAATCATCATAGAAAACTAATACGTTAACAGGCACTTTTTAATTCAAAACCCAAATGGCTACATAATAAGCACGAGCCAAAATAAATTTTCCTTTTTCTGCAATAATTCCTACTCACGAGGGGTAGGCTGGTTCCCGCCCCACAATCAGTATTGTTAATGTATGGATCGGAAGCCAGTCTGCTTGCAAAGCGGATCAGTTTGTGCCCAAAATAAAAACCTCTTTTTCCACAACGTTGAAGCCGTAAAAATAAAAGGAAGGTTTTTAGTAATAAAACATACAAGTTGGATATGTCTTAATAGAACAAAAAAATTGTTGAAGAGAAGGGGAAACGTTAAGTATAATTTAAACCAGAAAGCAAAATGCCTCACCTCCCATTGGCTGATCAAAGCCACCCCCAAAGTCTCCACCAGCGCCCATCCTGTTAAACATGCCCGCTCCACCCATGGCTCCTCCCATGGCCCCTCCCATCATGGCTCCGCCCATCATAGCCCCGCCCATCGGGGCCCCGCCCATCGGGGCCCCGCCCATCGGGGGCCCGCCCATCATGGCTCCGCCCATGCCGCCGCCGCCACCACCCCTTGAAAGTAGATTTTGGCCGATCCCTCCAAGACCCTCTGAAAAGAAATATAAATGCAACAAAGCCATAAAATAGTCAGTAAGTGCTGAATCTGTTAATACAAAAGTCACCAAATTCAATTCTATGAATAAAAACTGGCGATATACTCACGCGGAAGTTCCTTCTGTTTTTCTGGCTCTTGGGTGCGTTTCTTACTCTTGTCCTTTGATCGTAAAGAAAGAGAAGAAACAAATCAGCTTTTTGTTGTGGTACCTAATGAAATGCCGACACCTAGAACTTGTGTGAAAAGATTTTTGTTCCTAAGCCTTGATATTCTTGTGAAATTTACTGCATAGATTATACTTGAGATAGTCCTCCGCACTGCTCCAGGATGTCACTGGCTCTGCCTCATGTTGACAGTGACTGCTGGAGGATTTTGCAGGATTTATTAGGCAGTGGTCACCCCTCCAAGGACCATATTCAAGAAATAATGGAGGATTTCGGAGGATTGAGGATGTATGCTATTTTTACATGGAGGCAGTTGGAGGATTTTGCAGGATTATGGTTGCATCCCACATGTCCCAGCAAAGATGCCTAGGGAGTTAGGGTTCACAAGTGTTCAGTTCATCCAAGGACAAAAATAAATCAGTTTTATTTCATTGTACGTAAGAGTTAACAACTGTTTTTAAAAGATAGTAGTAAACCCAGTCTCTCTTACGTCTGCACGAATCAACACTTGCATGGAAAAGAATGATAGGGCCAAAAAAAAAATAGTTCTGCTTCCGATTACATGGCATTCGAAAATAGGATATGTAGGTAGGGAATTTTTTTCGCCATTTTTTTTGTGTACGATCATATGGAGGCGTCTGCATGTAGTCAACGGTAAAAGGTAGAAATTGATTGTTTTGGGTGTTTTTTTCTCATTTTTCCCATAAAAAATTAGGGTAGGGGCTGTCTGAATAGGGTAGGTAAGGAACACCAGAAGCAGAACTATTTTTTGTTTTGGCCTAGGTAAAAATTAGCAGAGTCCGCTCAAACTGACTGGGGAATGAGATTTGAAATAATTTATTTTCCAAATTGAAAAAAAAGAAGAAAAATACACACACCATTCTGACGCTCATCTTCAGTTCAAACAAGGGCTGGTTATCAAACATGGCTGCAGTAGGAATTCAGGAATTATACGATGCAAGATGTAGGTTTGGTTGATTAACAGAAACCAACAATGTGACTTGCTCCAACGGCGACAAAGTTACCGATCCATTTCGAGTAAACAGCGCGCAAAGTCATTTCAAGGTGGATTCATCCATTTTTTTAATTTTAGGGCCACCGTATGCTTTACATATTCATTTTACTCTTAAAACAAATTTAATTTGTTAGGCAAAAAAAAAATAGTCAGTCTCTGGTCAAACCGAAGTTGCGGAATTGATGCAGCAACGCATTTTTCTTTTGGTCGGCTGTTTTTTTCAAGCTTGGATTGTACAGACAAGGTGGGTACTATTTTGCTTTTTTGTGTCCTCATTATACATTGGTGTCCTCCATAATTTGCCTTGGTGCCCTCCATCATTTGCCTTTGTGCAATTTGCCCATTCCTTGGTGCTCCTTGGTACAAAAATTTGAGGTGGTGCGGCAATAGAGATCGCTGTTGTAGCAACTGCGAAAAATTTAAAAAACAAAAAAGATTGACGCACATGATTAAAATCGACGCGCGTGCTGACCAGAGACAGACTTTTTTTTTGGCCTTAGAGTAAAAATACTTGATTTTTTCCGATATTTGGAGCGATGTCTGTGAACAAAAGAAGCGTGGACTGAAACAAAAGTTCACAAATCACCGCAAAGTTCCCGAAAATAAGTCGCTTTCATACAGAGCGTATAACTTCCCCCTCATTGAAATTTGGTATCACCGTACAGCTCGAACACGTGCCAACTATCGAGTCTTGTAGTTACACAGTTTTTGAGCTTACATGCACTACCCGCAGAAACAGGTGGCGTTCCTTGGGGAAATAGCCACTAGTCACTCTTCAAGTGACATTTTTTTACAACAATGTTCGGGATGTTTTGCACACAAAAATCGGGAGCCAAGGACAATGTTCGGTATTATAATTATGTTTTCAAGGGCTTTTTTGCAGTCAAACTAGGCATTGAACAAATGCAGAAGTCTTCCAAACGGTAGAAAATTGGTGCTTTTCCTGCAAGTAGCTCTTAAACTTGTTTATATTCTTGCGTGAGAACATTTGCAAGAGTACAAGTACGAGTACTCTTCATGAGTACGAGTTAGCCTAGGAGCATGAGTACATTTTCATGAGTATGACTACCAGTATTAAAAAAAAAATACTCGAGCAATTATGAGTATGAGTACTGCAAATGCAAGGTCTGTTTCAAGGATACAGATGGCATTGACTGCTTCTTCACTTGAGGAGAAGGTGACTGTGGCCAGGCCAAGGCTCTTCCCTTGCTCATCCTTCAAGATTTCCAGATTCATGACCAGACCGGCTAAGCTGAACACGTCCTTCAGTTTCCTCAGGTCAACCTCCTCTGAGAGCTGCAATTAACCAACCAAAATTTGAACAAATGCAGATGGAAGAAATGGGATCTGTGCAAGAAAAGTAAATGCAGCTTTGCTACCACTTGTGAGAGCTCCGCCTATTCACTTCTTTTCTACCTCCAAAATTCATTCGCACAGAAACGTGGTCTATTGGGTTATTTTAACCAGGACCCATTTTCACAACTCTGCTAACCACATAATTTCACGCTTACGATCACCACTTTCTGTACTAAACATGTAAGCCCAGAATCCTTAGTTACGGGATGTACGCATGCGCAGATGCCAACATTCCTTGCTCAAGTGTGAAATACGCTTACCACAATTTTCTGCTATAATAAGCAGGCATTTTTCGCTAACTGTAAGCAGAGCCAAGATATTGGGTCCAGATCTGGCATTGCTAAGGCATTTCTGTATATAGAACTGGTTTGAGGTTTTAGAAACTCCTTTATCAGAGGAAAATGCAAAACTCAAACAGGTGGTACCTCACGGTCTGCCACACGGTTTGCCTCGAGGTTGGTTTGCCTCAAGGTTTGCCTCGAGGTTGGTTTGCCTCAAGGTTTGCCTCAAGGTTTACCTCAAGGTTGACCTCAAGGTTGACCTCAAGGTTTACCTCAAGGTTTGCCTCAAGGTTTGCCTCAAGGTTTACCTCAAGGTTTACCTAAAGGTTTGCCTCAAGGTTTGCCTCAAGGTTGGTTTGCCTCAAGGTTTGCCTCAAGGTTGGTTTGCCTCAAGGTTGGTTTGCCTCAAGGTTGGTTTGCCTCAAGGTTTACCTCAAAGTTTGCCTCAAGGTTGGTTTGCCTCAAGGTTTGCCTCAAGGTTTACCTCAAGGTTTACCTCAAGGTTTACCTAAAGGTTTGCCTCAAGGTTTGCCTCAAGGTTGGTTTGCCTCAAGGTTGGTTTGCCTCAAGGTTTACCTCAAAGTTTGCCTCAAGGTTGGTTTGCCTCAAGGTTTACCTCAAAGTTTGCCTCAAGGTTGGTTTGCCTCAAGGTTTGCCTCGAGGTTTGCCTCAAGGTTTGCCCCAAGGTTGGTTTGCCTCAAGGTTTGCCTCGAGGTTGGTTTACCCAAAAGTTTGCCTCAAGGTTGGTTTACCTCAAGGTTTGCATCAAGATTTTCCTCAAGGCTTACCTCAATGTTGTTCTTAATGTTTTCCTCAAGGTTTTACAGGGAACCTCTCGGTTCAAACTAACGATACCACTTGTTTAATTTTGCATTCTCCCCTTAAGGTAACTCACATTGGCTATATGGATCGTTTCGGAGACTTCGTCAGGGTGGATCCCGAGCCGAAATAAGACGTCTGGGTTGACAATGGATGACTGGGGTTTGGTAGTTGGTGGGCCTCGGTATCTCGAGCTAAAGCTGAGATCTCTATCCTGAAAGTTAAAATGAGTCCACAAGGATGTAAAATCAAATCTTTTTTCAATGTGTAATTAACTGTGTTTATCTTTTTAATTAATTTTAAAGATGTTGTTTTTAAATCGTTTTTTTGAACTACAAAAAATGAAAACAGCCATATTTATTAACTGTCTTTTTTTGCCACGAGTGTGAATGAGTAAACACAAAGGAGAAAGCACCCAATCACAAATGTGCAATAGAAATGGTTCCAAATTGTCTTCCGTTATCAAAATTTTATATTTTGTCGGCCTTACTTTTGACAAAGTTTGGTTGAAATTGCTCAAAAATATGTAGGACCAATAGACAATGTCAACATTTATAACTAACTAACTAACGGACTAACGGAGAGACATGATGATTTGCTGAGCTGCTATCCCGCAGCTAAAAATTCAAATATTGTTTTTCTGTACGAGGTTGAATTCTCTGGCAAGGGGAGGGGTAGTTCTGTTATTTTTTTTGCAGCCGATTTGGAGGGGGGGGGGGGGGGGGACTACGCAGTACTTACATCTCTGACGACAAGCCCACGTCCCTGGATCTGGTATTTCTTCATCTTGTTTATGGCTCTCTCCACGTCTGTTGAATGTTCCATCTCCACCACGCTAGCACCAAAGTAAACAAAAACATCGTGATTAGGCAAAAAAAAAAAATAAGTCGGTCTCTGGTCAGGGCGCGCGTCGATTTTAATCATGCGCGTCAATCTTTTTTATTTCCAAAATGTTCCGCGGTAGCTCCAACAGCGCCCTCTATTGCCGCACCTCCTCAATTTTTTTTTTACCAAAGAGCACCAAGGAATGGGAAATTGCACCAAGGCAAATGATCGAGAGCACCAAGGCAAATTATGGAGGACACCAGTGTACATGAGGACACCAAAAACAAGCAAAATAGTACCCCACCTTGTCTGTACAATCCAAGCTTGAAGAAAAAAAAAAAAAAAAAAAAAAAAAAAAAGCCGCGTCCCCGCGTCAATTCCGGAACTTTGGTCTGACCAGAGACCGAATTTCTTTTTTTTTGGCCTTATCCTAATTGTTTCATACTCGCATTTCTATCAACTTCGTGCCAAAGTAATCCCTCAATGGTGCCAAGGATATACCCAACAATCTGTTCACAATTATATGCGACAACTTTGTGAACATTATAGAGTATTTGTGTGTTCTCCACACTGTGTGTACCGAAACTAGTATGCGTTTAATAAATACTGGAGTTATATACAGCGTGTGTATCTACCAACAATTAGGTACTCAAGGCGCTGGAAAATTATGTCAATTATTAAAGAAAGGTAAATAAAGTTTATGAGAAATATGAGACCCATTATATAGCACCTTTCAGGGTTTACAAGGTGCTGCGGCGCATATTGCAGCCACTGCCAGAAACACTGGGGCAAACCTCTTCTCTTAGCGATAAGCGTTACTGGGTTCTTTAACGTGCATTACAAACATGTACACAACACATGGGACCTACGGCTTTACGTCCCATCCGAAGGACGAAGCAATAATGGTAAAGTGCCTTGCTCAAGAGCACAAGCAACATGTTCCCACGGTCAGGATTCGAACCTGTGTACCAAAGGGCTGCCTCCTTCCCATTTTTCAAAAGTACAGACGACAAACTATATTAACTGCTCAATTAAAACAATTTTAAAAAAATCACAACCATTGTAAGGCATATCAGAGGGGTAACTAACTTTGGACACTGGAGATTTTCTGACCCTTTCCAGACAAACAGAGAAAACAAGACAAACAGACAAAAACAAGACTCAGCTTTACATTATGAATTTCTTCTACTTTCTTATGGTCTGAATTGCTTCGGCAAATGATGCAAATGAATTTATCCAAAAAATTAACAAAAAGTACCGAAAAAAAATAAAATAAAAAAGTATGAATTTTATTAACAAAAAAATGTTTTAATTATTGGTAGAAATTGACTTACCCACATCCCTGATAACCACGATTCAGTCAGGGAATGCATTTGGACCAAGCAGATTGAGAAAGGGAAAGAAAAAATGTTAACAAATCAATTAAATATTTGGTGTTTTTTTTTACAAAACTATGCGCACGAATTCTATATGACAAATCTCTTAACAGATTTGACATTACTTTCAAGAGGATTCGAGAAGGTACATGTACTTCAAGCATACTTGTCTAGAGAAGTAGGGTTAACTGTAACCTTTCCACATCAGTGGTGAGATTAAAATCCAGATTTTTTAAAAATTTGGTTTGAATTCCACTTTTTGGTTTGGATTTTGGAACTTTTAGCAGATATTCGAAACTAACCTCAAACAAAATTAAACCTTCCATTTAACAAAATTAAACCTTCCATTTTTTGTGTGACACAAGCTATTTCAAGAAATCAACAGGAACATGCTCCAACTTCCTCCATGGTCTTTGATAGTACCGCATTCCCTTGTTACTGTCTTCTTTGTTCATGAATAGCCTGCCATTCGACCGATCATAGGTTCCCACTCGTTGTTTCAACTTGACAGCTCCGAATTGTTTTGAAAAAAGGCCCAGTGGTCAGTGAACCCCACAAACTAAACCAATCATTGTGGAGGGCATTGCATACAGCACTCCACTCGTCACTTTTCATTGGCATAGCTGCGAGCTGAAGGCGGAGCTCCTAGTAAAATCGGATAACAGATTCTTGGTTTGAGAGAAGTTTTGATAACCGGATTTGAAATGTTCGAATTCTCCCACCACAATGCCGGATTCTCCAAAACCAACGTGAGAAGTTTGGGAGGTTTTTGCAAGATGAGGCAGGTACAGCCTAGCCGTTATTGTGGTGGATTACAGGGAGGTAGCGAAATACATTGCAACTTTCATAATGGCACGACAGAAACACATACCGTTGACAGTCCACCCGGCTCCGGGAATATCTCACAGAAAGACACTTTTCCAACTGCAAAGAAAGAACGGAGAAGATGAGGTAAAATTTGTCAACACTGAAAGAAATCTGTGATGGTTGGAGTATGCACAAGTTGCCACTATGACTTCGCGCCTCTTTTTCTTGTCTTTTTTTTTTTTTCTTCCTTTGTTTTTTTTTGGGGGGGGGGGGCAAGCACTCCCCCCTTGCCCTCCCCCCTTGCGACGTCCATGAAAAGGGTTAAACCAGGCCTCACCAGAAATAGAATGTCTAATACTTGGGGCCAATCTTGAGTTGTGATCAGTTCATCATTCACAATCGCCAGTCTCAAGTCGAAACACAAGCTATTTAAATGAACTCTGACAAAAGCATTTCTTTGTCTCTGTTTATTTTGCCCTAATTACCTTTTGGTGTGAACAACTTGCAATTGGATTTGATTGATTGGTGATTGCAATATTTAAATGTGGCCGAGTCAACGGACCGTTCCAAAGTTTGTCATAAGCCCCGCCCATCTTTGGCTTTGTGCAATTCTCACAGTGCTTGAGACTTGAGTCGGACCAAGTTACCGAGTCACCTGACCATAAATCAAGATGTAATTGGTCAATATACACAATGCTTGATTGACGGACAGGAGGGATCCATTTTTACCACCCTGCTTTTTTCACCTTGTTCTTCAAAGAGGTCTTTAAACTCCTGCTCGCTCAGCTCATATGGAATGTTGCTGACAAAGACGGAGTTTGTGTAAGTCCTGGTGCCGATGCCCTTGTAGGGATGGAACCGGATGCGGGAACGACTGCCTTTCAGACCGCCTCTGTGGTTTCTGGTTTGGTTGGTGCTACATGGTGGATCATGGAAAGAAAGGAAGCTATCATGTTACAAAAACTTGAACCATGGAGGAAGGAACATGCTTGAACTAAGCTAAATCGTTGCCTGTGCACAACAAAAGTGGCAAAGCATTCTGCTGTGTAGATCTAACTATCCAGACGCCACTTCAGCGGTTGTGTACAAAGTCTATGGAGAATCAAGAGCATTTTTAAAGTATTTCCTTACTAACAAAATTGGAAATGTTTCTCAGTCCCAGATTCACGTCTAGTCTGACCTTTTGCAAAGATTCCCATATCTGGCCATCACAATTGTCACCCTGTGCACAAACCCTATGGGACTGGTCTAAAAATTTCTAAGTGTTTTCTCAGTAAAAATTCAAAATTTGTCCCTGCTAATTTGAGGTTTTAGGACATATTATCACTTTCTGGTGGCTGATAGTGATAGGTTATTTAAGGAAAAATTACTGATGGCCAGATATGGCAATTTTTTCCCTTTTTTGCAATGACTGACCTTTACTGAGATGATAATGATATAATATGAAAAAAAAGTGGCGTCAGGTTGCAGCGTTCTTTCCCAGACTAGTATTGCCTATGGAAATGACCCCAGTATCATGCTGCTATGTTGGGCACGTCTGGTTGATCTGCGCGATCAGTTGATCACGTTGTGCTAGTATCGGTTGATCTTGACGTGATCAATCCTGTTGCCACTCAAACACTTTTTCTTTCTTAATTCTAATTCTTGGTTCTGGAGGATTTTTTTTAAAAAGTAAGTAAAGTCCGAGATATCCTTCAGAATCGACCAATTGTGTAACGCGATCAACCGATTGCGTAGCGTGATCATCTGATTGCGTAACGCGATCGACCGATCACGCCCAGCACTTTTCAAGTCTTAAGCTCTTCAACACCTAGTCCTACAGGCCTAACTTAGTGCTACAGGCTCTTAAAATTCATTCTGATTATTTTTAGTTGGGTCTGAAAACATTTAACAATTTTTTTTTTTTTTTACAGACAAGATGCCGAGCGCCCTCTTGTGTTAACATTGACAAAAATGTTTTTACTCTTCACTAGACTTCACCTTTTACTTTGCCCATTTGAAGTAGTATCTGATATGTCTGGCTCCTCTTTTGGCATGTCTGTGTCCTCCGCACTATACTGATGTTCATAGTGGCCCTGTTGGTATTCACTTTCTAAATTCATGTCCATTTTTCAGGCGAAAAAACAATACTCAAAAGCCTGTTAGTGTTAGTGTTACTTTATTTTTTTTAGTAGTTTTAGTACACGCTTACATCCATTTATCATGCAACAATCATATCTAGGCTGGTACCACCTCAAGAAAATAAATAAAGATATCTGCAACATTATTTGAAGACAGGGGACTAGCCGTGAAATACTGTTTGTCCATTCGGGGCCACCGTAATAAAAAAAGAAGCGAGCATTTTCAACCTCGTTCTAAACTCAAACCAGCATCATGACGCTGTATGTGTGTCTGGGTCAACGAGCTTGGGAACGTTAAAACGTGGCTTTTCGCGTCACCGTACTTACCCTGGCATCTCATGCTTTGCGTGCAACTCTTGAACAAAGCTACGCTGACTTTCCCTCTTGGATTTGACCCCCAAATCACAGATATTGAGACCCAAATTCCTGGATAAAGTGCTAAAGGCTTTGGAGCAGACATGAGTGGGTCAGAAGACGGCAGACACGGCACAGCGGACGAAGAATTGCCCGAAGAAATCGACACAGACATCACCGACATAATCGAGTTGGATCAAGACGAACTGCAGGTGGGGGGTGATGACGACAACGGGCAGTTTGACGTCGAAGGATCGCCGTCAAAATCACCGGAGAGCGGCCGAGATCGGGAACAGTCGGACAAAAAAGACGATGACAAAAATGACAGGTTGTTGTTTGATGAGATTGTCTCATGCCGTGTCTCTAAAATCCACGAATTGTTTTTGTAAATAATGCTTAAAAATGAGTGTTAAAATTTTATGGGATATGTGTGGGGCGACTTTGTAAATTGTTTAATGTTTATAAATGAATTGTAAAGACAACTCGCCCCATTTATGTCACTGTGACTGATGGCTTGATGCTTTTAGTTTTAATTTTAAATCTCTGCCTTTAATGCTATCCTAGGCCTAACCATTTAAAAAACCCAAAGTTAAAATTTACTCGGGCCTACAAAGTGTAAGTGGCAAGGCTAATCAATTTCTGTATGCATAATGTTCATTTTTTATAAATATAATTTTGTAACCTAGCCTTGCTAGGCCTAACTAATGACAATGTTATTAATGTTACAAAAGTTTAACTTCAACGTTTGGAAAGAACATGATGAATGTAGTATCCAGACGTCACTTTATTGGTTGTTTACATGTTCAAAGTCTATGGAGAAACAAGAAGAATTCCAGAATATTTTCTAACAAAATTGGAAACGTTTCTCACTCAGTTCCAGATTCATGTGTTTTCAACAATTTTTGCAATGACTGACCTCCATCGTGGTGATGATGAAAAAAGTGGCATCAGGATGCTGCATTCTTTCGTAAAGTTTTAGTTTAAAGGCTTAAAAAAAAAAAAATTCTGTTCTTTGGTTAAATGGTGAATTTACTTTACACATCATTTTCAGACCACGAGAAAAGTCAAAAGATCAGGACAGGAATCGTGACCGACACGGTGACCGCAACCGTGATCGCGACCGTCGGGATCGCCGAGACGCCGGCCGCAGAGACTCAGGAGGAAGGCGTGACCAGCGAGGCGGGAGGTTCCATCCCTACGGTGGGAAGGACCGTGACGGTGGGCGGGATCGAACGATGGGCCGGGCCGTCTTTGTCAGCAACATTCCGTTTGAGATGAAGTGGCAGGAGTTGAAGGACATCATGAGGAAAGAGGGTCAGGAACCAGTTCCTTGCATCTGGTAGAAGATAGAAAAACTGGCCTTATTCTGTATTAACACCCTCCTATGACGTCACACTATTTTTTCTTTTCTCACCATTATTTTGCATGAGTGGAGCACGGCGCACCATTATCTTACCAATGGCGTGCTAGCTGCGCGCATATTTTTTTTACCTGTAGGTGGGTGAAGCCACTTACGAATAATTCAGTAATTTCATGGAATCACAGCAAGACACTAAGGTTTTTGTATTCCTCTTTCCGTCTTTAAAAAAACCGTGGTCGTTGGAACAATGGACGTAGCAGGGTTCGAACCACTAGGCCACTGTGGCAGCTTGATGACTGCCGTTCTTTTAAATGTAACTACATTGTAATTTACTAAATAATAACAATGATATGACATCATTGTTCTTTTCTCATAGATAAACAAAATTGATTTTCCCATTTTAACAAATTCAGCAATGAAGATGTACAAAGGCCTTCGTTTAAGCAATAATGAGGAATTCTTGGAGGGTGATAAGTAGGTTGATAGTAACTTAATACACTCGGTAGTGCGCAGTTCGTGGGTGATGAATGGCCTGAGCACCCAGTGCGCTACTCGTGTATTATCCTTGACATAAAGCACATCAAGTGCTGAAACAGAAACTGGCAGAGCACTTCTTGATTTTGAAATTGTCAAGTCCTCACAAGTCCATCACAAATCAGGTACAAGTTCATCGCAAGTCCATCTCAAGTCAGTCAGAAGCAGCGGCGTGCCAGTGGCCCCCCCCCCCCCCCCCCGTCCCCCAATCAAGTCTCAAGAAATAAACTGTTAACACGACCATTCCCTTTTCATTGTTTATCCCATGAGTATTGTGACCAGTAATGTAACCGTTATTGTCTTGCGATTTTGACTTGTGATGGACTTTTTGCAATTTCCACTGAAATTTCCCTCGTTATGAATTTTTACAATTGTTATCACCGCTATACTGTAAAGCACAAAAGTTGTATGGGTGTGTTCATGAATTGTTCGCAAGTTGATTGTGCTGTAGCAACAGGCCTACCCAGTGAATGAGAGTCCCAAAACTTAAGAAAGTTAAACATGCAATGCAAGAAAAGAGACTGGCACATGAAACAACCAGTCCAACACACCTCAAGTACTGCATCAATCAACTGTGTCAAAAGAAACATCTGGTACCTAGACTGTATTTTTGTTTTGCATGTTTTTCTGCACTCAAGGCCCCAGTCTGTAACAAGCCACGTTTAAAATCCCAAGGAAATCACTAAATACTGATATTTTATTCATCCTTACAGTTGGTGAGGTCACATATACCGAGCTGTTCAATGATACAGATGGAAAGTCAAAGGTAATGACATTTTAGTTCGTTACTTGAGAGTTTGTTTTGCATTGGATACAATTCATAAACCTGTTTAATTTTTAGAAGTTGAACAAAGAAATTGACTGGAGCAGGGTCTGAACCTGTGACCAGCGTCTAGCATCTGAGCTATCCAGCCCTATGTTGGCAGTTCCCAAATTTGTTAATTTCTTTGTTTTAGGGGCACTAGTCAGAAGCCATAAACCCGCAAATGCAATGCAAGCAGGTATCACGCCCAAAGTCACGATGCCAGCAACATTAGCAATGCCGCAGACCTAGGATATAGCAAGCGGGGATCTCTCAGATCAGAGAGGATACAGCTTTTTATTACAAATGTCCAAATCAGCCACTTAGGGAAACTGACTAGGTGTATCATAGTGGAGTGCTGTGGCCTCGTGGTTAAGGGCACTGATTCGTGGTCTGTGGGTAAAGCTGCAGGTCGTGGGTTCGAGTCCTGGCGGGGTCATGGTGCGTGTGCCCTTGAGCAAGGCACTTTGTCACTCATTGCTTCTCTCCACCCAGGAGTAAATGGGTACCTATGAGGGCAGTGATGGTTATTGTGATTGAATTAGCTTCCTTGCGCCTATCAGGCAGCATCGGAGCTGTATACTCCCCAGGGAGCTGAGATGGTATGGAATGTTTAATTGGCCCAATAATTAGGGGTAATAATAATGTAAAGCGCTTTGATCTTAGTTAAAAGCGCTATATAAGAACCTGTTATTATTATTATTATATTACAATTTTTAAAAGTTGAACAATTTACTTTCCCGCAAAGCTGTGAAGTTTACTGAGTTTTGTCCTGTTTTGAAATATGTTTGAAGGTGTGACGTTTCAGAGGTTGACCTTTTGTAAATGCTGTCTGGGGAAACTTGATTTCTGTGAATGAAAGTTCATAATCAAACAAGCTGTTTTTTCTCTGTTTATTTTATGTGCTCTGACTGTGTGAATGACGATTGGTTTGATAGGGTGTTGGGTAAGTTTGTTTCTCTTCTTTTGTTTGGTTGACAGTGATGTAGTCGGGTTCATTGCAAGACCTGACAAGGCGTCCAGTCCCAAGGAAAGTCACAAGCTATTCAAATAAATGGTGATAGAGGCATCCCTCTGTCATTGTTCATTCTGTATTGACGGAACTGTGAATTAACTTGTGACTGGACTTGTGACTGGACTTGTGATGGACTCGAAAAACCACGTTGATAACAAAGAAGCGATTGGAATAATGTAGTTTGCCAAATTCACCCTGTATACTTAATATAATTTATTTGTTTGGCTTTGCCTTTACCAATGTTGTAATTGAGTCTTTGAGTAAGGACTTGTGATGTACACGTATTGGACTACAACACTGGTCTTTACCTACCTTTTTCCACTTCCGATGCTTTCCCGCCACACTTTTTCCCAGGAAGTTTTCTTATTGAAGTTCTCCACATGTTTGCAAACCAATTTCATTAAATTTTGATGTCCTGTTCTCTGAAAAATGTTCAAACGTTGGGGGGGCGGTGTTTAATCTTCCACTGCCCTGGCACATTTAAAAAGTTTGTTTCATTGTACATGGTGATTGTTCCCATGTACAAATTGGAATGAAATTTGCTAGATGTACTTAGCATGGATTCTTGTACATGCATGCCATATTGTCAGAATATTGAGGGACTACTCAGGTTATCCTTTCCTAAGCTTTGAGAAAGTTTGAAAAAATAATGCCTCCTTGAGATTAAAGCAACAGTAGGTCTAATTCAGTATTTTATATTTAACCTTTGTAGGGTTGTAGAATTCGCGTCGAGGGATAGCGTCAACCGGTGCATCGATAAGATGAACAAGTTCCAGATCCGTGGTCGGGGGCTTGTTGTCAAAGTTGTAAGTATATCTGTGTTTAAAATCTTTATGCCAGCTTTGTGCCCAAGTCAGTTTTCACAGACCAATAGATCAGTTCGTACTGTCATTTGCTATGTGCTGTTGGAAAGCTCTATTGCATGGGCTTATTCACAAAATGACCCGATCTTTTGCACCTGGGCCACCTCTTCATGGTTCATGAGCGCTGGCGAGAATATCCTCTCGTGTGGAACTAGATTCACAAATTTGGAGTTGAGATTCCAATTCCGACTTTCGAATTGATTTCTAGCGATTAAGAAGTTGCCCAAGTTGATTCTGAAGAGATGCCCAAACCTATGGATTCTGTGTATGCGTAGTAGACAGCACTTTGTGACCACTCACAATGGCTCTGTGTAGGAGACACACAGCGTACGTACAAAAGCGTATTTACCTTTACGCTTGAGGACAAGGCATTGTGTTTCCTTTTGTTCCTATCATATGACACTCTCCCATAGACTAAGCACACAAATGTGTGCGTGAGGACCATTCTCAACTAAAGATCTCCGTTTGAGGACACCATAGACCATTATCATGTTGCGGCCATCTTGATTATTCCCCATTCAAATCAACGTAACCAAAGCGAGGCTGGAAAGAAAAGTAGTCTGGTTCCGTTTTGCAAAAAAAACGTTATCATTCAGTACTGTTATTGAACACAGGGAACTTGACTGAAATGGTGGCAGCATGATAAAAGGTCTACTGAGTCTGTTGTTCCCTCTTTGTCTTGCTGTCCTCTTGCTGTCCTCTTGCTGTATATAATACATGTACACACTAGCTCTCGCATGTGCTAGTCTTTGCGTATCTTTGTGTATCTTTGTGTGGGTGCCAGGCGCACGGCTGCAATGCGTTGTCCAAGAGTCTGTTCTACCTCTCCTTGTCACAGCTGAGGGTGTACATGTGCATGGACCCCACTCTGTGATCTTGATGCTCCCCTCCCCCTTCCCCCCACAGGACACAGACAGGCGTTACAGTGACAAGTTCCGGCGACAAGCAGACAAGGAGCAGAAGGCTCGCATCATGCTCACCCCGCAGGTCCTATCCCAGCTCAACTTAGATCCCAGCACCGTCAGCGATACCATCTTTGTCTCCAACGTAAGTTCCTCCAACGCCCTTCCTAGTTTAACCCTAACCCCCTAGGCTCTTGCACTAGAAAGTATACCAAACCTAACAAATTTCAACAGCTGCATACAGGTCTGTAAGCACTGGTACCAAAACTGCCAAACTCCAACAGGCCTTGTACGGGGAACAGTACTAAACCTGCCAAACTCCAACTGTTGGAGTATGATTGACTTGGTATGGATGGGCCTATGCATTGTCGAGTGATTGGATAGGGATGGTACCAAACCTAACAAAATAAAGCAATATGTACATGCACATTTGACCACAAGCTGTACTGAGGACCGTGGGTGAGCATACCCACGAAGAAATGCCAGTGAACTCCAACATGTTCACAAATCTCGTGCCCTTCTGCCCCGAACCTCACAAAATTCAACAGGGTCTCCCTGGGCCTTTGGTACCCAGTCAATCAAAGTCCAACACCAACTGGCCAGTGTTCGGTACCAACCCTGCCAAAATCAAGCAAAACCCGCTGTTGGAGCTTGATGGGCTCAGGGTTGTTAGGGTTAAGGGTTTACAAAACCCCAAGCTTTTTTTCTGTAGCCCAAACATTCAAAAGAATCATGCCAGGTTAATACCCAATCAAAATACACACCGACCACCTCGTATGACAGGATAGAGTGAAGCTTGAGTCTGAAGTTGAAGCTGAAAATTAAATCAAGATATTCTAAACCCTCTAGGTCTGAGCAGTGGTTCAGTTTGAAGATGAAGGTTCATAGAGTGCTGTGCTGTGGCCTCGTGGTTAAGGGCAATGGATTCGTGGTCTGTGGATATTAGGGAATGTACAACATTTGCTTTTGCTGCAATTTTCAGAAATTAATGGATTTTCGGATTAGTATGTTATAGGAAATATTGTTAAACTGACTTGTTTCATGTTTGGGGCTTGAAGATGCTAGAAAAACCACAAAAACCAATTATGTTCTTGTAGTCAGGTTCCCTGACCCAACTTACATGTAAGATGAAACGGAGCAAATTATAGACTTTGGGGAAAAGTAAGGTCAGAGAATTAGTCTAGCAGGCTTGTCCCTTCACAGGTGTGTAATCAATTGCAAAGAAAATGCAGAATAACTAAATATGGAAAATTAGGAGCAGTTTTTGAAAAAAAACCCAGTTTTTCCAACGCTGGTCGGTTTCTTCAAAATGTCAGCACACCTGGAGCCACGATTTTACAGGATGCTTTAGACTGCCATTCCCTAACAATTCAGTAAGGTATTTCATGATAATTTGATCATTTCATTTTTTGATGTTTGCAAATGTTGTATCGTCCCTTTAACTCATTGGTGCAGATTCCCTGGGACGTGGAGTGGAGGGAACTGAAGGACATCTTCCGCATCGCTGGTGAGGTCACTCACTGCGACATCATGACCGACGCTCGGGGCAAATCCAAAGGCAGCGGCACCGTCACGTTTGAGTCCATCCTAGAAGCAGTCAATGCCATCTGTATCCTTTCAACCAATATATGGGGGCCAAGTTCATAAATTTGCTAAGGCCAGAAAATGTTTGCTGAGCAGAAACCGGTTACCATCCAACTTGACATGCAGTGTACACTGCATGTGACTGGTTTCCGCTAATTTTTGCTAAGTTCATAATTTTACTAAGCAGCATTTTCTGTGAGGCCAAGGAAAAAAAGGAAATAGTTTCCTATGCATTTGACAAAAAAAATGAAGGAGGCAGGTGTTTTTCTCTTTTTTTCCCCCCAAGATAGCAGATTGATTCTTCCAATTACTTGACTATTTTGCTGATACAAAATTGTGTCCATAGGAGCCATAACCCTTTCTTTTCTACATAGCTACAATTTTGTTAGAAACAAATAAAAAGACACTTATATTGACTATATCTTTATACAAAATATAGCAAAGGTATGAATAAAATTTAAAAAGGAGGCGGATGGGCAAAGAGGGACCAGGCCGGGACTAATAACAATTGCTGCTAAGCATACAAATTTGCTTAGCACAAAAAAAGGCTGGCTTATAAAAGCAGGTTACCAGCCGAAACTCCACGTGATGTATATCGTTCGTGATTGGTATTCAGCTGTTGTTTACTTAGCATGCAAATCACACGGAGTTTTGGCTGATAACCTGCTTTTATAAGCCAGACTTTTTTTGTGCTAAGCAAGTTTTTGTGCTTAGCAGCGCCGTGAAACTTGTTTATTTTTCTAAGCAGCTCCATGGAATTGGTACCCGGGCGTTAACTGACACTCGGCAAACTTGGCAAACAAAATATTGACATTTTCCCTGACTGTCCAATTTCAGCAATGTTTGACAACCAGTCGCTCTACAACAGGAAGCTGATTGTGAGAATGGTGAGTGAGCACGACTTACTGCTTTGGCAACACAGTGCATGGGCTTCAATTAATACCATGTTTGGATTGACAGCTTTAGTATCTGAACCATTTTGCTGACTCTTAATTTTTTTTTCGCTTTTAATGAGGAATAACGGGAATATAAATGAGTAACAAACATTCTACTGTCAACTGCTAACTGCCTAGATTGACCTGGTCTGACGTTCAAAAACCTGAGGCTCTTTGTTAAATTCTTACAATTTCTTTGGTTCTGTTGAGACATGACTGTAAAATCCAAAAGTTATAAAGAGGCCTGTGCTTTTGGAGGATTTTTGCAAGATTGAGCAAAGGCAGAGCCTGTGCTTAGCCATGATTACTCTACATAGAGCTAGATGTTCCAATGAAAGTACAAAGCGTGGCCTCTTGGTTCTGTACGATGGTGGATTTAAGTGGATTCATGAAGGTTGCTTGAAAAAGTGTTTCAAGAATCAGGATTATTAATTCAGTAGTCTTGGAGTCTCCCCAACACTCAATCTCTCATTCTCCCCTCCCCCATCCCCCCTCCCCAACAATCACATGGTGTTTCATATTTTGTATTGGTCATGTGTACAAAGTCCAGTTCTTTTCTGGGTTGTTTTTACTGGCAAACATAACTGATCGATGCTCACTTTCTGTTGTCGTTTGGATCATTTTCAGGACCAGGCCAAGATAGACCGAGACAGACCATCCAAGCCGCCTCTGCCAAGTAAGTGTTTCATGACAACAAGTTTATGTTTGATTTCACTCAGTTATAGAGTTCCTTCAAAATCTCAAACTAAGGCCATGTGCATAAGCGTACTCATGTACTTGATGCTTCTTTGACTGATGGGGCTTTAAAATGTGCACCCGTCTCAACTTTTATAACAGCATGCATGCAAGCTCGGTTCTGTCTCAGTAAAGGTAGTATCCCACAGGGCGTGTGGGGACCTGCAAGTGGTAGCAAGTGTCAGCGAGTGTATTTGCTGACGAGAGATGGCAAGTAGAGAATACTCGCAAGCGTTGCAAGTGTTTGTTCGCACAAAATGTGAGTAACTGCAAGTAGCCCTTGTGAGTTGTACCGAGAAGCCTGCACCGGAAGCTGGGATGGTGGAAAGATTGTTTGGGATGCTGAAACTGTACTTGCTGGCATGCCAAAAAGCGAGTTGCGCTGTCACACAAGCGAGGAACCTTGTGAGTTCCTGAAAGTACCCTGCGAGTACTTGCAGAACTCACCAAGTTTTGAACATGTCCAAAACCCGGCGAGCAACTGCGAGCGTCCCCTGCCAGCTGCAAGTACCCGCAAGTGCTTGTGAGTATTCCCTCTCCCACGAGGCGAGTTCTCGCCACTCGCTGGCACTCGCAGGTCCACACTCGCCCCGTGGGAGATGAACTTAATGACTTCTAATGTCGTTTGCTTGATTCGTCTTTAACATGGGACGTTGATGAAAGTTTTGACTACCTATGACTTTTCAAACCTTAAAAAATTGTCCTTATTTTTTTTCTTCTAGGTGGTCTATCTCGTCTTGGCCCCAGCTTGGAGTCGCTGACCAGTGGCATGGGAGGCGGGCTTGGCGGAGGCTCCAGGGGTGGAGGCTCCAGGGGTGGCATGGGTGGGGGCATGGGGGGAGGTCTGGGTGGGGGGTTAGGCGGTGGTGGCGGGGGCATGGGCAACATGGGGATGGGCAACATGGGCAGCATGGGAGGTAAGTACCTTTGTTTGATATCAAATCTCTAAATATTCATAACTGTTGATTTCTCTCAAAGAGTTTTCCATTACCAAACCATGTGCTACTGGAACCATACTGTATGGAATGAAACCTTTCCCGAAATATTTCATGAAGCTCAAATTTAATAACAGGATGTCCTACTTTCTTAAATTGCAAATAAGATTTTGGTGCCGTATACTTTCCTGGTGTGCCTCAGATTCCCAGCAAAATGTCAGAGCTGACTCCTGATTTCTGATTCTACTGTCGGGGACTAGGCTTGGGCACTCCCAAAATGTTGGAATCAATCCCAATTCTGCGCGGAAGTGACGTTCCCTTTCAATAGTAACTCCACATTTCCGAACACAGAGCAATTAGAAATCTCCCATAGTAGTAAATAATAAACTCAAATAGTGAATAACTAATACATACATGCGTACATAGCCCATAAATTGTCTAAATGGTGTGCTAAAATCGACTTGGATGTGAGCAGGATTCGTTTAGTTTTAGGCAATTCCACACCCAAAAAGTTTCAAAGTGTGATCAAAAACATGACCTATCACAGCCAGTAATGCACCAGACAGACCTTATTTTCTTTCAATTTTTTTCCTTGCAACGTCTAGGTATGGACAGTGGCCTGGGCAACTTGGGCAATTTCGGCAGCAGTCTGGGCGGCGGCTTTGACAGCAACCGGATGAGTAACCTGGGAGGAGGCGGCGGTGGGCTGGGAGGCAGCTTCGGCAGCACTCTTGGCTCTGGGCTGGGCGGAAATCTGGGCGGTGGACTGAGCAGCGGGCTTGGCGGTAGCCTGGCCGGCCTAGGAGGTATGTGGGGGTTTGGAAGCCCCTTAACCAGGGGTGGGATTTTTCCGGATTTCCGGATTTTTAGTCTAACGTCTGCGGAATTTTATGCGGATTCCGGATTTCCAACGTTTTCTGTTTCCGTAATATCGCCCAAAACTTCTGGCGAAATATAGGCCATAATTTACGATAATGGATGGACTGGTGACACAAGTCTAATAAGCAGTGCGTTCAAGAACCTGATAGACATCAATGCAGTGTGCGCAGTGGAGTACTTGAGGACCAGACTAAAAATAATTTTCGATGGGTTTGCACCTCGTATTTGTATATCGCGTGTGGATGTGTGTGTATTGTGCATGTATTGTGCAGTGACGATCGTGAGCTAGCAATTCGCAATCACATTGGTGTCAATATTGCGGCGATTTTGTCAAGGAATTTAAGAGTATGGTTGGAAGAACTGGTAATAAAGTGTCACTGTGGATGGAAATCAGTTTGAGCTGCAGTAGTGCTTTGAAAAATAGCCACCACCAACACAAAATTTCAAAAATGTTTTGGAAGCCTGGGACTGGAGTTTAAAGTAAGATTACTATAAACTTTTTAAGCACCGTTCATATTTTTTGTGTGAATCGTTTCTTTCTCTCTGCAAACATGCAAAAGTAATAACATCACACGTAGAAAAGACATTATTGAATCAATCACTTATGGATTATATTATTTAATGACCAGACATTTTTTCCTAATTTTTCCCCCATTTGTTTTCTTTACTGAAGCGACAAAATTTGCAAACATTACAGAAATTACAGTACATAAAATGTACATGCCCTATATATGGACATACGTGCATGTATATGTATACATGTACATGTACATCTATACAAGTACATGTACAATAATACATGTACATGTACAATATATACATGTCAACCGAAGTTCGTGGATTTTTCATTTTTGTCCAATCACACCCCTGATTAACCTGACCCTCCAGGGTATTTGTGGTATTTGTGGCAAATTTGGGTATTTGCCTGGTGCACACCTTTCCGATATTACCGGTTCAACAGATTACCCCATTACCGGTACGTTTTTTCACCATTGCCGTTATACCGCAATGTTACCCCTGCACATGCCACATTCCATCCTATGTCACATGATGATCAGTCTCATGATGACAAAATGGCAGCCTTCAATTTTGAATCATGTGACTCCCTTTGTGAATCTGATTGGTTAAACACAAAGTTTGCATCAGTTGAAATTGGAGTGCTGCCCGCACACCTTTCCAGTGACATCGGATCTGGTGAAATCGGATGCCAAAAAATCAAACACATTTGCTTAGTATACGGGCAGATTGGTTGGAGTTTCAGCGCAGACCTCTGTATAATGGCTAGATGATCCGGTAAAACCGAAAAGGTGTTGACAAGATTAAAAATGTCAAAAAGCTCCCCCCCCCCAAAAAAAAGACAACAATAAATAGTTTCAAACAGCTTCAGAGTCTTTGGTTGCCAGCTGAAATAGTACACAACAGAAGTAGCTCCCGTTGTCTCATAATTGGCACTTTATGCGCTGGCGTTGATGGCCCAGTTCAACAAGGTCTCACAGATTTTTTCACCTGTTGCACTGTGTTGCATCTGGTAGGGTTAAGAGTTAAATATTAGCTTTTGCCTGACAGGCTAGAAGACTTCTTACCTTGAGAGTTTTGTTGTGCTTTTATACAGGCATGCAACTTTTCCTCGGATCAGCTGATTTCCTCTTTTTTCACTTCCAATGTGTGCCATTGAAAATAGAAAAACACTGTACAAAGTCTGGGAAAGATGTGAATTTCCTCTTTTTTTGTGACTTCCCAGTTGCATGCCTGTTTATAGCGAGCTGTGAATTTTTAGCATTGGATTATTTTGCCCAATGATTCTGCCATTACTTGGAGGCTTCTGAGGGAATTTTTGAAACCCTGGCCTTGCCAACGGCTTTAGCTTCATTGAAAGCTTCCAAATCATGTAACAGTCCTTCATGTGTAAGCCAAAGCTGGAGACAATCCCACATTTAAAATAGTATCTGCATCTGTACAGTTACCTCAAAATTGAATCAGTCTGTAGCAGTTCTTTTAAAATCGTGTCTGCCTCGTGTCGTTCTATTTCGTTTCTAGGTTTCGGCGGAGGGGACCTATCCCAGAGTACCCTAGGCATGAGCAGCCTGAGCTCGCTGGGCGGCATGGGCTCGGACCTGTCCCTGATGGGCAACATGGGTGGTGGTGGCGGTGGGGGCAGTGGGGGGCTGGGGATACTGGGCTCCGGCATGGGCATTGGGAAAGATAACTTCGGGGACAGTATGAGGGATGACCGGGATAGAGACAGGGGGCGTGACCGTGGGGACAGAGACAGGAGGGGTGGGGGACGGGATAGGGACAGGGACCGAGACAACTTCCGTGGACGTGGCGCAGAGTCAGGATGTCAAGTCTTTGTAAGGAACGTAAGTACTTTTAAATCTTTACTTTATTTACTTTTTGATCAATAATGTGTTGATTGTTGATAATTCCTGCCTTTAGAAGTGTTTTTAAGTTTGTTGCTATAGGTAAGTTTTTGTAAGTAAATCATCGTCTTCAAGTGTTATTTTTTTGGGGGGGGAGTTGTAGTGCTTTGCTGTGACTTATGCTGTCCATCATTTATGATGTTCTTACCTGTTTTTTTTTAATTTTTAGTTGCCGTTCAAATACACATGGCAGGATCTGAAGGATCGCTTCAAGGTGCTTGGTAAGTTGCTAAATTCCTTGTCTTAAATATGGAGATTAGCTCATGCATATTCAAAAGTAAATATCAAGATATCAGAGTATCAAGTTGCTTTGTAAGTTGCTCAATACCTTGTCGTGAATATTGAGATTAGCTCATGCATATTCAAAAGTAAATATCAAGATACCAAAATATCAAGGTGCTTCGTAAGTTGCTCAATACCTTGTCATGAATATTGAGATTATCTCATGCATATTCAAAAGTAAATATCAAGATATCAAAGTGATTGGTAAGTTGCTCAATTCCTCGTGAATATTGAGATTAGCTCATGCATATTCAAAAGTAAATATCAAGATATCGAAATATCTAGGTGCTTGGTAAGTTGCCCAATTCCTTGTCTTGAATATTGAGATTAGCTCATGCATATTCAAAAGTAAATATCAAGATATTACAAAGGGAAACGGAAAGGAAGCTTTCTGTCATTGCTACAGATGTACTACAATATATTTTTAATTTGGAACACCAACTTCAGCTTTTTTTAAGGGGGTTGATGGTGTGTTTTGGGCAAAGAGAATTGTTTCAAAAACAAGTAATGAATATCTAACAGCATTTATTTAAATGAATGTGGCAATAAAGGCGACAGTGATACATGGATAATTTTTGCAATGGCAGTTCACAGGAATACCTTTTTGGTTTTGACTTTGTTGAGCAGTGAATATGAAATGCTGGATAACAGTTATTTACCACTTTAGCTTGCCTCTACGCAAACTAAACAGCTTCTCTGTTGGAGTATTACAAAATTTCCTGATTGAAAAAAGGCTTTCGTGTTTTCTCCAGGCCCGGTCCAATTTGCTGAGATCAAGACGCATCCTGAGACCGGACGGTCCAAAGGATTTGGCACGGTGCGTTTCCAGAACCCTGACTCCGCCAGTCGAGCAATCCGTATCCTTTGAAATCCAGAATCTGTACCATAAATGGACACCATGCATGCACTATCAACTGATTTCCTCCTTTGTCACTTCACACTTGTGCCATTAAAAATTGAAAAACACTGTACAAAGTCTAGGAAAGATTGGAGTTTCCTCTTTTATTTGCTACTTCCAAGTTGCATGCCTGACGTGCCCTAGTACCCTCCTTGACAGTTACCAAGAGCAAGAGTTTGGACTTTTCCTTGCATTGCTACCGCAAGCCTCGAAAAGTGGTGTCTACTTTGTGCCATATGCGCTGGAACTAGAACATGCGCAGAATGTTCCGCACATCCCCATCTGCTGTTCATGGTTGTAGTCCATAGCAAGTGTTTCATGACCTCTTTTGAGATCTTTCGTATGCAGGGACCACTTCGTGCAGTGTGCGCCAACGTAGCTTGCCTGCAGGCGCAGCTAAATTTCTTGTGAATGTGCACACATCTTTCGCGTCTTTGCTTGGGCATGCGCATGGCACGTAAAAAGGCAACCAGTTCTACTCTGAGCAAGCCTAGTTTTGTTAACTGCGCTTCCTGACGATTTGTTTTCCTTGACTGTCTCTTCCTCTTCTCGCAGGTGAGATGAACGGATATCGTCTGGACGGACGCGAAATTGAAGTCACCCTGGATTATGCCTAGAGGTGTCCCACAACCTCGCGGTGGTTGTCTCGTGGTGTTGTCTCTGATTTGGGAACAGGAATTTTTGGGGTTCATCATTTTTTTGTCATCTCCAACTTTCTGCAGAGATCTTTGAGTCCGGCTGTCGTTCTTCTTTATTCTGTTGCTTTTGTTTGTCTACAACACCGATAAATGTTCCCTTCTCGATGTTATGAATTCCAAAGAATTTAGTCTCTTGTGTGATACAGTCTTTACCCTTGCCGAAGAATTGTGAACACGTTTTTTTCCCCCACACTGAAGTTTTGTTCGGGCCATTTCACTGAGTACAATTGATCTGCGTTTGCGTGGCCGGGGGTTGCGTTGAATCATGACAGCATCATGTTAAGAAATTGGTCAGGTTCTATTTTTTTTTTGATCTTGTGAAACAAAAAATTCAAAGAGGTTTGACCATGAAGAGTTTTGGAGTCAACAGTCTCATGAAGATAAATGTTTTGAAACAGTATTTGTTAAGAGAGAGGTTGGAGAAGATTCAATTGGTTGATTTTGTTTCTCTGTAAAATCTGCTGGATTTTTGTTTTTGTCAATCAAATCAAGAATTTGTGACCAAAGTGCTTCAGATCTGGGTTAATAATTTGTCCCAGACTCCTCTGGAAAAACTCTGGCGAGAGTTTATTCCTGAAGAATTCAAAACTCTGGTGTGGATTCAAAACTTTGATGTGGAAAGCCAGGTCAAAAGTTGATCTCTGTATGTCTCCAGAAGTGAAGTGTTTGCCTTTTTAAAAATTTGTATTAAAGATGAAAAAAAATACTGGACAACATCTGCTGATAATGTGCTGATCTGCAGAGAAGTTTTTGAGTCTTTGTAGGGGAAATTGATGAATTGTGTGCCGTTCACATGTACATTGTATTGCTATGTTGCATGGTTGCCAGTATTCAAGTGTTAATGGAAATTTCGTTGACTTAGTCTTATCGGTATCTGAAGCAGACTTGGGAAATAATGTTCCTGTTGGTAAAACCAGGTTTTCTGTCGATTTTCTTTGTACACGAATTGGTCATTTGGGTCTGTGATGCGTTTACAGTTCAAGTAACAACCCTTGTTGAGTTGTTGGAGTTTGACGATTGTACATATATTAAAAAGACAAAGCACGTTTTTAGTAAGTAGGTTAGGATTGTGTAATATAACAAACTAATTTTCTTTTCTTTTTTTTATGTTGGAAACTCTCTCTGTACTGCACCTAGTGTAAGTTTGTGCTGATTTCATTCATGTAGTAGACTTGGAAAGATTTGGAATAAGAGAGTTCTTGTGTTAATGGCCAGAGGAGAGAAATCTTCGAGGTTTGGCCAATTTGTTTAGATTTTTGTGGCTGGTCCTGAATGTGCGCACACGCGTATTGTGGACAGAAAAATCTACACAGGAATCGGCTTGTGTGGTGTTGTTATTGCTGTACATTGCCTTTTAGCAGAATAAGAGCAGTTTTTGTTTTGTAACAATGCTTGTTTGCCCAGCAGGAATGTCCGTGTCCATTGTAAACGGAACTTTAAAGACATCGTGTTATGTTATTTTGATTTGTGCAAGACTGACAATTCGTTGTCTTGGCTTCAACTTATTCGGCGCAAAAGTCCTTCAGCCAGCCTTCATGGGATTGCGCTTCAAACTGCAAGATTGTTTGGAGAGAACGGAACATCTTCTATTTTTTCCTGCCGGAGGGGTTCCTTGCAAGGCTCGGCACTGATCATCAACAGCTCTGCAAGTGACTGCTGACGGTCAGGAGGTGGAAAGATGGCAGACAGTCCATAGTATCCTACAGCAGGGTCGATATCTCTACCAAGTTTCGTGCCGTTCAGTTCAAGCAATCAAAGGATTTAGGATCAGACTGACTCTGTTGACTGCAAGAGATGGAAAGATGGCAGACATTCTGTAGTGTTCTTCAGTATAGTCTTTAGCTCCACCAAGTTTCATCCAGTTCCATTCGAGTGATCGAAGGATTTCAGAACAAGAATGTTTTGATGCTGGTGTTCACCACCTAACTTGATGGCTTATTAAAATCAAAGTTGATGGGTTCATTTTAACCTCTGTTGCGGTTGTAACTTTGCTGGGTTTTAAAGATTGTCATTTTCTTTGAATTTAAATGCAAGACAAATATTTTGAGCTGTATTTCGATGGTCATCCCTTGTATAAGATTATCAGGCGACTCATACAACATGTGCTGGCAAGTTTGGGAATAGCTTCTCAAATGGAAGTACAAATGTAACGTCAGCTTTGCTTCATTTTCCTGGCATCTGCAAAAATATTTGTCAAAGCAGTGTATTTGGAGTGAAAGTTGTTTAAAGTTGACAGTTTTGTTAGTGGAGATCAGGCTCTTGCTGGTGGTTTAATTATAAGAAAAAAAGTTGAAATTCTTGCTTTTAAAATGAATTTCAATGTAGTTGCTGTGTGGTAGGTTTCCATTTTAAGTGTTTTAATTGTAACAACTATTGCATGCTGGAATTGTACGGTAGAAACGGCAGCCAGTGTTGTCAGCTCACAATGTAGTAGTCTAGCGGAATCAAAGAACAATTATTCAGAAAATAAAAAGGGTCACGTAATCGTTTTTGTGTGGAGAATACCTTGGTTTTGTTTCGGCTGATTCAGTGTGTTCGTGGATGAACAGTAGTTGCTGTATCGACTCCGATCAGAAAAAGATCCCATCGGTTGCGAAATATGGCTGGGGATTTCTCCGTGTGACAGAGATTCAGAAATGAGAGGAGAACCACAGTTCCAAGTTCTCTCGAGTTTTTGTTCGAATGGAATTGGGAATGGTTCACGTCGCAAGAACGAAATTTGGCTCGTTAAGTTTGAGAGTCAATCTCACCATGTGATTTGTTAAAAGAATTTTCAACAAGTGTCTGTAATTCTGAAATTGGGTTGAGCACTTTAAGTTTGGGGGATGTTTTGTGGTTACAAAGTTGTCTCCTGTTGTCTTATTTCTTTTCTTCTGTGTTCAGGCAAGACGGGTTCTCTTGGTCAGTCTCTGAAAAGATCCACATCTGTGAAAAGATCCACATCTGATGTTCACATCAAGTGCATTTTGATGACGAGTACAGGTGCTGCAATATCCACCCATTTTTAAATTCACACTTGGAGCAGTCAACATGCTTTTAGCTCTTGTCTGATTTGTGAGAGATTGTGGCACTGCATTAAAACTACGTGAATGAATTACAGAAATGTGCTTGCTATAGGAGGCCACAATCAATAGTTCAGAAGTTCTATGTTCCAGAATTTTGGTATGGGCCGCCATTTTCATTTTTTAAAATTTGGACTGGTCGAATCGCATTTGAGAGTGTATAAGGAGATATCCAAACGAAACGTGAGGTCTTTTATCTCCAGTCAACAAGTAGTTGAAGAGAGTACTACCCCAGTCCTTGGTTTTCTGTGTCTGTTTAGTGTTTTTTTTTTGTGCAATTGAATGTTTTGTTATTTGTTCACTTGTGTATGAATGCTTGATGTAAACCGGGAAATGTGGAACAGTGATTATTGCAAATTGGAGTTTCTTTTAAGCGGACATCTGCATGGATCTGTTTCAAGGAATGTGGCAAATTTCTTTGAGAACAAAAGTTTATAGCAGATAAATCGGACGAATTTCCCCCTTTAATTTCAGAGACTGTGCTTGTTTACTGGGATGGAACCAAAAAAAGATGAATTTTACATTTACACAGGAGTGCTACACAGAATGCCCGCCACCCGATGTTCGAGACTTGAATTCCAATCATTGGTATTTTTGTATCCAGTGAACTTGGCCTGACTGTCCATAAATGTTTGATCCGGGCAATTGGACTGCTTGAGAAATGGGCAGGTCACTGAAATAATTTACTGTATCAAAGAGATTGTTTAGCAAGGTGTTTGAAATATTTTGTCTCGGAATGTGCTCTACTAATGAATTGGATTCAGAAATACAGAAACAGACGGGAGTTTGGAGAGTTTTTGGCAAACTGTTCACCGCAACTGTAATGTCAGAATGTTCGATGGAAAGTTTGATATGCAGCTCTGCTGGGAATCAGAGTTTATGAGGAGCAAATTTTCTGAAAAATATTGGAAACGCAAAGTGTACACCCTGGTCTCAAGAAACATCTTGGAAGTTTGGAACGAAGGTTATTTCAATCAGTTAGTTCTTCATCGCGAGAGGTCACGAAACTTGGAAACTTTGAAAAATTAAGATTTTATAAATTGTCTGTTTTGGCGTTCTGATTTATTTTCCGGTGTTAGCATTTTATGAAGAATTGCCAGTAATCAGTTACCACGTCTTTGTAAAAAGAATGCACGATAATCTTCACAGTGTTCCAAAACATAAATGCACTAGCTCAATCCTTGCAGGGCAAGCGAGAAACACTGAAATATGCTGACGACGATGTCAAGTCGGCCTAGCCATGGATTTAGGTTGCTTTCAGTACGGCTTACTGGTAGAAATATAATCCTCACTTCAACTTATGAGTTGGACTTTACATGGATCATATTTTCCTGTTCCTCCACATTGTGCCTCGCACTTTAAAAAATGGAATTTCATCAAGCACCGAATTGCAAATTGGTATATTGTCTGATGGGCTTATCACAGCAGAAGAGAGTTAAGCATTGAGATATGGTAAACAAGGAGTCGGAGGAACTTGGATGTACATTGTTCGAAAAACAGTTCCGAGGTCTGGGCGTTTTATGTCCTGGGCATTTTATGTCCAATTTGAACTGTGCAATAGCCTTCTGAGTAACCAAATTTCAGCCTTGTTGATGAGACACACATGCTGCTTCGGAGAAAAAGGCTGGCCTTTTTTTGCGAGTACTGGTAAGTATCTATCTAAGAATTTCTTAATTGTTAAGGGAAGCATGACAAAGCTCAGAATTGTTTCTTAAGCCTTGGACATTCTGAAAATTTATGGAGAAAAAAGAAAAAGTTTAACTGAATTGCTTCTTTGCAGCTGTTAAAAAAAAATCAGACAAAAAGTAATTTCAATATCCTAAAAAGAACTGTCAATGCCTAAAAAAAAGTAACAAAAATTTGACCTTGCTGTTGAGAGCAAAAGAATCTAGCACATGTAAATACTGGTTAACATATATAAAATTTGATCCACCTAAAAAAAAATAATTTCATGGATTTATACACATTGTATATAGAACTACATTGAACTATTTTTCTATTGATTTTATTTCACTTGCTAGTGTAAGTGATATTTTCTCCTTTTATAATGCTTGGGAATTTTTATCGCCAAAATCTGTGAATTTTTTAATACATGCTCGATTTTGATTTTGATATTTTTTTTTAAAAGAAAAATAATGACCGTCATTGTTACAGCAATGTGAAATAAATGTTTTCATCGTGTATCTTTTTTGTTATGCTTTTGTAATGTTGTTACTGTCAAAACTGTAAAGCCAATGTTACACAAATTTGGAGCAAAAGTTAAAACTTTATTACGAAAACTCTGTTTTATTGACAAGATACCCATATTGTCCTGTACATTACGTTGATTAGCTGCAAGTTTGTTTTATCGGCACAGGCACAAAAACAGCATTGTTCATTTAACATTGACTCTAGTGCAGTGGTAGGCACTGATTTTAGTCTCAAAAAGACAAAACGACAACCTAGAAATCTTTAACTGAAATGAGTAGGCCAAATTTCCAATATTTTACTTTGTCTTGTTTTCCATAATTCCCATTTAACATTCCGACAGTTCCCAACGTAGTCACTGTACATGTATGTCATCGAACAGTGTCTCATTGATTACTCTGAACAAAAGTACATTTTTTAAAACTTATTTAGATATCGCGGGAGAGAGTCAGTTCATTGAAAAAGAATACAATACATATTTTTTTTTTTCCTTCAGCAGATTCGTCATCAACACCGATTAATAAAATTCATGTGGAATATATAATATCTGTATTAGCAAAGCATTAATTTAGCAGTTAAATAAATATTTCATAAAACAAAACACAGCCAATTTTTGTCAATCATTTTCTGATAGTATGCAGCCTACATTACAATATTTCTGAAACTCGGCGTCAAGCAAGGGTTAAAAGAAAATGTTAGTGGGAGTAAAGTTAGAGAAAGACACACCATATATAATTGCACAAAATGTCAGTTGGCTAATAGGTAAAACTAAGTTACATGTACACAAATGAGTGACCTTCGACCTAGTATTTAAATACATGCTTCGTGTAAAGAACAAATCACAAAGCATAGTACACCAATTTACAGTGGAGTGGTGTCATATGAAAATATAGACTCCTACAAAATCTGGTCTCTGTCCTAATTACCTTCACTTAGGCATGGGCAATACAACCAAGAAGTCCATATTTCATAGTGTTCAAATTTCACAATACACCGCCTCCCATTTGAACTGTGTTGTACATCTAGTTGCTTGGCGTTGGAATGTGTACAAGAAAGTTCAATGATATATAACATGTTTAGTATCTGCAATGCAGTGATGTAGTAAAGTGCGACATTAAAATGCCAAGTCTTGCTTGGAATGAGAGCTAACGTTGAGAATTAATACAAGCTTTTTCCCCAGCTTTGGAATCGAGTCATGTTTTGAGTCTACTGGTTGTGGCTAGCATTCAGACAAAGATTTTGCAACTTGACTTCAGGAGCAGAAAGTTCAAAGCAGAAATGGTGTCAAAAACCTAAGAAGTCAAGCCCAACTGTTAGTCTAAATTCAAGTCACAAGTTTCAACTATTCAAATAAACTGTTACACTCTTCCCACTGATCCCGTTACTCTTGACCTTGCATGAAACTCAACTAGCAATCCAGATAAATGAAAATTCAGTGATACGTGGATTTATGTAAATAAGTCTTACGAATGATAACACTACAAGACTTGTTTTTACAAAAATGTTCGTTTAAAGGTACATATGATCATTAGCTCTTTGTACGTTTTTTTCTGTTTGAGGGAACAAAATTGCTCAAAATCTTTAGTATGGTGAATTGGAACTTTTAGCTGAGTGGCTACTAATACAGTTTGAAAAAAAAAAAAAAAAGACGAGAAAATAAATGCATAATTTCTTCGGTCTCGGGACTGGATTCCGATGTCTGTGCACATAAAAAACTGTGCCTGTGGGCACACTTTTTCAAAAAAAAATTCAGTGATTGTTTTCTTTCGATCAATTCTAAATGGTTTCTTTCGATCCATACCATTTCTGTTGAAATAATTTCCCAGCCCTATCCCTATGAGCGAGGATTTTCCGGTTAAACAGGTTCGTTTCTGGGTATGTTCCTACGTGCCTTTAAAATCCTCATTAGCCATTGATTTAACCAAGTCACCGGTTAGGTCAAATTCAAACTTATGGTGGAAATTACAAAAGCTGAAATTTCGACCAAGGCAATCAGTGCGAACGCAAACTTGTGAAAAGACAATATGCAAACTACAAGGTGAATGATGCAGTACAAAAATAGAATTCTGAAGTCTTGATAAAACTAATTCTATCCACTCCAGTCTGCTCTGCGAGGTTTAACAATCTAAAAATAGACTAACACGAGCGTGCAGATTCCAAGCATATTTACATGTACAATAATACAATATTTAACAAAACTTTGGCTTGTGTGACAAAACAAGGCACATTAAATGTACATATATTTCTGAGTACAGTGACACATACAAACGTACATGTACAAATTGCATTTATATAAACATGAACCCTACAAGAATGAAACGGAACAAAATCCAAGTAATGTGATCAAATTCATGATTTTTTTTTTACCCAGGCTGAAATGGTTCAAAAGCACCCGTTAAATGAATGTACTACCATGTAATTTTTGTTAAGCATACGGTAAAAAAAAAAATCCTATGAAGTGGGCCTTTGCATAATGTCTACATGAAAACTATCAATAAATATACGATGTCCTAACTTTTAATGTCTACATTTTCACTGTACTGCCATGGCTAAGTGTTTTCCCAGTAAGGTACTGTTTTTGTCAATATAACACCCTGCAACCTTTATGTTCATGTGTTTAAAATTCCATTTTAGTATGAAGAAATTATGATTTCAAGCCGGTAAGTGCTGTAAAAGGCAAAACTAAGCCTTGAAAGTAGCTTGCAATTTTTTTTTTCATTTTTGTATCATGAAAAATCTTGATACAACTTTTCAACACTGGGTACAAAAGTTAATTTATTTTCATGACTTCATTTCAGTGGTGTTCCCAGGATTTCGCTTTAGGGGGGCTCACAATTTTTGTTTTTCAAATTTTGGGGGGGGGGGGGGGACTATTTTGACATTGGTGGCGCCACTTACACCCCTATTATACTACTTGAAAATAGGCCACATACATAACACCGAGGTCAAATTGTAAAAAAAGTTTTACCTCTTGGCCACCCCCCCCCCCCAACCCTGGTGCGCCACTGCGCCAATAGTTTATATTTGACTCACTGACCTTTGACCTGGCCTCCTATGGTCTCAAAGGAAAGATGTGATTGGTTGCAGTCAGAGTAGAATTTCCTCAGCCAATTCATGATTAGCTCTGCCATGTTGCTTGGCAGGCAGGTCACAGTGGTTGCCAATGCATTGCATACACAGGAACCGGTGTAAGAGGAACCGATCTTTGGCAATAGCTGGGCAGGCCATTGCCTCTAATCCTTGATTAATTCATAAATTCATTACAGAATTCCTGTGCAAATATATAATTTATTCAATACGGAATTCCTACTGTGCATATATTGCCACCATTCCTGCGCTTAAATAATGGGGGTAAGCTCCAAATTCTTTGCTACGGTTATAAAGATAAGTACATGTAGCTTGCTTGCTACCAGTATTGAAACAGCTTTCAAAGAACTACTCTCTGTTATTCAATCCAACAATGACACCTACTTCAAAATTCTGCACTCAAAACCAAGCCATAAAAATAGGTCCTGTGTATGATATACATGTATTAAATTTTCCTGTGTATAAACGTTACCTATCCTCTAGTCTTCCCTCAAGTCTTTCCTAAGGGTCAATTCTATGGAGCTGAACGACACAGTAATAATGCGCTTAGCACAGAAAATATCTGTTCAGCACTGACAGGTTACCAGACAAACTGTTGTGTGATGTACACGTGGCAGACTGGTACTCAGTCGATTTCTGCTTAGCATGTGAATATGCTGTCACATGCACACAATGCATGATATCTGAGTGCCACGTGACTATCCGGCGTCCCTGTCATCGTGTACTCTGATTCTGTATCAAATAGCACAGTGGTCACTACCTGTGTACGGTCGTCACAATCGTGCCGACTCGGCACTGGGTGTTAGCTCCGCGTTTTTCACACAGTTCGTCATTGGCTCCACGAGCTGACTCTCAGTTGCGCGTGAGTGCGCTGCACACGCGCGTATTTTCACAGAACCGGGATATTTTGTGTTTCACGAACCGACATCCTCCACAGTGCGGCACTTTAGGGCGCACCCCGTACATTTTCGTGTTCACGAACTGACACTGACCTTAATTTCACCAATTAAAACGCTTTTTAATTAAATTTGCATGTAAGCACACAAGTATACGAATGGATTAAATTCATGTAAAACCTTTCAAACTGTTTTTCTCCGTTCTGTATTGCCGCATCATGCTTGGGTGTCAGTTCGTGAAAAACAAAAATCTTCCTATTTTGCATCGGTGCGATGTGCATGCGCACTGTTTTCGTGAAACCTAAATTGTTGATTACGTGGTTTTCACGAACTGACACCCACTTACGTGTGAGTGTCCGTTCGTGGTGCCGATGACATTTTTTTGTCCTTCATCACAGATTTGAAGGCTTGTCTACTACCTACTGCGCGCAGTGCTGTAAGATCTTTAGGCCCCCAACTTCTGGAACTCCAGCTACAGTTTAGTGCCTGTTACGCTTCAGGAACTCGTTTGATATGAAGCCAAAAGTTGCACTATTTTTGTTTAGTTTGCCTTTCGGTGATTCAGAAGTTGAAGACAAATCCGAAGACGAAGCAAAGGTTTTGAAAACCCCCATAGCCATGACCGCACAACCAACTACCCACAAGTCCAATGTGGCTTCACTTACACATCATACGCATGGCTGGAGCAAGCTGTGTGGTGTCAGGGGGACGTGTTATTCATTGCCCATGTGCCAAATGGGTGGGGGGCAACAATCTTTTTAAGTCTTAACATCCTACAATATTTCGGCCATGTCTTGATGCATGCCGCTTAGTTCCTGTATCAAGTTGCCCAGCTGCGAGTGCAGCTGCTGTGCGCGGTGCGTGTCGTGCTGTCGCCCGCTCTGCTCTCGCTTCAGACGTTCCTGGAGCTCCTCCACGCGCTTCTGTAGAGTCGCCTGGGCCTCCTTGGAATCCTGAGAAATGACCACAAGAAAACACTTGAAATTATAATTATTATTATACCACATTTGCAGCAAGGTTGTATGGTAATATGCAGGTCATAGTCAAAGTACTTGTGATGGATCGCAATCATCACAAGTCCATCACAAGCTATTTAAACCCTAACAACGGCATTCCGTTATCATTGTTCATCCTTTGTTACATGGGAATTGACTTGTGCTACTTGTGATAGATCAAAAGTATTTCAACTCCAACTTCAGATAGTAGTGATGGTGACAGAGCTTTTAGCGACACCACAATTTACCACAGCTGCGATATAATGTGATGCCCGGGTTTACTAACGAATAATATTGACAGACTAACTCAGATGCACACCAAAGTCGCGTCGCCAGAAAGTGTTAAGAGCGACTCGGATAAACCCAAATACTTTTAATTTCAGAAAAGCAAACTTTATTCATTGTCAACTAAACTAGACTCCAGTTGATCTTTCAACTATGTTCGCATGTATAGCCACTCACAACTGTTTCAAACGTTGAACTTAATTGAAATCTCAGGAATTATGTGGTTTGACATGTCTGGAGTGTCAGTCTGAAGGGGTTTTGAATTAAGATGTGACCTGCAGTTAAAGGGACAGTGGATGGACATGGGTATTGGGTCTTCAAAGGATTATTCCATTATAGCCCAAGGAGAGATTCAGGAGTTGAGAGTGCCTATTTAAGATGTTTTGGGTAATATTCTCTTCATACCTGCAGTTCTTGCCTGAGTTTCTTGCCTTCCTCCTCCGTTTCCATCACCTGTTGCAATCTGTTGGCCAATTCCTCCGCCTCCTGCAATCAATTCATACATGCATTTCCATTTCATGAGAACAAGTGATAGGGCTGTGTATTTTCAAATAATTTAATATTTGATTCATTACTGGATCAAGCCCAGTTTAATGTGGCTTTCGCGAACCCGGGATTCCGGGTCTGCATTCATGAGCACCCTACTGAGATAATGGCTTCTCAATCAGTTAACGACCATGAATATGTTCACACATACAGCGGCAGTGCATGGTTTGTCCTTGATCATACCGTGGAGCTTTTTTTATAGCTCCATGATCATACAGTTAGGCTATCCCCAGTGTATGTGTGTCGTTGTCCAGAGCCACCCGCCTCCCATCAGAATTTGAGTGACGAGTGACGAGCCAGTTAAGTGCTAGAGAGCTACCTACATCTAAGAAAGCCACATTAGACTGGGCTCGGTCCAGTAATGTATTCCAGCTTGGACTTGATTGAATAGTATTAGATTTTGAGATGCACTATCCTAGTTAAGCATGCTGCCAATCAGGACTTGTATGCCTCCGCTTGTCAAAAATTGTGCGCGAAGTTTGCAAGCAAGGTGCACAAAGTGATAGTGTCTTCGCCTGAGCATCAGGTATCATCGGCAATGCATTCAAATGTCTGTCGCAGCAGTAGCACCCCCTCAAAGATAAGGTACGGAGAGTTGGGGAGACCACTTGAAGTGACAATGGAACGCATCACTGACGCCGCCTGATGCTCACGCAAAGACACTATTGCTTTGTGCACATTCAGAGTAAAATTAGCAATGCGTATTTTCATCGATCCGCTGATTTCCTTTTTTCATGAATGCTATAGATCTCGTTCAAATGACGTCATTTCCTATGGACCATCCATGTGCATCAGCATTTTGAGCGTCAACTTGCATAACGTGCATCGGCTGCGTCGTATTTCGAACACATTTCGAGCAACAAGCGCGCGTGTTTGGAACATTTTCAACATTACGCAATATGTGCTTGATTGCGTAAAATACGCAGTTGCAGTTCTCCTACAGAAATGGCAGTCATTGAACGAGCCCTATTACAAATTGAAAAACACTGTATAAAGTCTTGCGTGGTTTGGAATTTCCTCGTTTTTTTACTAAATTCCCAGTTGCATGCCTGGCTATTTCCGCGCAAAACAGTATGCCAAGCAGTGTGTCCCGACCGGTGGTCTCTAGAAAGCGCACCCTCTTTATCGCGCACACAGCCCGCACTGCTTGAGACTGGCTCTTAGCTGATTTTTTAATATTATCTGCTTGGCCCTTTGACCATTTTCACAGAAACGTTTTTCACACAAAATAGTTTATTTTAGCACAAAAAAAATAGTTGCTTAGTAAAAAAAAAACCCAGGTAATTAGCAAAACTGCTGCAACATATACAGCTTGTGAACGGTTCTAGACTCAAGCGATCAGACTACATGTAGAAACTCACGTTTGTCTTGTCCTTGTTAGCCAGGGCGAGTGACTGGACTTTCTCCTCCAGTTCCTTCACCCTGGTGTCCTGGCTCTCCCTGGGGGACCCCGGTGTGCCTTGCGTGGCCTGGGGAGCCTCTTGTAGCTGGAGATATAAACAAATCAAAAATGGAATACTGGTCATGCCCATTGTACTGACTGAAGCAGCAAGGGAGAGGGTACTTAAAGGTACAGTCCATCATTTGTAATTTGTGAATTTTGTTCGTTTGAAGCAACAAAAGTGCTTAAGATCTAAAAAAGGGTACTGAACAACTAAGCTACTCGCAAGAACAAATTACTTGTACTCGTACTCATGACAAACTACTCGTACTCATATTCATTGGAATGTACTCGGCTACAACACTGGCCTCAAACTCCTCCCCCACAGCTCACCTTTTGTTTCAGTCTAGCGTTCTCTTCTTTGTACGCTGACAGCTGTTTCTTCCATTCTTCCACATTGGACGCGCTCTCCTGCAGTGCCGTCGTCAGTCGGGCGTTGTTGTTCTTCAGCGTCTGCAACTCCCCCTCCCACTTCTTGGCGTTGTTGGAACTGTGAACAAACAAAAAATCAAATTAGGTTTTGCCCTTCACCGACGTTTAAACACTGTATACTCAGTGTATTACCTCCCGAGTTTTTTCCAACTTTCACTCGGGAGGTAACACACAGAGTATACAGTGTTTAAACGTCGGTGAAGGGCAAAACCTAATTTGATTTATATCACCCCGACGCAAAATTCCATCTTATAAAAAAAAAAATCATTGTGTTAAAAAAATCTATTTAGTTCCAGTTGAGTTTGAGTTTTCAGTTTTTGAGAAAACAATGTGTAAAGATTGGTTTGAATACTAATTTTGGGCAAACAGTCTAAACAATAAAGTAAGAAAGGAAGGTATACATGTACATGTACCAGTATGGTAATCGGTACGCAGGCAGCATTATTACCTTTGTGCGAGGGCAATCTTGAGCCTGTCGTTTTCGTAGCGGACCTGAGCGTCATTGGAAGTGCTGGCTGGTACGGTAGAGATAGGAGTGTTGTCTCCCGATCGCTCCTGTGATAAAAAAAAAAAAACACATCACAACCACAAACAAAAAAGTACAGGTTGATTGACTTCAAATTAGATCTAAATTCTTCAAGTATGGAATAAATAGCCTTAATAAGGCCAACAACAAAAAAATATTCGGTCTCTGGTCAGACCAAAGTTCCGGAATTGACGCGGCCACGCGGCTTTTTTTTTTTTTTTTTTTTGCTTTTTTTTTTTTCTTCAAGCTCGGATTGTACAGACAAGGTGGGTACTATTTTGCTTTTTTGGTGTCCTCATGTACATTGGTGTCCTCCATATTTGCCTTGGTGCTTTCGATCATTTGCCTTGGTGCAATTTCCCATTCCTTGGTGCTCTTTGGTAAAAAAAATTGAGGAGGTGCGGAAATAGAGGGCGCTGTTGGAGCTACCGCGGAACATTTTTGAAAAAAAAAAGATCGACGCGCATGATTAAAATCGACGCGCGCGCTGACCAGAGACCGACTTATTTTTTTTTTTGGCCTAACACAGAATTAAAAATGACGTGCTAGGACTTTCGAGTAAATGTCCCCTACTTGCAGTATGCAAAGAGTTAAAGTTTGTGTTTGGCTGAAGTTGCTTTTCCGTGCTTTTCAACAATTATAACTGTTTTCTCTTAATAACTTTGCAGCTTGTATGTTTTATTCCAACCCCCAAAATCTCCTTTTTTTCTCTTCTTTTTTGGGCGTCTGTACATCTCCGAAGAAACAAAGGGTTTTAAAATTGGGCACAAACTGATCTGCATTGCGAGCAGACTGGTTCCCGGTCCATACATTATCGATGCTGATGTGAGGTAGAAACCAGCCTAACCAAGAGAGTAAGGAATTATTGTCTGGCTGCATGTAATATCATAATTTGTAAAGTAATAATTCAATAACTAAATGAAGGCCAATTTTTTTTTTTGCTGGATGTCTCATGCAAAAGTGAACAAATTTGTATTGCTAGAAATATAGCAACTCAGAAAAGGAATCAATTTTTCGGGATAAAACTAGGAAAATCTTCTTGTACCTTTGTGTGTTTGATAACAGGCTGTTCGGCTGTGCTGACGACACTCGCCCTTGGTGTGCCATTAGCGGTGATACCAGAGTCCCCACCCCCGCCTCCTTTCTTGTCCTGGGGTGTGGATTTCATCTGCTCTTTTATATTGTCAAATTGCTCAATAAACTGAAACAAAAAAACAAAAAAAAAGTTGTCAAGAAACATGAAATGTTTCTTTGAAATGAAACTAGGAATCGGCAGAAAACTGTGCATAGAGGTTACTTGTCCACAACTAGGAAGTGAAAATTGCATCAACCATTGATAAACATTTTCATGTATCAATAACACGGCCTATTTTTGCTGAAAACAAATATCCAACCTTAATACATACAATTTTATATTTTGTTGTCTGCAAATCTATTTTCACATATGAAATATGAAAGTATTTTTGTTAGCTGCCTACAAAATTGCAAAATATACCCTGTGTTATTTTATGTGTGCCCCGACTGTACAAAATGAGTTGAAATGACTCAATTTCACACGGTCTTATCTCATATGTATTCAGAGTTCCCACAAAAACCTAAAAATGCATACAATTTTATATTTTGTTGTCTGCAAATTTATGTTCACATATGAAATATGAAAGTATTTTTGTTAGCTGCCTACAAAATTGCAAAGTACATACCCTGTGTTATTTTATGTGTGTCCCAACTGTACAAAATGAGTTGAAATAACTCAATTTCACACAGTCTCATCTCATGCATTCAGAGTTCCCACAAAAATCTAAAAATGAAATTGCGTGATTTTCCAAGATAGTTGTTTCCAAGACCAATTCCTATAGATGCTGTTCAGGCATATTAGGAATCTACTTATTGTATTGCTGTACAGGCAAGGGACGCCACTCCCTTTCAGCCTTCCAGTTCGGCACAAGACTAGGCCTACTGAGTACCAGAAAAGCATCACAATGGTGCATTGAATGAGCAACTAGTACAGAGCACACTGTCAGTGTTCTCCAACCTTTAAATATAACCTGGTGCCCCGCCAAGCTTTCTGAGGCATGCAAGCTTCAAAAGTTGCCGCCAAAGCTTAAAGTGAATGTACATCATTGGCTTTTGCTCTAATTTTCAGAAATTAACTATTTGGGGGGTTAGTATAATAGATCAAATATTGTTACACTGACATGTTTGAAGTTTTGTGTTTGTAAATGCTGGAAAAACCAAGAAAAACAAAAATATTTAAGTAGTCTGGTTCCCTGACTCCACTAAAGATGAAATGGATAAAACACACCAGAAAATTGTAAGGTAAGGGAACCAGTCTAGCTGGCCTGCACCCGTTCATGAGCATGGAACCAAAAGCTATCAAAACAAAATTTAGACTTAAAAAAAAATGACAAATTTGGTGCAGTAATTGAAAAATAGTTAGGTTTTTCCAACGGTGGTCGGCCGACCAGCGTTGGAAATGTAGACAAATATACCATTTTCTTGAAAATGGCTTCACACCAGGTGCCATAATTTTACAGGATGCTTAAGCATGTCATTTACCAACATCCTAGTAAGGTATTTCGTAACAACTTGGTAGTTTTATTTTTCGATGTTTGCAAATGTTGTATTTTCCCTTTAAAAAGTTGTCCGCCATGCTTAAAAAAAAGGAAAAAATAATAAAAAAGACAAACAAGTGGGACTTCCCCTTACCCTCCAGGGATATTTGGCCAGAAACTCTGCCAAACATGCAACACTTGTCAAACTGACAAGCCTGCCCATTGTAGCAATCCATCAGGTCAAAAGTCTCCAGGCCAAACTGCCTCAGAGTCCCCGGTCACTGATGTGTTGAAAAAGATGATGCTGGGCCAGTTTTGTATTTAACAGTTACTGTGTTAGAAATGGCCTAAAAGCTGTTATCCGTAAATAAATTGCATGTTCATCTGCAAATAGCGCCCCCTACCATAAAGAAATGTATGACTGCAAATAGTGCCCCTAACATAGTTATAGTGCCCCCCCCTCCGCTTTTTGATGCCGCACCGACCTTTAATGTTCAAAGTTGGAGAACACTGTACTGTACATGCATAATTAAGAGGAAGTACAATGTATAGTAAACTGGAATGTGAGCTGGAAGACTGCCAAATCCAGCTATTACGCATCGTCCACATGGGTCATGCAGGACTCCATGTCTTTTCCATGCCTTTTTCTTGTATTTTTTTTGGTAATATCAACCTTTCATTACGCCTTCTAAAATAACAAAGTTGACTCCTTGTAAAATAACAAAGTTGACTCCTTGTACAAAATAACAAAGTACTATGACTTTTCCACGACCTTCCGTGATGCATGTAGCTTTAAATTCGTAGATTTTTTCCAACATTTTTTTCCATGACTGTGGCAACCCTGTGTATTTAGAAAGATTATACTACAGTCAACTCTCGTTAGTACAAACTCTGTTCATACAAATTCTGGTTATAACAAACATAAAGCCTTGGTCCCGACTGCGCATTTATGTGCACAATGAATGGGACTGATGTTCCAAAAATACAAAATTCTGATATAACAAACAATTTGGCTAGGTCCGAACGAGTTTGAATTAAGGAGACTCGACTGTAGTAATTTTAATAAATCTCACAGTTTGACTTTCTGATGAACACGAATGTTACTTTGGTGAGATTGTTGACTGTTTCTATTCATTTCCATTGTGCAAGCTTTGTGTAAATGTAGAGTAGATTTTTTTTGCAGCTATCCAAAAAGTAGGTGACCAAATTATTGTTGAAAAGCATACTTGGTTTAAAGATAGTAATGGCACTAAACTCCCTGTGAAAATGTTCCTTCTGGCATGATATCAATTTGAAGAAAACAATAACAGAAAGTAATTTCCAAAGATGAGTCAAGTGACACACTTTCTTGAAAATTCCGTTAATAGTTGGTTTGCAATTGGGCGAATCCGTGAATGGGTGCGCGCAAGCATTGACACAACGCACACACGCACCTGGTTGCTATTTTTCGTCGGTTCAGTGTGTGACATCACGTATATATAGCTGCAATCGGCTGAATGAGAACGTGTTCCGGACGCTAATTTCGGGCGCAATTCTGAATATGACTCGGCAACTTTTGAATTGCAATCGAGATCCTAGAAAATTATTTTCTCAGAATATGCAGTATTCACTGAGCTAAAACTTTATCAGGTTAGTTGTTAAGCACCCGTCTTTAGATTTTGAGCACTTTTGTTGCTTCAAAGGAAACAAACGATAAATGATCAACTCCACCTTTAAGGGCATCTAAACTCAAAAGTAGCTCAGGCGACTTCTGACATATTCTGTACTGTCAGGTCAGAAATGAAAAACCACCTCTTGAAGAAATGGGAGAAAAAACAAACACACAAACAACAAATAAACAGTACCTTGTTGAGCTCAGCCTCGGAGGAGAACCCTAGTCCATAGACCGTGTTGGCTCTGTTGTCAGCCCACTGGCCAAACTTCTGCGATGTCTTGGTGAACATCATTTGGGGAACCATTGTACTGTTGATGATTGCCTAACATGGCAAGACAAGAAAAATCATCCAAATTGTAATCTAAAAGCATGAGTTCCTACTGCACAATCTAGTCTCACTTGTTTTGTATTCTTGAACCCAGCAAAAACAGCTTCATGAAAGGTGGTAATCAGCTCTCGATGGCCTCCCGTATGCGTCTTTCAGTCAGAGCATACTGATCGGAACGTCAAGTTTATACCTCTGGTTCTTTTCAGAACCATTCTAGTTCTCTTAGTTGAGAAATTCTTCGCACATGGTGTTTCCGCAAACCTTTCATTATTTAGTATCTCCACCATGCAAAGCCTCAAATCTTACCTGCCTAATTAAGTTTAAGATTTTGCAGGAGGCACAGGGATGAAGCACTGTGAACATTTGGAACATTCAAAAAGGTTCCGAATGAGTACATCACTACTTCAATACTAATCAGTGCTCTAGACTTTTTTCAGCACTTCCACCCCCACCTCCTCTCCAAATTAGCCACGCCCACACTAAGAACCCACCTTGGATCCATCTACACTGATGATCCGATAGGAGCTTCTAGTGCTGTCATAGAAGAAGGAGACATTGACAGCTTGCTTGCTGGATGGTAGCCAGTTCTTCTTGGTGACCGGGTCAATCTGAAAGACGTGAGCCCTGGTGTTGAAAATCGGTTGTTCCCTGAAAGAAAAAGAAAAAAAACAAAAAAAAAAATAGAATGATAGTTCTTTTAAGCTGAGACGATACAGTACTAAGCTTTCACTTAAAAAAAACCCCACTTTTTATGTTTTTGGTTTTCAAAATAGGTTCCCACTTTCCCAATGAAATGATAAAAACTGGAAAGATCATTACAAAGTACTTTGAAGCACAACATGTTTGACCTAAAAAAAAAAATGAGCTGTTGCAGTACTAGTCTGGATTCCAGTCACACATGTTGCTCTCCAAAACTGCTGTGGGTCTGTGACATGATTTCCTCAAGTAAATTGTCAATTTCATGAAGTCAATTGTCACATTGATACAAACTGCTTGGGCCAGGGTAATTTGATGGTTTCTTCACTGTTTGATGTACTTTTTTGTACACGTATAGGCAAGTAAACAGGTAGGTTTTAATTGTTTTATTGCTTCTAATGCAAGGCATTGAATATGTACATATAAGTAGGTTTCCTGTGGCCCATTATGGTTGGTAAACATGGTAAAGAATCTAAAAGCACTAAAATCTGGCAATCTCCAGATGAAAATGCACATTTGAAGATACAATTTGTTGCAGTGAGGAAATTATAAACAGGCTTTATTTTTGAGCGTATGAGGGCTAGGGCTGTAACAACATCATTTTCTGAGTACAAACAACAGAAAAAGCACATTTATTGAAGCAGTTTAGTAAATTTACTAACACTGAAATTTTAAACACTGTAAACAATTAACTTTTGAATTGTAGCAATGCTGGGGTCCCAACAGCACCCTAGCTCAATCGTTCAAGAATTTAGCCATTGCTACATAAAAATTAGTAGCTGCAAGGACATCTTTGGAATTGGCTATTGTATGCCTTTCAAACATGTTTGAGTTTCTTTTTATCAACTATTACATGTACTTTGTATTGTACACATGTCACATTAACATTACTATCAACTCCACCGGAAACTGAAATATGACATGGTACCTACAGATGACCTGAGAAAGAGGTCAAGGCTTTTGCCTGAACGTCAGTGTAGGCAGTGTAGGCCATTTCCCCCAAAGTTTCTCATCAAATCCTATACTGAAAGGGGAAGCTACATGTGTATATGTGTGTATTTATTTTATCTGATTTAAAAAAGAGAACTTCCTCAAAACAATTGCATATTTGTACGGTTACTTGTATGACCAAACAGTTGGAAGGAATTTAATCAACTCAACATGACTGATATTAAGTACCTTGTAAATGTTTACGTTCAACATGTCAATTCTATGTATGCCTGTCATGATCAAACTAAGTTCCGGGTTTCGTACCAACACTTTACCGGTACATGTAGTCACAGTGTTAAACTTTCCAAAGTATTTTCAAAACGACAATCATAATAAGCTACATGTATTACATTTTAAGGCATTTGTGAGTAAATTCTCTTACGAATATTGTAACGTAAATCAAATTAGGTTTTGCCCTTCACCGACGTTTTTAAACACAGTATACTCAGTGTGTTACCTCCCGAGTGAAAGTTAGAAAGGAGGTCGTGGGTTCGAGTCCCACCCGAGTGATTTTTTTTTTCCAACTTTCACTCGGGAGGTACATGTAACACACTGAGTATATAGTGTTTAAAAACGTCGGTGAAGGGCAAAACCTAATTTGATTTATATCACCCCGACGCAAAATTCCTTCTTATAATATTGTAACGTGCATAATAATATGTGTATAACGAGTCTTACAACGTGTGTACTGAAATTGATATCAAAGGTGATCCCTTTTTCTTACTGGGACAAAAGTTAAAAGTACTCTGTGTTCCAGTCCTGCACGCACACCCTTCACAAATGAGGAAAAAATGAAGCTACCAGTAGTCTTAGACTTCACTAAAATCCACCTAATGTTAAGTTTTTCTAACTGGTTAAAAACAGTTTACTGGTTAAAAACAGTTTAATCAAATTAGTTACATTTCTGTACAAATGCACAATTTGAAAGGTTGTTTTGCATCAACACCTCAACTTCCTGTAATGAACTTATTTAATGCCCACATGAAAGCAACTCAGTAGCCGCTCAGAAACATTTTGTTTTAAATGAAATATCAAGAATTACAAAAAAGCAAAAATTATCATTAAATTCCACACTTTTAAAATTAACAGGTGTCTTGACATGCAAATATACATTGTGCCCCACAAGTACAATCTCGTATTTTCAAACACCCCCCCCCCCCCACCCTTTCGAAAAAGTAAGTGAATACCTACATGTATGTTCCCATTTCTGTGGAGAGTATCTGGCCAAATCTGCCTCAGATGCAGTAACAGGAAATAAATCACCTCCTCCAAAACCACAGTTACATGTACATGTATATTTCCACAAGACAACAAATTTCACAAGTCCACCAAACAACTATCCTCTGTACAAGTTGTCAACAAACTCGGGCTCCACACGCATATTTATGAAGGAAAAGGCTTGACTCCAGTAGTAGGCCTATAACTTCACTACACTGTGCTCCACTTGATGAATCCGACACGTTACAACTCAAGTGGCATAATCTGCCTGGCTATTATGAACAGGCAACATCAGACCGTAACTTTGAACAAGTTCTGTTCTTTGAAAACTCCATGCATCCCACTCCACAGACGCTTCGGAAACCCTAGCCGCACAGACATCTGTATCAAGTTACACACTCCGCATCCAACCCTCACCACCACCGACTAAAAAAAATCTTTTAAAAATGGCGTCGGGTTGAAGAGCGTGATAAACTTCCTCTGATATGACCCCAGTCTTCCTGTTTTCTAATCAGGCCATTTCCTCTCTCGCCCGGGTAAAAAAAAAAAAAAGCAAACCGCTGCACCAGTCATCATCAGGATATAACCCAACCGGGACTACTTTTTTTTCTATTTCTTTCCAACGTAACCACCGGTTTAAGCCATCCAGTTCTATCCACTGACTGCAAGTTTAATGGGTTTGCCATATTTTCTGCCGGTGCAGGGGAAATTAAGGTAAACAGCAAGATAGCTGGTCGGTGATTCTCCTGATGTCATGACCAACTGTGCAATACAAAACTAGTTGATTTGTTGTGCAAGAACATACGGTACATTTGTGGTCGTATTCTACCTAGAAGACAAGCATATGAGATCGACATGAGTGCAACTGAAAGGCAGAAAGCGACGGAATATAATTCAGGTGAGGCATGTTAAAAGTTCTTTGCAAAATTTCAAGATCTTTGTAATTCCTTGAGTTTTGCCCTAGACGTAGATTGTACATTAGTACGATCTGGGGAGAAAGCACATGACAGCTGACTTGACTTTGCAACTATTCCAGTCATGGATTTACATGTAAAAGACATTTTGTTGTGATGAAATTTCATGGAAAATCATTTTCAGTTAGTAGTGACGGGTTCAAGGACAGCATTCATTCATCCTTTGCCTTAATTTGTAAACTTGTACAACAATATGCCAAATTACGTTTTGGTTCCAGGTAAGTTGAAATAACAATACAGCCAACAAATGGACGTATGCGGCTTTTCAATGTCATGGTTGTATTTTTGCAGTGTGAATGAACTCGCCAACATCCTCTTGGAACTTAAAGTTAGTATCCAACGAGGCATAAGATTCCATACAAAAAAAATTTGTTTCACATTTGAGCTGAATTTAGACTTGGCCTGAGTTTGGTGTTGCGCTTAGTTATTGCAGTAAACACACACACAGACTAAAGTGGTACCCCTGTTACTGCAGCACTTGTTGCACTTTGGGCACGGTGCTGTTAATGGAATTCAGGGCTGGGTTGTGATGGCCGTGTGTGTTGTGGATAGCGACTTAAGTCCGACCTTAGTCAAGTCCCATACGTCCCACCTCTACATCAGTGTTATAGTCCAGACCATCACAAGTCCTTTCACAAGTCCAGTCACAAGTCCTTTCGTAAGTCCAGTCACAAGTCCAGTCACAAGTCCAGTCACAAGTCCAGTCACAAGTAATGGGATGAACAATGAAAAAGGAATGCTCTTGTAACAGTTCATTGGAATAGCTAAGGACTTGTCATAAGCCAACTGATCCTGTTAGCTCGGTGGTCGAGTGGTAAGCACTTGAAAGCAGGAGGTCGTGGGTTCGAGTCCCACCGAGTGATTTTTTTTCAATTTTCACTAGGGAGGTAACACACTGAGTATACAGTGTTTATACGTCGGTGAAGGACAAAACCTAATTTGATTTATATCACCCGACGCAAAATTCCGTCTTATAATAGTTTATGCGATACCCGCTGCTATGTACATCAGATTCGAACCAGCCAACCGATCCCGTTAGCTCGGTGGTCGAGTGGTAAGACATCTGCACTAGAAAGCAGGAGGTCGTGGGTTCGAGTCCCACCCGAGTGATTGTTTCCAACTTTCACTCGGGAGGTAACACACTGAGTATACTGTGTTGATACGGTGAAGGGCAAAACCTAATTTGAGCTAATGACTTGACTTGAGACTGAAGGACGTGTGATGGACTTGCAGGCACTTGTACAACACTGCTCTAAATTTCAAAAGCTGAATGAAATACATGTAAATTACAACTTAACGTGGACCAATTTTTTTTTATTCAAGGTCTCACTGGAAAGCTCATAAGTAATTCTAACAAATTATCAATTAAATTCTATTATTTAGTTTTTAGTGTGCCACACTCACAAAAAACACGGCGACCCTCCCTTTAAAGAATTTCACATCATAAACACTGTACTGATAGCCTTGCAAACCTGGGGCTAATTTCATAGAGCTGCTTAAGCACAAAATTTGCTTAAGCACAAAAACGTCTTGCTTAATAAAATCATGTTACCAGCCAAAACTCCATGTGATTGTTATGCTAAGTAAAAAACAGCTAATTACCAGTCACAAGCAATCTACTGTACATCACGTGGAGTTTTGGCCGGTAACCTAATTTCACTAAGCAATGTTTTTTCGTGCTTAAGCAAATTTTCTGCTTAAGCAGCTCTATGAAATTGGGCCCTGAGTTGGATGGTGTTTGTTAAATTGTCCGTGGCATGAATTTTACACTTACATCTATTTTGAGCAAACGTCAATTTCTCTGCATTAGACATCCGCTTTGGTTTAATGTTTCAATGATTTAATATTTCAAATTGTTTCATATACGGTATGTACCGTACCCTTAAAACTGGCAATAGAAAGATTGAAAATGAGTAAAATAGGACGCAAGGGTGTATTTCAGAGATTTTATTTAAAGGGAATACATACAACATTTGCTTTTGCTGCAATTTTCAGAAATAAATGGATTTGGAGGATTAGAATGTTATAGCAAATTATTGTTAAACTGACTTGTTTCAAGTTTTGGGCTTGTACAAAAATCTATGCTGAAAAACCAAGAAAACCAATCATGTTCTGGCAGTCTGGTTCCCTGACCCTAGTTAAGATGAAATGGAGCACTTTGTAGACTTTGGGGAATTGTAAGATCAGAGAATCAGTCTAGCAGGATTGTACCCTTTCACAGGTGTGTAATCAATTGCCAAGAAACTGCGGAATAACTAAATACGAACAATAAGGAGCACTTTTGAAAGAAAGCCAGTTTTTTCCAATGCTGGTCGGCCGTTCAGCGTTGGAAAAATACAATTTTTCTTGAAAATGTCAGCACACCTGCACCAGGAGCCACGATTTTACAAGATGCTCTAGACCGTCATTCCCTATCAATCCAGTAACGTATTTCGTGATAATTTGATCATTTCATTTTTGTGATGTTTGCAAATGTATGTTGTATCTTCCCTTTAAGACTGGCAATAGAAAGATGGAAAATTAGTAAAAGGGGACAAAAGGGTGTATATTCAGAGATTTGATTTAAAGCAAAAAAGAAATGTAACATGGTCTAAATTGAAACCACAACATGGACTACATTTTTAGTTGGATCATGTCCAAAACCCTGAGTCAGACTTGAGCATTGCTGCCTTTTTTCTTCTTGATTCGCAGTGTGACCTACCAAGTAGCCTGGACTCCACTCAGCATAATGAACCAATTGCCAGGTTGTGTGTACCGGAGCCTGCAGTCTGCGCCATATACAGCTACGACTGCCAACCCAGGCTACATGCACAATGTGCCCTCATCAGGTGTGTGCAATACAGGTAAAAATTGCAAGAACAAATGTTCACAAACATGGATTCTAAAAGCCTTTAAAGTGAAAGCAACTTAAAAATTGGAAAAGGTGAATCAAGGAAAAAATAAACATTTGAAATGCACACATTTCTACTTTCGAATCCGTGTATATACCGTATGCACAATACATGTAGGCATGCAGTAGCAGTAGGCCCTACTGGCAGATCTAAATTATGTGCATACACAGGGCTGACAACTTTGAGTAAGAACTGAGAGTGAAAATTTGGGGGAATTTTGTTGTGATCAACAACTTACATTTACAAGCCATGGCGTGGGGTTCGGGGCCCGCTTAAAGGGAATGTACATCACTGGCTTTTGCTGTAATTTTCAGAAATGAGGGGTTAGTATAACAGATCAAATATTGTTACACTGACATGTTTGAAGTTTTGTGTTCGAAAATGCTGGAAAAACCAAGAAAAACAAAAATGTTCAAGTAGTCTGGTTCCCTGACTCCACTAAAGATGAAATTGATCAATTTATAGATGCCGGAAAATTGTAAGGTAATGGAACCAGTCTAACTGGCCTGCATCCGTTCATGAACATGTAACCAATAGCAAACAAAATTTGGACTGAATAAAATGGTAAATTTGGAGCAATAGCTGAAAAATAGTTAGGTTTTTCCAACAGTGGTCCGCCGACCACCGTTGGAAATTTATACAAAATACCAGTTTTCTTGAAAATGACTTCACACATGGTGACATAATCTTACAGGATGCTTTAGACTGTCATTTACCAACATCCTAGTAAGGTATTTTGTAAAAAATGGTTTTTCGATGTTTGTAAGTGTTGTATATTCCCTTTAACCCTAACCCACCTCACTCCTCCAAAATCCTCCTGGCGGTTTTGGAGGATTCTAGAGGATTGAGGATGAATGGTGATTGAATCAAATGAGGATTCTGGGGGATTGAGGATGAATGGTGATTGAAGCACATGAGGATTTTGGAGGATTGAGGATGAATGGTGATTGAAGCACAAGAGGATTTTGGAGGATTGAGGATGAATGCATTTTGAGGCAGGACTGTCTGATGATTTTGAAGGATTTGGCGTTGGTTATCCTTCATTTAAACACGAGTGCAAAGTTTTGGGATGAGGAGGATTTTGGAGGATTGAGGATGAATGCATTTTGAGGCAGGACTGTCTGACAATTTTGAAAAATTTAGGCGGAGTTGCAAAATTTTGGAAAATTTTGGAGGATTTTGGAGGATTGAGGATGGTTGTAAGCAACAAGGGCCTAGGGGGTTAGGGTTAAGGGCCCCAAAACTTTTTAAACTTTAGAAGCTCTCTGGTGCATTTAGAGCAAATTTGGGGTGGGGGCGGTCTTTAAGGCAGATTTTCCTTAAAATTCAAAGGAGATTGATAATATTTTGTTATAATAAAAAAAAAAGAACATTTCAAAAACATTACAAGTTCCAGAACTGGAAAAGTATGGATTACAACTTGTATGTTTCCAATTAAGAAATTAAGGCGAAGAAAAATTACTTCTGCTTCCGATTACATGCCTTCCAAAATAGGGTCAGTAGGTCGGAAAAAGAGAGTGGCCAGCACTTACCGGTAGGCTGGCCGTACATTGCGTCGCGCACACGGTGCAGTATCAGTGTGCATAACTGCACTGGCGTGCTGTGGCCAGACTTGTTGCAGAAACATGTTACACTGTTTCGCAACAACTTTGAGCTGAACAACCCGCGCGCTCGTTATAAATATAGTGAAACGTTATATGCATGTATAAATTGTACATAGAAAATAGAGATCACGTTCCGCAGTTGGTAATTAATTTGCAGAAATTCTCTTTCTCCTTCCATGTTTGTTTGGTATTTTATGATTCCAAAGTCGGCCGGTTGCACTATGCACCAACAGCATAAGTGGCTGAGGGTTCGGGGTTCGGGGCCCACTTATATTAGGGCCCCGAACATTTTTGGATTCTAGTTACTCTGTCGCACGATCTGAGTCATTTTCTGACCATTTTAGCCAGTATTTTTTTTAACAAAAGATTGTCATTTAAACATCATTTTCGCTATTATTATTTTTTGCGTGAAAAATTCTGTGTGCGCGTGAGAGCGTGAGCACACGCTTAAACGCGTGAGTCTCACGCTCAATGCGTGAGATTTGGAAGCCCTGATATAGGCCTATACATGAACATGTACCGTACATGTAGTCATAAGTGTCCTTATCAAGTAAACTTGAAAGTCACCATGACTCTCACATCAAAACATGAGCCATTTGCGAGTGACCTTTACCCTTTCGGATTTAAATTTGAAAAACATCTGGTACACTGACTTGCTCAGAATGCTTGGCACATTTTAATTTCGAACTCTCCAGACCAAAGACACTGTTGCTAATCACATGATTCGGGGCAAGCTCTTGCATAGTTACGTAAGAGACGCTCAGCATCAATACATTATTCACAACGGGTGAGAATGGCACAAAGCAAATTCCCTACCTACCTACATGTACCCTATTTTCAAATGCCATGTAATTGGAAGCAGAGCTATTTTTTGACCTAAGCAGTTTTCTATACAGAGGTATTATGCACAGCCGTTTTCTCACAGTAAACTATGCAAGATTTGACCTCAGTGAGGTCATGTTGTGCATCTCTCTATAGGACCGATGACATCATACGCATAAGATCTATTGAACGATTACATAAGAAATATTACCATAACTTTTTTTAGGGAGTTTGATTTTGAACAAGATCAACGTTCTGATATTTACAGAACCATGCCAAAACAATATCCAATATGGGAAGTAATATACCGGTACATGTTACACCCCAATTGCAGCCCCCAATTATAGCATTATCCCAACTATACTGGTAGTTGGGATCATCCCAACTACATGTACATGTACATGTGTAGTTAGGATTGTCCCAACCATAGTTGCGATTGCACCAACTATGGTTTATACTGTCCCAACTACAGTTGGGCTATCATTATAACACCTCACCCGCAGATTCTGTGTCTTGATTGGCCGAGAGCGAGTCACATGACACTTTCTATTTTTGCTATCTTTCTGTGCACGGCCAAAAGTACTATACCCATAGCAACCAAAGTACTATACCATTAGCAACCAAAGTACTATTTCCATGGCGCAGTATTTGTATGCAAAATAATGCATGCTGGTGTGCGCGTTGCGCGTAGCGCGTTCCAAAGAGAGCGCGCCACAGAGTTGGGTTCAACATGTCGCGAAGGGGTAGTTTGGAAGAGAGAAATACATTTTCCACCAATTTTGTATTGAAATTGAAGTTTATTTCAACTATGTTCAGATTTAAATAATTTAAAATATTAAAACCAAGCAGAATCTGTGGGTGAAGTGTTATTAAACAAATATTGAATGCTTTATCTCGTGGTGAAGTAAAACTAGCCTCCCTCGGTGATCCATGGACCATTCTATTTTCCCTCGGCTTCGCCTCGGGAAAATAGAATGTCCATGGATCACCTCGGGAAGCTACATGTAGTTTTACTACACCACTCGAAGCATTCAATATTTGTATACTATAGTTGGGACATAACATATTACAGTGTGTAAACAGTCGACTGCTCTTTGTACACAATCGGATGTGACTAATGCTGGTAAAAACAAATGCATGTATAAATTTACATCTTTGGTCCCACAAAGTTGTACACATTTCTGTGGGGAGAAATTTGCTTCAAACGGACTCGGGTAGTACAGCTTTTCTGTTAAAACAAAAGGTTTTGAGATTTCTCTTTCAAAGGTGCCCCTCCCCTTTTGCCTTTTGCCCTGCCCAACCCCACCCCTCATATAACTTTTTGCCCCTCCCCCAACCCCTCATATCCCCTTTTGACCTCCCCCAACCCAACCCCTCATATTAAAAAAAAAAGGTGACTATGAAAGGTAGTATCAGAAACTGTGCATTCTATCGGCTCATAAACCCAACATGATTATATCCAAGTTTTTATTGCCCGCTTCTTTATTAAATATTCTTTTACCAATTGTTTTGTCATCACAACGTCCTCAAGATACACAAAACACATTGTAAAACTCACCCCATGTTCTGTCAAATCGGAGGCTTTTTCGTTGCCACCTACTCCAGCAGAATTCAGTCACTCGTCCCGATAACTGCTAGTTGAGAAATCAGTCAATCAGTTTATGATCAGTTAGGCAAAACTGAAGCCGTAGGCACCGGCACTTTCACAATGTCCTCATCGGGTCACACTTGCACTCACAACTTTCTGTGGTGAGCTCATTTAAATGTAACTGAAACAGAATTCACCAACTTCCTCCTAGGGTAAGCCTGTGGAGAGATAAAAGAAGTGAAACTCCGATAAAAAAAAATATGTGTTTGTGTATACAAATGTACACATGTACATGTACATGTTTTCCCATGAATCCATGATTCTTTGACCCTACATGTACATGTACTATCGCTAGTCTCAGTATCATTCGTTGTCCAACGGTGCCCTCTCCATAATAACCACATTGAACGTCTGATATATAATATTATAATAATAAAATAACAACGAAAATAATCGGGGACCAGTTCTCTGTGAAATATACACACTGCTTACATTTAACTTTTATAAGTTGGCAATCGTGTAGTTACAGACCCCTCTTTAGTTTCAATCAATCAGAGTCAAGGGCATTTTTTATCATTAAAAAATGGCCCTTTCAACCTAAAGCAGACTTCTCTCAATTCTAATGCACCTATCAATTGTGTCCCCCACCCCCTCCCCCGGGCTGCCCCACCCAAGACGTGGGGATTGTCACTTTTGGATAATGACGCTTTTTTTTGTAATTTTGAATGAAGATATTTGTACAATGTTTACGGTTGGTGCCTTGCCATTCAGCGTGCCTAAGGCAGCTAAGTAATTGCGAGTACATTACGCGGTGAACGTCATCTTTATTTTTGTGTTGCATTTTGTCGTTGTCATTGTAATTTTTTACCCACAAATTTCCCACAAAAAAATCAAAACCCTATCATCTAGTACGACATGTACGAGTCATATCTGCATGTTCTTAATAATAATATGTCACCAACTACAAAATGTAGTTGAAAATAAATTAAACATGTTAAAAAAATAAAAGTGCATTTTGTTCTCTTATCGGGCCTGTAAAAAACCTACACAATCGTCAATTAGTTATTTATAAGTTGCATGCTCAATTACAAGATAACGATCATAACTCAAGTGGCAATCACATCTTCACCAGATGAGATTGTGACTGAGTTTCTATATGGTGATGAGGGATACAAGTTTCGGCGATCGTGTAGTAGTGTAGGGCCCGGTTCCTATAATAAGGGAACAAAATCCACTTTAAAATTATCAGACCTACTACCAAACCATGCAAACTAGTTGGTGACATTCTCAATAAACAGGTATGTCATAGATAGAGGGCAGGGTTTTGATTTTTAGAGGGAAATTTGGGGGTAAAATGACGATGACAGTGTGGCGACAACACGCAACCTGAAAATAAAGATGGTGAAACACCGCACGATGTACCGTGAGCACGCACGGCGCGCTGAATCGCAAGGCACAAACCGCGCAGGAAAATTGTGATTTCTACACCAAGAATCTGTTAATAATTGCAAAAAGGATGTCTTTAGAATTGAGAAAAGTCTGCTTTTGATTGTAAACTAAAGGTGATTTTTGGGCAATAAAAAAACATTTTTGACTCTAAATAATTTGATCAAAACAAAACAGGGGCCATACACTTCACGATCGCCCTACTTTTGGGTACCGAAATGTATCAAAAATAAAATTCCGACTTTAAATCTTGAAAGTATAGACTTTGAGCTTTCATTTGACACCAAATTTGTTTAAGTCACATGCATTTGAATTTCCACTTTGGTGTGGAATTGCCTGAGTGTTGTCTGCTGATGATGACTCGATTTAGCAAAAACAAAAAGTGAAAAGTCGATTGCCCAAAATACTCGCCCCGGTTTCCCGACTGTAAATCCTCAAAAGTAAGGAAACAGTTTTTACCAGACAAAGTTCAAGACATCACGCTGCTGGTGGGTTTGATGTTGTCGAATCTTTTTTAATTACAAATATACAAATCTTCTTCGTTTCCTCAGTAGTCTCCTGTCAAACCCTAACTAAATCGAGCAAGAGGCGCTACTGTAAGCGTGTTATAGCGCCCTCAACATTTTGAGAATGTCGATTGTGGGCGGTTTTTTTTTGGGGGGGGGGGGGGTTGAGAATAAAATAATGTCGATTGTTGGAGGGTTTTTTAGGGGGGGGGGGGGGAGAGGGGGGCTGGGAAGGGGGGGGGGGGGTTAGATCATGGAGCTTAGGCCAGGGTCCGGTTTGGCAGGATACTTAAGCATTAATTACAGTACACCAGTGAAGAATATTCGCTGATGAAGTTGGCTGAAAGTTTTCAGCATGCCACTTTTTATGAGCATCTTATGATCAGGTTAAAAAAAACTACAAGTGCAAGAAATTTTGTTGAGGTGTTCTAAAAACTTTTCGGGGGCTGCGTGCCATATTCATGCATCCTCACAATTAAGTAGGCCCATGGAGGAATAAGATTCCTCCATGGTAGGCCTACATGTCGTTCAATTTGCTTTAAAAATCAAGATTGTGATCTGTGAAAACGATTTCAATTGCACTAAAGATGGAATGGGCCGGGGTTATTCAGCAAACTGAGCAAGCATTCGGGAAATCGTGTCCTCGTTTTTTCCCTCATAAAGGCTTGATCTTTACTCTAAAAAAAAAAAAAAAAAAAAGACATATGGTCCGAGTCACTGGAAAAAAATTCCAGGGAACCAAATGTAGCCTACTGCAATCTGTAGTAACTTCTGGAAAGAACGTCATTCTTTCCAGAAATTTCACGCTTGCACGGCACCGGCGTGAAGTCAAACTGGATGATGATGCGTAGCGGAGATATCCAGTCAACTTTTTGAGATTCTGAGATTCTGAGACTGAATATTCAGTTTCCCCCAACAGTAATCGGCAGAACTTGTCAGGACAAAGGTGTAAACAGTGCCTGTAGTTGCCTTGAACAACACTGAAGTTGTCACCAAAATGATTCTTTCTGAGCTGCGGACCGGACCCGATCGAAAATATAAATATCGCCCTCTTGGGCTAATAATTGCATAAACATCCTGACTGGTATCCTGCATCCTCATGTTGTTGATGAGAGCACGTACTCGGATACCAATGAATATCGGGGAAGTTGTTTGCAGACCTTGTTGGACCTGATAATCTTTCTTGGAAAATAAAGCTAAAACGTCTCGGAAATTACCCATTGTCTGCTGTCTGAAGTGATTTTTGTTTACATGCGCTGACGGATTTTTTCGCCTGAATTTGTCTGCATTCGTAAGGTGGGATTTTCAGTGCTCATGGTGCAGGGATTTCACTCTCCATTTCTCTCAGCATGCTCAGCTCATCACAATAATCTTACCGGCAACATTGTCATTGATTTCCACTGCACTGGCGCACTTGGTCATGTGGTTCAGCTTTTTTGAGTGAGAAACACTTTCAAGTTTCATTAACTCATCGTTCATCTCAGATTTTGCTGATTACTAGTTATCAGAAAAAGTGTTCTTCTTCCAGTTGTCACGAATGGCTGGTAAGTATCCACGATTCAGAAGATCGGTTTATCAATGTTTATTCTCGTGGTCATTGGACAGAAATGTGTTTTGTCAATTTTATTAATAAATTAAGAAAGTGGATATTTTGCCGGAGGTAATGACGGCAAACTAACGTTTACTAAAGGTTTGCCGGCGGCAATCCATATCAACAGAGGGCGCTGTACTCTTTAAGATAGGGCTGAATTATAAGATGTATTAAATTCCCACCAAAAGTTGTGAAGCACGTTTGGTGTAGTGGTTAAGCAAAAGCTCTAGTGAGCGGGATGACTCGGGTTCGATCCCGATCCCCGCCACATTTTTAAGTTTTTTTTTTCCCATCCCCAAATAAATAAGAATATTCTTCTTTTATTATTTTAACATGTCTCAAACATTTTATTGCAGAGTATTACATTTTCTTTTTCAGATTTGTGGCTCTGGAGGATTTTTTTTAAAAGGGAAATAAAGTCCGAAATTATAAAATGGTCTGAATCCCATCTTGTGAATACGAGGTTACAACGATAATATTGGCATGGAGCCAGACTAAAATTTGTCACCGGAAAATGTTTAAGTACAAAAAAACAGTAACTGCGCATGTTCAGTGCATATCCGGCAAACTAACGTTTACTAAAGGTTTGCCGTCTCCGGCAAAATATCCACTGCCATAAATTAAGTTTAAGTTGTCACTGTCGGTGTCATTTCGATGTACTGATTGTGTTGTTTAGGACCCTGTACCCATATAAGAGAACGAAAAGACGCTTTTACAAGATACCATGTTGAATTAGCCCGACTGCCCGGCCGTACTATCACAAGCTGTGTAGTACGGCCAGACAGGCGATGCTCCTGTAAATGCTAAAAAGTGATGTAGCGAGCTTGCTACAGATTTCGATCGAGATTATCTTCTCATCCAGGACAGAAATTTCCAAAGTTAGGGTACCTAGTACTTCTAGAATTAGAAGGCTGCTCGTCAGCCTTTTGGCATGCTTCTTTTTCGGGGGTCAGTGCGCTATGGCTTTTGGACATGCACTTTGATAGACGAAATACCTTTGTCTGGAATTCCAATTTCTGAAACACAAATCCATCCAAAAGTTTGTATGCTTGATCCATAACTCTGAAATATTTTAGGACACATTTGGATCATGGGACAATTTTTGGGGTGGAAAATCTGAGGTTTTACTCACCTAGTCCGAGTAACTTGGACCCAACTTATCGCCTTTTTTAACATTTGGACATGGTCTGGCGATAGTAAGGTCCAAGCTAATACCGAGACCTAGACAACACAGTCCCAAAAACCAACATTTTCCAACAAAAAACATCAGATTTCACCTTCAAAACGGCCTCCAAATTACTAGATATGTCACCTGAGGTACAAGTAGACATAGATGATTAAGATGGTTGTACTTAAGTTTACTTACGATCCGGAAAAAAGTGAAATTTTCCGATCAATTCTGAAGACCCCCTCTGCCTAGGTTGTCGTTGTTGTGCTCACGTTCAAAACTGCACGATAATGGCGTCTGACCTCGACCTCATGCAAATGTCGTGACGGCGCGCTTGCGCATAATGCAACGGCAGATTCCCCCGCGTCGCACCGACGACTGTTTCCTGATGTAGAGTGCTGTGTAAGTTCGCGGTACGCCTAGGAGTCGCGCTGGCTAGCCAGGCGCATCAGGAAACAGTCTACATCAGGAAACAGTCGTCGGCGCGGCGCAGGGGAATCTGCCGTGCATGCAGTGCATTATGCGCAAGCGCGCTGTCACGACATTTGCATGAGGTCGAGGTCAGACGCCATTATCATGCAGTTTTGAACGTGAGCACAACAACGACAACCCAGGCAGACATGGCAGAGGGGGTCTTCAGAATTGAACGGAAAATTTCACTTTTTTTCCGGATCGTAAGTAAACTTAAGTACAACCATCTTAATAATCTATGTCTACTTGTACCTCAGGTGACATATCTAGTACTTTGGAGGCCGTTTTGAAGGTGAAATCTGATGTTTTTTGTTGGAAAATGTTGGTTTTTGGGACTGTGTTGTCTAGGTCTCGGTATTAGCTTGGACCTTACTATCGCCAGACCATGTCCAAATGTTAAAAAAGGCGATAAGTTGGGTCCAAGTTACTCGGACTATTACTCACCAGCCTCGCGTCTCCAATCCGACGAATGCATGGGTCATGTTCAAGTGTGTGTTTACGTACGTTGCACATGCGCTGATCTTCACGTGACCTCAGCAGGTCAACTCTATTTTGGGGTCGACCATTGGGGATGGAGGGAGGGATTGTATGCTTTGCATCGCGCAACAGTACATAATATGTACATCATTTTGGCGCGCTGAATACGCTGTGCTGTATTGGTTATGTTGTGCCCATTCTTGAAAATCACGCAATCTTAAGAATGTGCACGCATTCTTAAGAATGAGCGCCCATTCTTAAGAACGAGCACGCGTTCTTAAGAATGAGCGCTCATTCTTAAGATTGGGTGGGAATATCACGTGCACAATTTATGAATTTTGCCCAATCTTAACAAACATTGCACGACATAATTATGTTAAATGAAATGTATAGCGGTTAAAAGGGAAACAGTTTATATAAAGAGGAAAGAAAATGTTCTATGCTTCTGTACTCGTATAACTACGATAATTTGAATCAAATTAAACCTGTTATTATTGCTTTTTTTTCTGCCCACTATGGGAAGTTTTGTAATAACGGAGGACTGGGAACTAGTCTGGGAAGTGCTTTGTTTAGGCTAGACAAGTTACAAGTCCCTGCATGTATCATATGCATGCCACGAAAAAAAAACATGTCCAGAAGCTGCCAAAATTGCTCTTTTGACTAGATAGAATCCAGCTCTGCGACGTAATGGTGGGGTGTGAACAATAAATTGGTGGCAATTTAAATGGGAAATAGCATTAGCACTATGGGATGTCGCAGTATTCATTCTCATTCTTCACATTCTTCATTCTTAGTTCCCCCCCCCCCCCCCCCCCGCTTTTATTATCCCAAAAATCAGAATTCTTTCCACTAGTAATTTTTATTATGTCTCTTATTTTTTCACGGTCCCCCCCCCCCATATCAATACGCCTATACTTATCATATCCACTCTACTTTTCAGCGCCTTGCGTTGCAACGTATAATTATTGAGAATCAGTGAACGAGGATGCAGCTAGACTTGCCAAGCGCAGCCGGTGCTCGGCATCGACAAGACCGTTATCTTGTCGCGCATTCTTAAGAATGTGCGCTCAATCTGGAAGAGTTATTTTTTGCGAAGATTGTGCAAGGATCCAGTTGCACATTCTTAAGAATGTGCATACACATTCTTAAGAATGTGTGATTTTAAAGAATGGGCACAACAGTTACAAGTTGTCAGTTTTGGTGGACTGTTTACTGATGGATCTTTTCATCCCTTTTTGTCAAATTCAAAAACATAACAAAACAGTCTCAACTGCAAAAAAGTTCATGATTAAAACACTTGAGTTTGAAATTGATATGGTTGGAATTAGGAAGTGGCTGTGATCATCTTTTTTTAGCATAAAATCAGTCAAAATAATTTCAACTTGGTTAAACTAAATATTGATGGAGTATGAATGGCCTTGGGCCTGGAGGCCTAAAAGCAAAGCATGTATTGGAAGCAGTGTGATTGATGGATTTTGGCGGACGTGGTCCAGTACTTAGTAAAAGACAGTCTGTGAGTTAGTTAAGGCTGAGTCTTGTAATATTATACATGTAGGTTACCTGCATTGTACCGGTACATGTACATCAGTACACTTCAGCTACCTCCATGATATTATGTTGTGGTGTGTCTTGTTGATTCTTCATCGCCTGTTCAGGTCAGTTGTGCATTGTCTAGTCCGAAAATTTGGGACTCTCAATACTGTGTATGAGAGTCCCAAAACCTAAGGTATTGAAAACATGCAAAACAAGAAAATAGACTGGCACCTAAAACAACCAGTGCAACACAGCTTCAGTGCTGCATCAATCAACCATGCCAAAAGAATTTAAGAAACATATGGCATGAACCGGGAACTAGTCTCAATTTACTACACATTTCTCCATAGTCAAGCCACCAGACTATTGACTGAAGAGGTCAGTCTTTTCAAATACATGTAGTTGGACCATGGTTGGACATGTACCAGTCTAGTCTTTAGCCCCATTTTGAAATTAATTGACTTCCCTCTCATTGCAAAATATTGAAGAAAAGTCTCCTTTAAAAATTGAATTGAGTCTGCAAACTTGGTTGGTGAAATACTGAGGACCTGTTCTATGGCCCAGTGGAATTTTTTGGAGAAATTTGCTGACTAAACTGTAAGTAAAGTGGGCCTGATTTAGTTTTGCACGTTTCAGAGCACTCCAGAGCCCTGTCTGTGCATTGTCATGATTGTTGCATCTGACTCTGAGGGATAATTATGTGTCAGACTACATGTACATGTAGTGGAATAGAGGGTGTACAATGTACAGTGCATTGCTCACGTACATGTTAGACCATGATGTAACAATTAATTAATTAATGCATTCATACCGGTACTTTGTGTGCATGCACACCACAACATGTGGGTACTAGTTACCATTATTCAGGAGGCCTGCTGAATTTTGTTCACTGTTTCTCACTCATGGTACATGTTTTAACGTGTTCACATTTTAAACACAAGGGACTTCACTCAACCTGTTCAGATCATAAATTTTACATTTATAATACGCTGTTTGTGACTCATTTTGGTCCCCTTTTCTGAATTTTTGGCAGATCGCAAACCCAGAATTTGATGATTGATGCTTTGGGTAAAAGTCATGCGGATTAAATGGTTCTACACATTACATACATAAATCATTGGCAAGGGTACCACATGGACCCAATATCATGTACACGTACATGTAGCTGCTATACAGACTTTGCTGAGAGTAGAGAAGTACTTGCTTTAAAACTGGTTAGGCCAAATAAAAAAAAAACATATTTAGCGTCCCCACCCGCTTCCTTCTTGGAGGCCGCCTCCTGTTAAAAAAAAAAAATTTTAATTTTTTTTTTCAAAACACGAAAAAATGATAAGTTTTAAACAGTGACATCAGTTTGGCCTCTTTGTCTGTTCCATCTAGCCCAAATAAAGCTGGTTTGTCATTCCTGAGTCCAAGTGGCGGCCATTTAGAAAAAAAAGCTGGCAGCCATCTTGAAAAATAGCCCGGTCGGGCGGCCATTTCGGAAGGGGGGAAAAAAAAGGGCCACCTCCTTCCTTTTTTTCAAAAAGACAGGACGCTAAACATGTTTTTGTTTTTTTTATTTTGAGTTTGCAAGATGCTTTCGCCATGCTATTTTTGAGTTTCACCTCAATTTTTATTTGTGTTTTCAATTGCTATTTTCGTACATGTAGCAAAATAAAATTTATTTACTTTTGAATGAGACATTGAACAAAAAAAGTCCACTGACCTTTAGTTATTGAATTATATCTTCCCAAAATTTGAATTATTGGCTGCCAGACAATAAGTTGGCTTGAGCAGGGTGGGTTATTTGTACACAAAATGAACGCCCCATTTATAGGGTTGCAGATGCCTAAAATCAGAAAATTTGCTTTTGTTACCAAAAAAACATACAAATTGAAATTTGTTAGGAAAAAAAAGTATCCGTTTTGTGAAGAGCATGAGGTATAAATCTTGAATGTCATGCAATTGATATTGTTTGTGAATGGTGAGCGTTGTTCCAGTCTTGAGCGGATTAGCTATTGCTTCGAGATCAAGATCGAGATTGAGATTAAGATCAAGATCGAGATTAAGATCAAGATTGTTCTTGTGTGAGTTTTGCCAAGCCCATGAATTTGTTCCGCAAAGTTTTGTTCTTCTGCAACTCCATTAAGGATTTCATATTTATGCAAAACTAGGCTGCCCTCCATTCGTTACAAATATTTTTAAAAAAACTAAACCCGGAGGTGGGATTTTGTTGGATATGTATCCAACCAAATCCCACCTCCGGGTTTAGTTTTTTTTGATAGATTCAGGTTGCACAGCCAAACTTCACAATTTTGGATATTGACTGATTTGGGAAGCTCTCACATCAACAAAAAATGCCTAAGGAGTTATGGTAAATGAGATAACTTGAATAACGTTTCTTCTTCTTTTTTTCCCTGTTACTTGTTTTTCTCGTCAGGCAACGAGGAGATTCCACCTCAACAGATGGCACAACGCAAGAGGAAAGCAGTGTAAGTGTATTCATTATAACCTATTGAGATCAGTGCAGGCAAACAAACATTTAAACAAACAAACCTACAATTATCGCTATGAAGAAAAACTCAGTGTAACATTTGATTGAAAGTATTTAATTTGGTGTCCACGTATAGAATTTGTGCTTTGAAACGGGAAGAATGTTAAATGTAATACCAGTCCTTCTGATTTGAGGCGTGCGATCACACCCCCACACCATAGCACACCTAAAAGCTTCCCGAGAAGTGCGAATAATTGCACCCCTGAATTTTCCTGGACCACAGATCACACACCTAGAAAACCACACACCTAGAAAAAACACACACCTAGAAAAATCCAGGAGTGCCTTTTTCCACACGCCTGTGATTTTCAAATCAGAAGGACTGTAATACAGTCATTTCAGTGAACTATTTCACTTTGTATCAAGTAAATGAAAAAATATTAATTAGCCTTTTCTTTAGTACATACATGTACATAACAATTTACTAAAATGTATATTGTAATCGGTAAAAAAAAATGAGTACATGAATTTTTGTTTAGACAAATATGTTAAAACATTGGAAAATGCCCACTGCTCTGCTATAATTTCCCCCCACTGTAAATTGAGTATTGCATGTAGTCAGAAATGTAATGCCTTTAGTGAAGACATTTAAAAAGACATGTGCTTGTAATATTAACTTCAAAGTTTATATAATTTTTGTGTGCCTAGCTGTTCTTGAAAATTTCAATATAAATGTCCATGTATATTTGTACATGATTATTCTTTATTACATGTAGCTTGCACTCTAATTTCTAAAAATAGAAAATCAATTGATTACATGAATAAAAAAATTTTTTGAAAGAAAGTGTGCATTATTATAATTACATTATGATTGTGAAGTCTTTGACGGTAAGTAAAATGTACACACAATTGTTCAGATTGCATTGTACACAAGATGCTTGCTCTTGTTATAAAAGGCAAGGGGCAGGGGGCTGTACAAAGGAAATATAATCAAGCACATGTACATGTGCCTCCTAGGGGATATGCGCGTGTCGTGACCGGCCATTTCTCTCCTGACCATGATGAGAGAGCGAACAGAGAGCGTACACCAGTCACGTACTTGATTGAATTAAGGGATAGGGGAGGGGAGGGGGGGGGGGAGTTCATCGAATAGAGCTGTATTCATCTCTGTGTCAAACCCGTGGCCAGATGCAATGTATTGTTGATACAATTTCAAAGGCCAAATAATTAGGATTTTTCCTGCATATTGAGATTCAGTAGACCATATATTTTACTGAACTTCATTCGTGTTTTCCTCTCCTTTTTTTAGTTTTTATACCTTCAATATTTACTTTTTTTATGAAAAGTGTTTTTTTAACTGCTAGAAGATCATACAGTATACATGTAGTATTAAATCTGCTGTAGGTTTTTGAAATCACACACAAAATAAATAATTGGGAAGTCTATAAAAATTGCACCAGGCAAGTAATTAGATGTCTGTTGCCATGGCTACATTGACATCAACACATTTGATTTAATTTAATTTTTGTTTTTTTTATTAAGAAGTTAGATCTTTACCTTTACTTCCTCTCTTGGGAGACTGTGAGTGTGAGAAGGGCAAGTTTTAGTTTTGCTTTGAAATACTATCCTCTAAATACGGGTATTGAGTTTTTATTAAAGGGAATTAATTAAAACCTAAGAGTATAAAACTTAGGAATATAAATTTGTGGCATGTACATGTATGTACTTGCAAAATCGAGAAAAATGCTAAAAAGTTACGAGTGGGTGATTTTTTTAAAGACACCATTCAAGACACATGAAAAAAAAGGACTTCAAATTATTTTTGATTTATTGGGTGGGTATATTGATTACATTGTAACCGCCCTTGAAGAAAAATGCAGTAATGCATCACAAATTTAGAAACTCATTCATAGGGGCCTACGATGTCAGATGTAAAACAGGAACAGGAAAAAAAGTGGACCCTCAATATATGGAATGACCGAAATTTAAATGCGTGTACAGTGACACAGTAGATCAAAGCAGAGGTTCCTCCTCTAACGTAATGGACGCTTTACCGCTGCGCGCTTTACCTTTACCGAGTTGATGCAATCTTATGCAGGCCGCGCATGTATTTAAGGGGTTTTAGCTGTAAGCGATACACGTTGCTCAAGTGCTTATATTGTGTTTGATACGACCCGGTCGGACATGTTCTGAACACTGTTTGAGCTTCACCCCTTGCATACGGTAAATCGTGGAGCTATATTTCAGCAGGGAAGGACACATACAAAATGTACATGTACAGTACATGTGGACTGATCCTGCTGTGTGCGCAAATACCCAGGGGCTAGCCTGTTTGTTTTGCTGGGTCAGGTTTTTTTGTGTACATGTACATATGCATGTCATGACCCCTTCCCTTTGTTTACACTGAAATTAACACCTGTTAGTTTAATCACCTGTAAATAGTTGGTACATGTATGCTTGCATGTGGTTTATTTACATGTAGCAACAGCCACAGTTTACATGTAAATAAAAAAAATCAGATATTAATGAAACTTGCAGAAACTATGAAAATACAAAAAAAAATTCACATGTATGGAGGACGGCTACACTTGTTTACATGGCATCCGAATGTTGATTACACCTGTGAACTTGCACAGAAAACGTCAAAAGGACACTTAAGTTTGATTGCCTAGGCTGTATTTCATTGGACATGCATGTGGGATTGTAATTTATGGCATCTATATTCCAGCCTTTGATTTTGAGGTTTTTGTCACGTAGAAAGAAAATTACATGTAAATAAAAATATAAAAACGTTGAAAAAATACATGTACGGAAACTAAATGGTCAGTCTAATTTTTGTTACCCAAAACACAGCATTTACTGTTGTTGGCTGTTCATGTATACATGTACATAATTTGTTTTTCCTTCAAAAATTGATGTAATTGTTTTGTGTTTCTTCCTTTAGCTCAGAAGATGGGGATGATGAGGACACAAGCCCCAGCAAGTTCTCCAGGTGAGCGTTCAAGAAATAATAATTTATAAATCCTTTGTTCCTAAGGCAGTATCCACGATGTTTTGTAACTTTTACGCTGTGAGTTCCTGTTGGCAAAAATGGGCTGCGTCACGCGGCCTGTAAGATTCTCCTCGTCTTCAAAACAATCCATGGGCCCTTACCAGGAGCACGTTTTGGCGGCCCTTGAACTGGAACATGTTTCTGGCGTCACAGCCGTGACCTGAAACATGTTTCCTATGCACCGCGAAAACGACTGACCGGAAAATTGTTCATGACGTCATGTTACTGCCTACATGACTGCACACAACCCCCAAAAAAATCACGCGGCGACCGGACATGATTAACAATAACATTCAAAGCAAAAGTGGGAGTTTTTTTATAGCGTTTCTCTAAAGTTCTAAAAAGAGTAGGCCTGATCTTCTGTATCAACTTTCGTACCAATTGAAGGTAAAAACCCACTGTTTAAACCCCATTTATGGTAAAAAGTAACGTCGTCTGCTAAGCTTGTTTACCTTTCCGTCATCTTGAAACATAAGTGAACCGACCGGAAACTTCGGTTCAACTTTGGTCGAAACAATGACGTCATTTCAGTGTAACCGAAGCGCCAAAACGGCCGCGAACCAGAAACATGTTTACGGTCACAGCGCAAAAACGTGCCCCAGATTACATGTCAGATCTCATCCAGCAGTATCCAAATTATATGGCTACGGCTAGAAATCACACACGAGTCTATGGCAAGTGGCTGCAGCGGCTTTCATAGGCGCGTGCAGTTTCCAGTCGCAGCCAAGTAATTCGGACAAGGCCTAATACTCTCTGGCTTACAATTGTGGACTTGTGGCCATTTCTTCTTTTTGTCAAAAGAGGGCGCTGTTGTAAAGAAATCTGCCACACATGGATGTCTTAAACCTAGGTATATATAACTATTACGTTGCGAAAATAGGTGTGTCACGCAGCCTGTAATGCTGTGTTCCATGCCTCGCGAACGTCCTGTGGCTTTGAATCATGTGCATACGTACACGTGTAAGTACAGTGTACATGAGTGATAATTTATGCAAAATTGTGATCGCACATTACTATTTTAAATAATGCGCGTAATGCGGGCGCGAACGCCCTCCTGCGCATTCACGTCACGCCCATGGTGAGCGTTCGCGTAATTGACATAATTCTATACGTGCAGCATTTTGCTAACAGTTTGAGAGCAAATGTCATGTCTAGGTTTATAAGATGTCTATGCTGCCACTTTGCAGTGAGTGCAAATCTTTAGGACATACATGTATGCATACAACTTTTCTTGAAACTATTTCAAAAATACAGGTAGGTACTTCTTTCAAGTACATAAAGTACATTAGAGTGCATAAAGAGAATCACATAGAAGTTGTGATGGAGGATTTAGTAGACTTAGCAATGTGGAAAAAACCAGAAAAACATAGTAACGATGTCGCTAGAATACAATGAAAAAATAGATTTGGTGTTGTAAGCCTCAGAAAAGTCCAGTTCTTGGTCGTTTTCTGGAACGAATGTTGATCTTGGTATTTAGTATTTAGCACCGATGCTTGCTACTTCTTTTTCTCTCAAAAGTTGCATGCTTCTACCTGTAAATGAATGTCATCGTGTTCATATCCTATAAAAAAAAATTACGCCACGGACAATGATACCTGTATCTACAATGTAGAAGTCTTGGGGAAATGGGGGAAATGTCTGGATTTTGTAAAAGATGAGGTTTTGATTGTTATTGTTTATTTTTTATTTGTGGTAGATCTCACAGTTGCATGAAAAAGCATGTCTCCCTTCCTTAAAAAAAAAATTTAAAAAAAAAAAATAAAAAAAATAAATAAAAAAAATAAGAAATTGAAATAGCTGCATGCTCCAGCCCAAAAGCAGCCAGGGACATTTTTTGGCCAAGTCTCCCGTCTTTCTTTCCCCCACAGAAATGACGAGGATAAACCAGACAAAGAGAGGTTTGCAAGGTAAATATCCTGACAAGCACGCACTCTCAGAAATGACTCTTTTGATTTGACTGGAAGGTTCTAATGCAGTGCTGAGCTATTGGCATTTGTTTGGGCTTGCATATATCAAAACTAAACTAGGTCTAAGCATGAGGAAAAACCCACTGTTTTGTGTAGCAGCCTTTTTGCTTTTGAAAGCATTGTTTTCATTTGCTTACTACATGTATGTGCATGTCAACCAAAAGGATGTTCAGCTATAATTAGGGGATAGAAGTGTGATGGTGAAGTTATAAACGTACATAAACTAAAGGTACATGTACATACATGTACATGAACATGACATGTACATGTACATGTACATGAACATGTACATGTACATGACATGTACATGTACATGTACATATACATGTCATGTACATGTACAAATGTACATGTACATGTACATGTAAAGAAGATCATTTGCATTTGTCCTAATTACGTGAAATAGGCCTTACTCACAAGCCGGCCATATTAAATTGAAAGCGACATAAAATCTTCAAATGGATTGCATGAACACTACCGTATGCAGACCTTGAATAGGATATTAAATAAGACTAGAATTCTGATTTTTTTTTGTAGACTGTGTCAAAATACTGTTTAAGATGGATACCATGTGTGGTGCAGATCTTTGTAGCCTAGTACACACGCAGGGATTTTCGTTGACAAAATGCAAATCATGGTATTGTTAGACATGTTATTGGTATGCAGGTAAAATGACGGGGTACTCTACCCTACATGTCCTGGTACAGGTATGTGTCGATAAAACGGTTCCCTTCACATCCCCATTGTGAGGCTGATAACCTGTTGATTCACATACACGTACAGTGGAACGTAGCTATACCGAACACCACTATTATACTGAACATTCGGCTATACCGAACATCATCCTTGGCTCCCGGTTTTAATGTACAAAACGTACCGAACATTGTTGCTGAAAAAAGTCAACAGATTAACAAAAAAATCTACTGATTGTACACGCATTAAACACTATTTGGGCCACTTTTAATTCCCGAACATGACGACCCAGAGTTACATCAAGTTTGAATGTTGAACAGTGATAGATGGCTATTATTTTCCAAGAGAATAGAAGGGGAAACCATCCGTTGCTAAAGTATCGTGACGACTCCTCGCGGGATGTGGAAAATTCCACTATTGGTCGGTACCGGCGGTTCAAAATCGCTATACTGCACGATCGTTATTACGAACACTTTCTGTGGATCCAACGATGTTTGTTATAGCGGCTTTCCACTGTACTACACATTTGCATATACCATGCAAATTAAACTTGAGGCTAGTCTGTGTTTTTGCAGCCCTATGAGTTAAAGGAGCATTGACTGCAGATGTATGATCTGTGCACAAAAAAATGTGGTAAATTCAGAGTGATATCACTGTGGTAATATTAATCCTCCTGTTGTTTGATCAGTCACAGTCAGTCAGAAATTCAATTCATTTAAATACACAGGCTAGTCACCAACAGTGGGATCGTACATTGTACACAATGTATGTCAGATTCCATTAACAGACAAAAGCAGGTGGTAACTGGCAGGTACAGCTGGCATACAAATGTATGTACATTTGTACGCCAGCTGTACCTGCCAGTATGTACATTCCCTGGAACATGTACATCAATTTCCAACAGTCACTGTGTGAAGCATAGCTGTGTGAAGTTTAATAAACAGTCAAAGCCAGTCAATCCTGCTTTAAGTAGGAACTACATGTACATTGTGTTGGAAGGGAGCACTGAACTTCTTAAAACAGTCAATCAAGTGATTTTGACTACTACATGTAGGATGGATTTGTTGAATTTGCCAGCTGGAGAGGGAGGGTTACAGCCTTTTATTTGTGCTCAAGGGATAGTGCAGTACTTTTTTTGTAGGCATCCACATTTCATCTTTGGCAGCCTATCTATGCATGTGTGCAGAGTAGTGCTCAGCCGCTGTGCCATTAGAAAAGTACTGATTTTGTTTTATCTGCATGCAATCTCTTACTTTGGGCAGCTATCTTTTACGCAGACATGGCAGATGTTGTTTTGTTGGTTTGCTAACTGCATACAAGTACATAGGCGATACATTTTTCTTTTTTTTCTAAGGGTCAAGGTTTATTGGCTCGGTACATATGTACCGGTACATGTACATTTAAAATGCAGGCACATCATGATTAGCTTGCACATTTATACTACATGTACTAACTAGGGCATAAGGACAGGAGTTATCATTATTTTATTCCTGATGCATGTTTAATTGTTATAGCACGTACATGTAGTTAGTTGCTGTTGATTGGCTGCATGATTAAGTCATGGTATAAAGTAAATGAAAAAAACACCCAAAACCAACAAAAGTTTGTCAGTCAAATTTGCTCTGGTTTGTGATACTTAAGAGACTAATGTTTGAAATATAAAACGAGTGAATTTCTACCTTTACAATTACATATCTTGTTTTCTTTCATAGCATTTAATTACATGTACGTTGTGTCTCACAAAGGTGAAATAAAGGTTTAATTTTACATTCATATCTTGTCACTTTGTAAAACCTAATGTAGGTGAACGGTTAAAAAAAAAACAGATTACATTTTTGAAGGGTAAAAATGACTTGTAAACAATTGTGCATCTTGTCATGCCTTGGTGCGCATGGGCCTTGTTCATGTTGTTGGCATGGTTGGGGCTTATACTGTCGCTAAGTTTTTTTTGGATTCTCTCCTTCATTTGCACGATTAGATAATTAATTTTGTAATCCACACAAATGATTATAGTTTTCCAGCCCAACCAATAAGATCACACAGAGAGAAGCATTGTCATTACGATAAATGAAATCTTGTTTAACCTTTTAAAGGTATATATATACAACAATTACTTTCGCTGTATTTTTCTGAAATGGATGGATTTGGGGGTCAGAATTTTATAGCAAATATTGTTACACAGAGCTGTTTAAAATTTTGTGTTCATTGATGCCGGAAAAACCATGAAAAAAAATGTTGTTCTTGTATTCTGGTTCCCTGACATACCGTAGATGTCGGTGAATGGTCAGGTCAGGGAACCAGACTAGCTGGCTTGCACTCGTTCATGGATGTGTAACCAATTGCAAACAAAATGTGGACTAGTACATTTGGTAAATTGGGGACAGTATTTGGGGAAAAAAGTCACTTTTTTCCAAAGATGGTCGGCTGACCATCGTTGGAAATTGATACAAAAATTTGACTTTTCTTGAAAATGACAGCACTACAGGTGTCACGCGTTCACAGGATGCTTGAGACTATTACATGGGTATACAGTCAAGTAAGGTGTTTCATAATAATTGGATAGTTTTAGTTTTTGATGTTTGCAAATGATGTACTACCTTTAATTTTAAGTCCTTTTTGGTTGTCTGTCCTGGCTGAGTGAGGACAGGTCTCCCAGTCTAAACAGCCTTTCAAGCGAAATGAATCAATCATGAGGCAGACAGCAGTCGTGTTAGGTTGGCAAGTGCTCACTTAAAAGCCTGGACAGATTGGTGCTAACCTGGCTGTCTGCCATTTAATGGAAATCTAAAGAGCCTCTCTGCATATGGACGGACTCATGTTGATGGACACCTGAGACTTGCATACATGTGTGTACAGTCGAATCTCGTTAGTACAAACTCTGTTAATACAAATTTTTGGTTATAACAAACATAAAGCCTTAGTCCCGACTGTGCATTTATGTGCACAATGAATGGGACTGATGTTCCTCTTAATACAAAATTCTGATTATAACAAACAATTTGGCTAGGTCCGAACGAGTTTGTATTAACAAGACTCGACTGTACATGCATATTGGGTATTTTATTAGGTCATATCTGTGGTGTTCAGCCATGGGTCTTAAACGTATTAGCACCTGTATTACATTGTATTACATTGTGTTAATTCACTGAGGAAACAATAAAACCTTAGTCAGTGCTTTGGCGGTTTCCACACTACAGTGAGTGCTAATAGGGTGGTTTCGGGCAACAGTGACTAAAGGGTTAAAACACAGCTGGTCGAATGTGCCCGCAACAATTTGGTACATGGCATGCTGACAATGATGTCACCATTAGCAATTTAGCAACCCAACCCCCCCAATTTGTTTTTTTTTTAAATTGTGAGTTCAATGAAACCTCAAATTAAATGCTTCCCATTCCCACTCCCAGTCCACCCCAATCCAATCCCAAGCCCAGCCCAGTCCACCCCAGCCCACCCAACCCTACCTCACACCATCCCACCCAACTCTACCCAACCCCCAAACATGGCAGGAGGATTTTGAAGGATGAAGGAAGGCCGGTATAGAGAGCATTGCCACTTTTACTTTTACATGGGGCACCATGCCCCTTTGACAGGTTAAGTGTAAGTGATGTACCATTGGTGCACTGCCCAGTGGAGGATTTTGGTGGATTTCGGAAGATTACCGGCAAAAACTATGGAGAATGCAGTCTTAATACAGGAAGTGGTTCTGTGTAACCCCTATTACAGAGAGAACCACAGCGAGATCGAGCGACGCCGGCGGAACAAAATGACGGCCTACATAACGGAGCTTTCGGATATGGTACCTACCTGTAGCGCCCTCGCTCGCAAGCCCGACAAGCTCACCATCCTGCGGATGGCGGTCTCGCACATGAAGTCATTGCGAGGTGAGGTCCTTGTTGTTTTCAGTGTTTACCGTACATGTACTTAATCAAAAAGCAGAACATGTATTTTTATCATATACAAACACGGTATTACCTTTTTAAAATTAACTTTTTTATGTAAATCACATGCAATTCAGCTGTGGCTGCTATTCGTGATTTGTTAATAAACTATGTTGAATTGAAATGAATTGAATTGAAAATAGGCAGGGTTCCCAGCCACTCGGGAAATCTGGGAAAACCTTGAAATTGAGTTTCCATTTTTCCAGTCATGCAATTTGGAAAACACACAAACAAAATTAGGGAAAACTCAAGGAATTTGAGGGTGACCCAGTAGGGAAAGTTTTTGCCAGTTTGGCGTGTACATGTACATGTGCGTCTTGCGCCATGTGTCCAAGTTGTGTTCATTGACTGACTGGCTATAGTGGCTTTTTAGTGTTTATGCAGTGTGAATATTACGCACCTCTCCAGAAAATAACAGTTGTATGCTAAAGTGTAACTCTAATTTAATAGGACTCTAAAACACACACTTGTTCACTAAAAGGCCAAACGGAAGTAGCATTAATGGTGCATTATTTTAAGCCCTGTACATGTCTACTTAACCACAAGGCCAGATGGGCTGAAACTTTGTAGGTACATAGACAGGGATGTGTTATACATGTAGGTGAAAATTGAAAACGTTTCTCATGGAATTTTTGAAACTTCTAAGGGAAATATCAGGGACAACTCAGAGTATTTTGTTTTCATACATGTCATAATTCTGATAGACTTCAGACAAGAGCAGTTTCAGATGCTCTGCACACTGCTACAGCTACCGGTATATAGTTACACCCTAATGTCTTGTACATGTACATGATAGAAAAGTTTCATTGAAAATAATTTCTTCAAAGGAACGGGCAACACTAGCACAGCAGGCACCTACAAGCCATCCTTCCTAACAGATCAAGAGTTGAAACATCTCATTCTAGAGGTAAGGCATCGTTAATGCTCTGTTAAAAATATGTGAAAATTCAAGTCAAGTCAGTTACAAGTCATGTCATAAGCTATTCAAATGAACTGTGGTTCATCCCTGGCTACTTATGCTTATACTTGTGATTTCTTGTGATTTGACTTGTGATTGATTAGTGATTGGACTTGAGATGGACTCGTGCTTTGACCTGTGATTTGACTTGTGACAGACTTGTGATTTGAACTTTGATGTACTCTTGATTTGACTTGTGATGGACTTGTGATGGACTCGTGATTTGACTTACAATGGACTTGTGACTTGACTTGTTGTGGACTTGTGATTTAACATGGTGATGGACTTGTGATTGACACATGATTGACTAGTGCTTGGACTTGAGATGGACTCATGCTTTGACTTGTGTTTTGACGTGTGATTTGGCTTGTGACTGACTTATAATTTGAACTGTGATGTACTCATGATTTGACTTTTGAGGGACTTGTGACTTATGATGGACTTGTGATTTGACTTACGATGGACTTGTGATTTGACTTGTTGTGGACTTATGATTTATCCTGTGATGTACTCGTGATTTGACTTTTGAGGGACTTGTGACTTATGATGGACTTGTCATTTGACTTACGATGGACTTGTGATTTGACTCGTGATGGTCTCGTGATTTGACTTATGATGGACTTGTGATTTGACTTACGATGGACTTGTGATTTGACTGTGATGGACTCATGATTTGACTTGTGGTGGACTTGTGATTTGACTTGTGATTTGACTTGTGATTTGACTTGTGATTTGACTTGTGATTTGACTTGTGGTGGACTTGTGATTTGACTGTGATGGACTTGTGATTTGACTTGTGATTTGACTTGTGATTTGACTTGTGATGGACTCAACTGTAAAGAAAAGAAAAATTGTATTGGAGAATAAGATACCCATAATGGTCCATGTGTGTGTTATTCTTCACATTTTTGTAGGCAGCAGATGGATTCCTGTTTGTAGTGTCATGTGACAGTGGCCGGGTCATCTACACATCCGATTCTGTCCTTCCAGTCTTGAACCAAACGCAGGTACAAATCCTAATTTCCTTTTGAGAAGCGGTATTTAATTTTTTCACATGTCCATGCCAATGCAATGTGGATTTTGTGTTCAGTGTCTCAGTCAAAAGTGAATTAGTGTTGTACTGATTTTAAAGATAAACAAAGAAATTGACTGGAGCAGGTTTGAACCTGTGACCTCCAAGTAAGCCATTTGCGAGTTAAATTTGAATAAAATCTGGAACGCTGACTTAATCCAATGCTTTGCGCGTTTTAACTTTGCATTCTCCCGACCAAAGAGACTGTTACTATATCATGTGATTCGGGGCAAGCCTTATGCTAGCACCCCCCAGCTCCGGCATGGTCTGGTGTCTTTGTGCCATTCTCACCCATTGTGAACAATGTATTGGTGCTGAGCGTCTGTTAGGTAACTATGCAAGGGCTTGCCCCAAATCATGTGATTAGCAACAGTGCCTTTGGTCTGGGGAATTCAAAGTTAAAATGTGCCAAGCATTCTGAGCAAGTCAGTGTACCAGATCTTTTTTTCAAATTTAAATCTCAAAGGGTATAGGTCACTCGCAAATAGCTTATTGCCTTACTGGCACTCTACTAACTTTGTATTGCTGGAAAATATCAATTCAAAACGAGAATCTATATTTTTGGGGGTTGGAATTCAAACATAGCTGACTTGAGCCATGACTTGGTTGTCCTTGTTTAGACTGACTGGGTTGGGACGTCCGTTTTCGATCTGATCCATCCTGACGACGCGGATAAGGTCAGGGAGCAACTCTCCACGACAGAGTCTCCGACCAGCGGCAGGATCCTGGACCTGAAAAGTGAGTCAATAGAGGGCGCTAGAGAGGCACACATGACCGAGTTGAAATAAGAACTATTTGTGCGACAGCCAGACAGCTTTCTGAACCTATAGTTATATTTGATTTCCCTAGGCCTAGGCTATGTAGACTGTGTTCGCAAAATCAAAATAATAAGGGAATAAATGTGTGCTCCGGAGGTTTTTATCACTCTGTTTAATACCACTTAGAGTCTGGGTGCTGATAATTACCCGAGCCGGAGGCGAGGGTAATTATCAGCACCCAGACTCTAAGTGGTATTAAACAGAGTGATAAATACCGACGGAGTACATATTTATTCCCATTCATAAATACCTTTTCGGTAAAAAAAAATCATATAATTTATTCAAAACATCCCGATTTTGTTTAACAAATTCACTTTATGCTTTTTGAATCATCCCTCCTGCAAAATAATGGAGTGTTCAGCTGGCGAGTAAGATGAAAACAACCCTTTTATGGAGATTGACGCGCGCGTATCATGTTCTATGCGATGTCGCGCAGAACGCACCTGGCGCGTTGCGTTTTGAATTTAGAACTATAAAATTCTAACTCCCTGGTAGTGTTGCGCATGCCTACGTGAGGATTGTGAACGTTCAACCAATGAAACGATAAGAGGCACTGGATTTTTAGGAGTCCACATTTTATTGTGACACTGGAAAAGTGTTTAAGACCAGCTAGCCATGTCTTTATCATCCGTTTAATACCGGCCACGTGACGGGCTCTCGACCAATAGGAATGGCTAAACTGTCTGAGGTATTTATGAATGCAAATTAAAACATAAAGACTGGTTGAATCCTCCGCTGATTAAATCATAAAAAAAAGAAATGAGAATCTGAAACAAATGTACATGGTTTATTACCACTTGTATTTACTCATTGGTTGGATCGGATCAAAATGAACCCGCCGCTGTTCGCTTTGTACTAACAATCATTTTCCTTTTCGTCTTCTTTCAGCTGGGACAGTAAAGAAAGAGGGACACCAGTGTAAGTGTATACGGTTGAAATGAATATATTTGAAACAAAAGAACACAGTTTGTGAATATGCAGGTATCTCTTAATTGATTTTGGAAGATTTAAGTGCGACGGGGTGATTGGGAATAAATCTCAGGAATCTGCAAAGATACATAGAAACAATACAGTTTCAGGAGCTCGGAGGCCGTTCCCCGTTGCACATAATTAATACATGCGTAAGATCAGGGGTTAAGTCTAGGGAATAACGGAGAGCGTATATTTTCCTCTATTTTTTTAAACTGAAAACACCACTACATCATGATGTCCACTTCACACATAATAACAGCCAAAGTTGATCTGTGGCTGAATTTTTCAAAATCTTGGCTTCGGTATCATCTTGATCTCTTGTTCCAGAAGAGTTTAAAGACTTTACTATAAAAAAAACACTCCAACCTTTGACGTCAAATAACAGCATTTCCCCCTAAGTTTCATGAAGGCAAACTGGAGATAGAGCTGAAGTTTGGACAGTCCTGTACATTCCAGATTACAGAAAAAAAAACTATTTTCTAAAGAATGTGGCAGAAATTTTGTGAGGCTGGACTTGACCAACCAATATTTTGAAAAGAAATAATGACCTATAGATGGAATTTAAAGAAAGGATTATTTTGGAATTTTTTTCGGCGTTTGTGCTCCCTGTTTAGCCTCCATGAGGTTCTGCATGGGTTCCCGCCGCGGTTTCATCTGCCGCATGAAGTACGGCAACGCCCAACTTGACCCCATGACCATGGGTCGCTTCAACCACGTGCGCAATCGCAACAGCATCGGATCGCCCAAGGACGGCGAGCAGTACGCGGTGGTGCACTGCACAGGGTACATCAAGAACTGGCCCCCACCAGCAGGTATTTACGTGAATTACATGTACCCCGAGGACAGATAGACAAAGGGAGAACAACAGATTCTTTGTTGTCCTCGAGAGTTCATCGAGTAGTAACTTACATTAACAGTAAAACCCTTAAGGGGGGGGGGGGCTGCCCCCCTCAACTTTTTCCACAAAAGCTTTAAAAAAAAACTTTCACGACCCGAGCTGTTCTGAGTTTTTAGCCTCGAGCCTTGCGCATCTTTTGATACCAAAAACATAAAAATCGGACCACGGGTTGTCATGCAGCAAAAGATTTTCCGTCGCTACACGCCGTGAAAACTGAATTTCCCCATATACGTAGTGTATACAAAGCAGAATTACCATTTTTGCATATGAATAATTAATAAGCCATCATTCCAAAACCCTTGGTCATGAGATTTCTTGGGTATGTTCATAATAAGTAGTTTTATGCATGTACCGAGTTGCAACATTTTTCGTCACTCAATGGCCGAGATCTTAGGCTGAGAGATGATCAAAATAGCCTGGCCCTTTTTAGGATTAAGGTCGTAGTATGATGGTTTTATTCTTTGCTTGAAATATGTGTAGGCAAGGCCAAAAGCGGCCGCTGCATCAGATGTAAACAAGCAGTGTTTTGAACATTTATCCATGTAAATTAGTTTAAGATGTGGGCTTTTTGTTACTCAGATTTGAAATACAGAAAGTAAGCAGTCTAAAGCAATGAATTTTGGCACTCTGCAGACTAGAGAATACCTTTAATTTCCGCACCTCTTGCACCCTCCGTTTCAATATTTTCTCCTTTCATTCCCCCCCACCCCAGCTTCTGTTGTCATGGACCAGCCAGAAGCTGATTCCGAGAGCCACGGTAACAACCACTACTGCATGGTTGCCATTGGCCGCTTGCAGACTACCAGCACACCAAACTGCTCTGACATCGGAGGCGCGGGCACGCCCAACGAGTTCATCTCTAGACACCAGCCTGACGGCAAATTTACCTTTGTTGACCAGAGGTACATTCTGAATTAAACAAGAATTGTAAAAAAAAAAATCTACAAATGTACATAAGAAAAGATTTTGAGGAATTTTGTGTTTTTATAATTCATTGAGACTTGAGACACTTAAATATCCCTTTCTCACTGTAACGTCATCAGGACAGTAGCCATGGGCGTCGCGAGGGGGGGGGCAAGGGGGGCACTTGCCCCCCCTGGAAAAGCAAAAAAAAAAAAAAACAGGAAGAAAAAAAGAAAGAAAAAGAGGCGCGAAGACAAAGTGGTGTAAATTTAATGAGTTGGGGGGGGGGGGGGGGCAAAATGTCCCTGCCCTCCTCTAAAACTAATAAATCGAGAATGTGTTGAGAAATACAAGCATTTTTTGGCCAAAAAAAATGTGTTGCCCCCCTCTAGAAAAAATCCTGGCGACGCCCATGACAGTAGCTCACAGGATGGTGTGATCTTAAAGGCTGACTTTTTCACATTTTTGGTTGCCAGGGTAACGGGAGTTCTAGGATACCAACCCCAGGAACTTCTGGGCAAGTCCAGTTATGACTACTACCATCCTGAGGACCAGGCTCATCTGAAAGACAATTTTGAACAAGGTATGGAATCAAAGACAATACGTTATTGCACTTGACTCCAGAGTCTAGTCAATGGAAAATTAATACATAAAGTTCACCCGTCTAAAAACTGAAATCTATATGGTTTGACTAGAGTCCTTCAGAATGCTTTTGGGATCAGCTTGATTCTAGAGCCCCCCTCGGTATGACCTTGCGACCACACAGAATAGTTGGTGTCTGACTTTTCAGGATCAAGCCGCGCCTGAGCTACAACGTCAGTAACATTTTTTGCGACCTGAGTGTAACTGCAACAATATTAAGACGATCTGCATCAGTCGCGAGAGGAGAAAAATTTCAAGTAATGCGCTGCGATGGAACGTTGGTACCGACAGTCGGGAATCGATCGCAGTCGACTTGTGTGAACTCATGATGTTGTGTGTGCTTCCAGATCATGTAATTTTATCGTGAATCGTCGTCGCGTCGTGGGTGACATGAGCATGGTTGCTATAATCCTGTGTGGAGATGCGGCTTGTTCCACGATAACAACACAATTTCTCAGTTTTGTGAACTGAGCTTAACTTTTCTGCTTGATGCCGACGGTTCCGTCGCGGCGCAAGAAAATCGCAGGTCAACCCTAGTCCAGTTTACAACGCCATTTTGAAATTGTTTCAACCCTTCATTTCTACCTACCCTTTTTTCCTTGACAGCTGTGAAGTTGAAGGGTCAGGTGCGGTCCTTGATGTATCGCTTCCAAGCCAAGAACAGAGACTGGGTCTGGTTGCGGACCAGCTGCTTCAGCTTTCAGAATCCTTACACGGATGAGGTGGAGTACATCATCTGCACAAATGCATCCATCAAGTAAGCATTGAACATTCAGAAAAAAACCGTTCCATACCAGTGTTGTCGTCAAGTCCATCACAAGTCTTCATTAGTCCTCACAAGTCCTCACAAGTCCATCACAAGTCCTCATAAGTCCTCAAAAGTCCTCACAAATCCTCACAAGTCCTCACAAGTCCTAACAAATCTTCACAAGTCCTCACAAGTTCATCACAAGTTCATCACAAGTCCATCACAAGTCCTCACAGATCATCACAAGTCCTCGCAAGTCTGTCAGAAGTCCTCACATGTCCATCACAAGTCCTCACAAGTCCCTCACAGGTCCATCAAAAGTCCTCCAGTCTCAATTCATTTTACAAACTGTCCAGAGAGCTGTGACGTAAGCATTCCTTTTTTTTGTTCATCCAAGTTACTTATGACTGGACTTAAGAAGGGAGTTGTGATTTACTTTTTACCAGACTTGTGACGGACCAAGGATGGACTCGACTACAACACTGGTCAATACATCTAAAGGTTGTTAATTGAAACCTTGGTGTTGTTTATGGCTCAGCTTCATCGTTGGCTTCAAGCCTTTACTGTGCAAACTCAATAGAGATACTCAATATTAGGTTTTGCCCTTTATTGACGTATAAACACTGTATACTCAGTCTGTAAGCTCCTGAGTGAAAGTGAGAAAAAAAAGCACTCGGGTGGGACTCGAACCCACGACTTATACACTGAGTATACAGTGTTTATACGTCAGTGAAGGACAAAACCTAATATTGAATTCACATCACCCCCACACAAATTCCATCTTTTGAATACATGGAGATGCTTGGGAATGATGACAATGTATTATAGGCTTAGGTGCTCCTGAAGCTGTGTATGGTCAGAGTCCCAAAAATTAGGGGCTAAAATCTCCTGATGGCGATGAAGGCCCCCCCCCCCCCTGTTGTATTTGTAATATTTTGATAATGCAAGCTGGGGAGAATTTAAGAGAAGATGCCGTGGCCTTGTCTTCTGATGCATCAAACTTAAGATCTTGTGAGTTATTTTTGAGATGTTTAATTCTGTGTCGTTCACCCCTTATGTTCATGTGAAGAGCAAAACCCAATTTTACAGTTTGTATGACCGCTTATTCGAATGGCATTTTTATACAGAAATATCCAGCAGCCGCATGCTGGTCAGGATCTTGAATCCTCCACGGCCATGGGAGCTAAGATCAAAGGCCCTGGGGAGCCCGTCCCCTCCCTGACCCCCTACGGTGCCTACCCCAGGGGCAACACCGCCACCGAAACCCTGACAGACCGACACCAGGGGGCGACAGACAAGAGCTCACAGGAGTGCAAGTCGGAGCCCGTGGCCCGCTTTCAGGCAGACAGTGGCAGTGCGGGGGGAGGGGTGTACGGGGGTGGGGTGATGTCGCCCCCGCAGATGGCCGGGGGTACCGCAGTGGCTGGGGACAAGCAGAGCCGATCGCTGGGCGGCGGGGGGTTCAACTCGAGCTCCTACCCTCAGGTGAGGGCTCCCCAGTCGTACGTTAGGCCAGAAGAAGCAGCAGGTGGTTCCAAGGGCCTGGGTGTGATGGAAGATCCCACCAAGAGCTACAGTCAGACTGCGGGCTCATGGACTGCACCGCAGTATAGCTCACAGGTTGAGGTGAGTACTTGTCATGGCAAAATTTCATCAATTGGGAACTGTTTTAAGTGGTATTTACAGAAGTTCATGTACAACAACAGAATAGACTCCTCATAGTACGTCAGATCTTGTAATAGCGTGGTCTAAGATTGTGAGATTTGATTTGTTTTAGGACAGTTCACATGACGTCTTACTGAAGTTCATGTGTGACCATTTGATGGACTCTGCGGGATAAACCTCCTTGAGCAGTCTCAAGGACTTGCAATTGTTACTCCCACTGAATAACACCACACATTTCGAAAAGACCCTTTAAGGAGTTTTCAATTCTTATATTTGCCACCTTGACAGACTGCACAGCGTAGCGAGAGGTTAAACGTGCCCACCACCAGCCAACCGTCATCCTTTGGTCAGGCGCCCAGTAACGTGACGTCCTCCCCAGCACCCACGTACACCCAGCTGCAGACGTCCAGCGGCCGGAACTCTGGCTACGCCTACCAGCAAGACAAGGGAGTACAAGGTACGAGATGTCACAGCCAATTTTTAAAGAGGTTGTGGAATGCTCGAAGACATTTCCGTCATTTTTTGGGTATAATGTAGCTTAGGGTGTGATGAAATAAAAACGACTATTGTGTCTGTCATGAAATGAGTACAAAAGGTAATTTTGAGAGCTGTTTTTCAGGTCCTGTTTCGACCCAAACGTGCAATTTGTGTAAAAGTCGTCATTGAGGGCAGCAAACAAAACATAGTAAATCGTTACGTAATAAACAGGACTCCCGATGCACCGTAGTATAAACGAGTCCTGTTTATTATGTTTTACTATGTTTTGTTTGCTGCCCCCAACGACGACTTTTACACAAATTGCATGTTGGGTCGAAACAGGACCTGAAAAACAGCTCTCAAAAGTACCTTTTGTACTCATAACAAATGCAGTTGGGTCCACAAAAGAGCGTTCAAAATTGTTGTTTGTTGAAATTACAATTTCCAGTTTTTGGCTGAATGGACTGGTATAATTGGACAAAAGATTCAAGAACCACTTTGATAACTGACGTCGCTACCCAAATATTTGGTTATTAACAAGTTCCCCTTTGGATTAAAATGTTTTGTTCAATTATTGTTCAATTATACCAAATATTGAAACAAATTTCTACTGCATCACGATATTCTAGTCAACTAGAGTAGTCCAACCAGTATGCTTTCCAGTGAAGTTAGTTCAACTGTGGTTAACTGTTTTTCCTTAAAATGCTTTGATTTTGGGCCCACTCAGGTGCCAACTCCCAGCTGCCCTACAGCAGCCGTCCCGACACACAGCAACACCAGGCGTCCGTTGGGCGACAGCAATGGCAACAATGGCAGCAGCAGCAGTCGGCCACCGGCGTGGCAGGCACCGCAGCCAGCGGTCAAGAAAACCAACAGCAGCCGGCGCCCGAAGAGTTCCATGACATCTACCGCATGCTGGAGGGCCAGCAGACTGCCCAGGCCTACGGGAGCCAGGTGGAAGAGTTCAACGACATCCCCATGTTCCCCCCGTTTTCGGAATAGCTCATCTAATGTCCCCCCCCTGATTTTGGAAAAGCTCATCTACGGCGAGTGATGATAAAAGCAGGAAAGGACTACACAAACATTTGTTGAGGATTGTTTAACAAGGATTGCAGAGTCCTTTATATATATATATATTGGTGTGATACTCTGGGCTTAACAGTGACAAGTGTTTGAGAGAAGGAGCATGATTGGATGTTGCTATCGGAGGTGCTGATTGGTCGATTGTTTTTATCGACCTAATTTGTGATCGCACTTTGACCTCACTTGTGATAGGACGCACGATTGACTAACTTCGACTCTATGGTTTACAGTTGATACTGTGTAAGAGAAGGAGCATGATTGGGTGTCACTATCGGAGGTGCTGATTGGTCAGTTTTGATCTTAGTTGTGATTTGACTTTGCATAACTTATATTAGCGTAGCATTTTGAATGCCTAGCAAATTTGTAAAAGCAACTTTATCCTAGATTTTTCTGTAAAAATCAACATCCGTGTAGAATTTCGGTGTCAAAGAGCTTTTTTTTCCTGAGCTTGAAATGGATAGCCACTTGTACAATTTTTTATTTGAATTTTGGTGCATTCTGGATATTTATGAAGGTACAAAAAATTCAGCACAATATACAACAAAAGTTTTTTTTTATCAACTGTTGCCTTTAGATAGCGTGGTCTTACTTAGGAAATGTAAAAAAAAAAAAAAGTATGTATGCCTAGTTCTGTTTTATGTTTAGAGTATGGGGTCTGCACAAAATTTGTATTGTAAATTGCAGTCTTAATGTGTTTTTTTATTGAACGAAGAATCCCAAAGGTTCAACCATGTTCTGTAATTATTGAAAATTTTGCAGAGCATGTAGCCCTTTTAAAAAACCTTATTTGTCAGCTCTAAAAGAGTTTTGTATCTTGGTTCCCAGCACAAATCAGAACAGTGTTTTTTTAACAATGTTATTTGTTTCCATGTTGATTAGTTAAGGGAAGTATAAAAGCAAACTGAGTTTGTGGTTGTTGCAAGGGAAGGAGCAGTAAAATTGCTTGTTAAGTTATTTTGATGCATTTGAGGGATTTTATGGAGTGATTTGAAAGTATGTTGGATGGAGAGGTAACAGATCGTAGAGGTTTTTGACAGGAGCATCAGTTCTCTGATTCTAACTTAAAGGGAAGATACAACATTTGCAAACATCAAAAAACGAAATGATCAAATTATCACGAAATACCTTACTGGATTGTTAGGGAATGGCAGTCTAAAGCATCCTGTAAAATCGTGGCAACTGGTATGCTGACATTTTCAAGAAAAAGTGTATTTTTTCAACGCTGGTCGGCCGACCAGTGTTGGAGAAAACTGGCTTTTTTTCAAAAAGTGCTCCTGAAATTTCATATTTAGTTACTCCGCACTTTCTTTGCAATTGATTACGCACCTGTGAAGGAGTACAAGCCTGCTAGACTGATTGTCTACCCTAACAATCCCCAAAGTCTATATATTGCTCCATTTCATCTTAAGTGGGGTCAGGGAACCAGACTATAAGAACATGATTGGTTTTCTTGGTTTTTCCAGCATCTATACAAGCTCAAAAGTGAAACAAGTCAGTTTAACAACATTTGCTATAACATACTAATCCTCTAAATCCATTTATTTCTAAAATTGCAGCAAAAGCAAATGTTGTACATTCCCTTTAAGAAAATTGAAGTCGATTGCCTTTTTTTGTTCTTTGACTTTGGATGCCCTTGAAACCATAGTCGGCCCTGGTGGCCATGTTGGTCATGTTCCCAGACTTTCAAAAACTTAAAGGCAATGAATTGAAAATGAAGACTGGGAATCAGCCTATTTACGATTTGTTTCTTAAATTTCATCGATTTAAGTTATATAAGAAAATTTATTCCAAGACGTTATATTTATTTGAGTCTTGAGTTTATTTTGATATTGTGATTTTGGTTTACAGACATAGACTGCCTAGATTTGTTTTTAATTTACATGTTGAGCCAACTCTGTCGTAAAGCAAATATGGACATAACCTAAATGCTGGGGCGTTGCAGGGGGAGGGGCAAGGGGTCACCCCCATGAAAGTGAACAAAACCCCAAATAAACTGTTGAATTTCATGTGTGTTATACTCTAGAAACTGCTCTAACAGACCTAAAACAAATATGTCTACACGTTTTTGAACAAAGCATTAAATTATATCCAGCCTCCACCCTTTCGATTTTTTTCACTGCCGGTGATTTCCGTAACCCCCCCCCCCCCTACAAAAAATCCTGGCAAGGCCCATACCTTAGTGTTAATAATAGAATTTCATTAAAACAGTCTGTCTGAAGTATTTATTTTAGTTCATTTATGCCAGTAAAAGACCTCGGTTTGTGTACTAACTTGGTCTTGAATTTTATTTACCCTAAAGTGTCTAACATTTATCCACATTTGGGGCATATTTCTCCCAGCAATGAGCCAGATTTTTATGTAAGCTATGAGCTTGAGTATGTTAGCTGTTAGGACGCGTGATGATGTTCGTGTTTTTTTTTCAACATACAGTATTAAACCAGTGTGAACACTGTTTAAAGTATATGTACAGAATCGGGGTTTCTGAGATATTTCTGTTGTTTGTTGCTTGTCTTGAATGTCTTCTCTTTCTGAATTTGTCTTGTGTTTGCATGCTCTCTTGCAAACCAGTGAATAAAATGTGCTCAATGTTTCACATATAACTTCACGTGTGTTATTCATTGGTGTAATTGCATGGGATCAAGTGGTGGGGTGGGCGGGGTGTTCTTCATTCTCTGGCAGAGGGCGTTCCATGTTTGTTCATGGTTTCAAATTCAAACAGGACAAAGTGTGTTTCTGTCTTGTTCTGTTCCCTTTAGTCTAGCCACTGGTGATGTCATTCAGAATTTATTTTTGGAGCACGGTGGTGTGTTGAGTTCAACTTCTCCCAGGTCTTGTTTAAATGATAAGCCCGTTCAATTCACACGGCGGCGCTTTGGTAATAACGGGTCCCTTGCGATGACATAATGGCATGAATATCATTAACGCACGGATACAATGCACCGTGTGAAATGTCACCGACTTGATTTCCCCACCCGGCTCCGCTTTTACCGTGGTGAACCATGGGTTTCATAATATTCGATGCCTTTTTGTCCCTGTTTTATTCAAATTGTTCATACCAGACTCACACAAGTATATGTAGCGCTCGAGGCCGGAGGTTAAATCTACATGCACGATATAGGAAGCACAAAGCATCTAATCGCAGGTTTTTGACCATCCCAAGGGCAATGAACAACACGTATCCAAACCATATACATGTAATCGCTTGTAGTGAATATATCCAGTTTCATGGACCATCTAAAAATGCTGGGGGAAAGGTAGCAGGAGTTCGACTAACACCAAACGCACGTCTGTCCGCGTCACAATTTTTATATCACAATCACAGGAACAACATTATAGTTGTGACGTGGGGAGAAAACGTACGTATAGGTGTTACTGTAATATTTAGCATTCGAATATTAAAAACGAGTAAATTTGAACTTCGACCGTACACGGCTCTCAGTGTACGTATGCTTTGTACAATTATTCATACAGCCTTGAACTCGTTGGCATGCTTGTAACGCGCTTTGTATTTGTGTATAGTGCAGTGTCAGGAACTAAGAGAGCATAATGTGGGACCCTCAGTGCTAGCCTAAAATGGCGATCAGGCAGGCACATTGGAGGTGTGTTTTCTATCTAACCCTGCCTCTTGTGCTAGCATCCAACTTGATCGGCGACGATCCTCCAGTCGCGACTACGAGTCAGGGTCGCATCATCGGTACGAGGCTCGAGTTCAGCCCCACGGACCCCAAGCTTCGCCGTAGCGTGGACGCCTACCTCGGTATACCGTACGCTGAGGCTCCCGTGGGCCCGCTACGCTTCAAGCCTCCCGTAGCCAAGTCGTGGAGTGGGGAACTACAAGCTACGAAGCTCGGCAATCGCTGCCCGCAACCGCCATTTAACTTCGGTTTCACGACAGTTCGGGGAACTTTCAATGAGAATTGCCTCTTTTTGGATGTGTTTGTTCCCCAGCATGCTGTAAGTTTAATTTGAAATTTTGTTTAGCCGAGGGGGGGGGGGGGGGGGTAACATAAAGGGCAGCCTAGTAATCAAGGGTTCTGTACTCGTATAACATTCAAAAGGTGTTTAACCCTGAAAGCCTGTAAAAAAAAAAAAAAATGAAAAATAACACACAAATTTCAAAGTAGGCTACAATTAGACTTTTGTGGTTTATGTGCTATTAAGTTGTACGTCGGTGAAGGCGGACTGACGAACACTATTAATAATTTTATATAGGCCCGGCACATAATCGTACGTTGATCATCATGGCGATGCTTATATACTTGCGCAAAGAGATCATTAGATTATGTCGCCAAGTCGCAATGGACTAGTTTCATTCGCTCTTAGTAATCTTGAAACTTTGAAAGCAAGAATGTCAATTCTGGAACTTTTCCTTTTATATTTCACGCGTTAATTAGCCAGCCAAAGCCGCCGTTCTTGTGTTTCTTCATGGAGGCGCTTTCTTCCTCGGGGCTGGCACCATTGAGAGGACGCCACCAACGCCCATCGCTGCCGTCGGTGACGTCATCGTGGTCACTCTCAATTATCGGCTCGGAGCCCTCGGATTTCTCTCCACCGGTAGCCTACGTTGTGCTTGCTATATATGATAAAGGCATGACCCCCCCCCCCCCCACCCTCTCAGAAAAGGAGAAAAAGCAAAACATCACGAAACAAAATCATTAACCAAACTTAAGTAAAATTCAGTCATCAAACCATTTTTGGTGGCCCCTAAGGATGCTATTCGCACTTGAAAAGGATGAAAGATTTGAAGAAGTTGACGCCGAGGAATGAAAACAGAGGAAAGACGGTTACCGGTGCCAAATAGTGTCCTCTCATTAGCATACTGCATTCTGAATGGCCATGCGGCTATGACGTCACATTGTTGACGGAAGCTTGTGCCAAATAGTTCCGCGCTTATATATACATGTACATTTTGAATAGCTTGCGTTCTATTATGGCGTCCGTGCGATCAGTTGCTTTCAAGACGTTGTGAATGAAATCGTTTTTCATGTACTTTTTCTTTTATGATTTGTTTCAACTATAACTTTTCTATCTGTTATTATGACACTGATTTATATAATTCGTTTTGACTCGATGTTTCTGACATTTAAACTTGCATAAGTTTGCTAAAAGCTTTCTTTTTTTCGTGTCATGCGTCATTCACCCTTTTTCGAAACACGTGCACGCATGCGTATGTAGCGTAAATAGTGGTCAATTTACGAATGATTCCTCTCTGCTAAATATTAAATAACGGTTTCTCTCACATTTTGTAGCACCATTTTATACAAGAGTGGACAGTATTTGGCCAAAACAAACAGTATATGCCATGGGCCTATTAGACATGGACATTAACCACGCTGTGTACTATACTGAAATGCCTGCATGAGCGCTCGGACTATTTTGCACCGGACAGTTTTTGGCGTGACAACGGAAGAGAACCGTTTTAAGTATACCATGCCCAAACATCATGTTACAACTTCCTAATAATTTAATGGAAAAACACACGGGATTTTGTTTGTTTCAGACGATGACGTCATTCCGGGTAACATGGGCCTTCTAGATCAACGCCTTGCGCTGGAATGGGTCAGGGACAACATCGAAGGTACAGTACCATAATATTGTGTCGAGATCTTATTTTAAATAGTTAGCACATTTTTTTTTTAACTTGTGTTCCCCGTTTTATTTTTGAATTTCATCCCGAAGTTCGTTGCTGTTGTTCTATAGCAATATGGAAGATATTCATTTTCGAATGAGACATCGACCAAAAACAATGATATATATCGGCCCATGATTATTTATTGCATTATTACTTTACAATTGCGAATTATTGACTGCCATACAACAATTTCGTTCTCGCGAGGTAGGCTAGTTCCCGCCCCACAATCACGGACCGCAGTAGCCAGTCTACTCATGGAGCGGATCTGTTTGTGCCAAAACATCACCCATTTTTTCAGAGGGTTGCAAACGTGCACAAAAGAAAAAAAAATCTTTTGGTTGGAACAAAACACACAAGTTGAAAATGTATTACTTCTGTAACTTCTTCTCATTGTCTTCTCTCCACAGGTTTCTTCAGGCTTGCGAGCTACAGTGCCTAGGGCGCTTTTGAGGAATCCTTGGTTTCATTACCAGAAATGATTAATAATAATAATAATAATAATTAAAGGAAATCGTATTTATTGAAGAGCACGGGAACGTAATCACGCGCAATCACGCACTCTGCTCTTTCTTTGAAGCACATTTCTTGGCTTTGGCTATAGATTTGAGGTTTTTACTCACTTTTTTTCTACCAGCTTTTGGAGGTGATCCCGAGCGAGTGGCCATCTTTGGCGAGAGTGCCGGAGCAGCCAGCGTGAGTTTCCACATGTTGTCTCCGGGAAGTGCCGGCCTCTTCCACGCTGCCATCATGGAGGTAATTTTACTCGCGTATAATATAAAAAAAGAATGATATAATGTCATCATGTTCAGGATCTCAAGGGCTTGTTTATATTGTCAATGCACAGTCCCAACTTAGGAGAAGTTGAGGAAATACAGAAGTGAGGAGACTTCCAAAAAAGAGGAAAAATTTTACGAACCAGACTTTCCAAATCGACATTATAGTCATTGTGTGATGACCGATCATTAGAAGAAAAACAATGACGTTTAGTTAACTACAATCTGTTGTGTTTGAAGACTGAATTTCGTATGAACGAAACACACAAATGGAACATTATTTCTTTGCTTTGAACTTTCCAGAGCGGCGCTCCGACGGTTCCATGGGCGACAGTCCGGGCCGACGAGGCTCGCAGACGGGCCTTTGCTCTGGGGAAGCTGGTCGGCTGCAAGCGAGAAACATCGGGGGAGTTGCTGGCATGTCTGCAGAAGGTGAAGGATTTCAACACTTTCGTCGAAAACCAACACAAAAAGGTACGTGGATACGTCAGGTTTGCCCAATGTCATCTTCCTGATGATATGCCAATGTAGTGTCCTCTTTATGGGTGATGTTCAATTTGGTAAAACGCTGAATGCTGCCGTGTTTGATTTAAGATAGATACATGTAGGACTGTGTAGAATATGAAAGGTGAACATGTGTTATAATATAAGGTAAAATTTCAAAAAAATATAGTTCTTCAGTGTATGTGACGTCAGACAAATTCAAACTATGGATTTAAATATACCGCAAAGGTTTTACTATCTCTGTCTTATTTTCTCCCTTGTAGTTGCATCAAGAACTGAACGAGTCTTACATTTTGACTTCTTTCGTGCCGGTGGTCGACGGCAAGTTTCTCCCCCGTGACCCCATCGACCTCTACGAGGAGGGCGCCATCAACGACGCTGCCGTCATCATCGGCGGGAACGCCGACGAGAGGATGCTGCAAGTGATGGCGAGTATCTACCGGGACCACACCGATCGGGCACCCTTTGTCGACAGTGCCTCGTACGACGCCCTCACGCGGGGCACCGTATCGCAGATAAGCGCTGAGCCGATCGTGGCTGAGGCGATCAAGCTGATGTACCGCAACGCCTCCTGCGCGGATGCGCCCGACTGCGACTACCTACAGGCCCTCTCGCAAGTCCTGGGCGACATCACCTACTTGTGCCCCATCGACAGGGCGACAAGGGCTTTTGCCAAGGCTGGCCTGACGGTATACCAGTACCACATGACCCACGCCCCCACGACATCAATGACAGGCACCAAGTGGACAGGAGCAACTCACTTAGACGACCTCTTGTTTGTCTTCGGGTTGCCTCTGATATCTTCAGACGAGTATTCATTCACAGCAGACGAGGCCCGCATGTCGCTGCAGGTTATCAAATACTGGACCAATCTGGCCAAAACTGGGTACAAAAGTAATCCTTACCTCCTACTAACTTCAACGTCTAGCCATATGTGATTTTAATACACAAAGGCGGATTTAGAGAGGGGTCCAGGGGGGTCTCGACACCCTTTTAATGAGCAATGTTTCAAAGGCTTGTGCCCAGTGTTCACTTTTACAAGTCCTCATATCAGCTTTGCGAGATATATGCACAAATGAAGCAGCTTTATTTTCCAAGAGCGCCCACATCACCCCAAACAATATAAATTGGGTCTTCCTTGAAAAAGCCTATATCTCCGCTTATTATTGAACACATAAACCCACTTTTTACCTACCCATAAAAGTAGCTAAGCTATAAAATACTATGGTAACTTTTTCGTCGTTCTGGTAAGTTGATCTCTGCATCTCAACATGTAGAGAAACAGTTTCCTGCTGCATGTGTACCTTTATTATCTCCCTCATCAGAAATCCTAACCTGACAGAGGGGGAGGAGGCAGACTGGCCGGTGTTTAGCCCCCAGGAACTCGCCTACAAAGACCTGTCACCGGCCATGCTGAATGGACGTGCTATCAAAGCCAAGGAATGTCTAATGCTTAACGAGTTCATACCAAAACTCGCTCAAATCGCAGGTTGGTGAATTAAGAATTAATCGCTCATCTCTGGTAATAAGTGTAACATGCCTTCTGTCAAAACAACTTTTAGTTCTAAAATACAGTGACTCTGTTTTCCTATTTCTTTCTACAGTGGATGCTAAGAGATGTCGAGAGAGTTCGTAGGAGGAAGTGGATACGCGCAACAGAAACGAGTCCTAGGAAGTAGATGAAACTTCTTTGTTATATTTGACGGCTTCAATTTGTACATTCTGTGGCCTGACATCCAGGGGAGCTGGCCATTGCCCCCCACTTCCTCAAACCTCCGATTTTTACTTGAACTATGCGATCTGTCTACTGCATGCCGTATTAAATGGATAAGCATGGCGGAGCCTGTCGAACTAGAGCAGTTCAACTATGCGATCTGTCAAGCAATGATCCATATTAGTTGAGGGCGTCTGTGTACTTTATACTACGGCAGTTGCAAGACAGGTTCTTGAAATTGTTCGTACGATATACATGAACATGTATATTTCGATTATTAAATGGTTTCCGCTATTTCCAGCTGTTCCTATAAAAGCACGAAAACAAAGTTATGGGTATACCCCTTTTCGTTCGTAATTTTGCTCCTATCTGGGGAGAGGTGTAATAAATGGGGGCTATTTAAATTTTTGTTTTCTTGTTATTGCGGTGTCAGCACTCTGTTCTGTCAACAATAAAACAAGAAAGTCATTTAAAATGTTTCGTATCTCGTCAGGTCTTTAGTCCATGACTCCAAAGAAATCTGAATTGTTTTATCATCGAGATGACAATTAATATCATTTCAATGTTATCATTCTTTATGACTCTTCTTCGCAAACGTCAGATCATATAAAATCTGAAATCCAGAAATGGTTTCTGGTTAATATGACTTTTATTTTATTAAATACCAGTCAACTGGATAAGTATATACAGTTCCAAAAAAAAAAAAAAAAGTCGTTTCCCGTGTTTTTTTTTTTTATTGGTCAATCACTATAACTGTTTATCATTTCGACTGATCAATTTAACGTACAGTCTACAATTGTATTATTTTATAAAATAATGTAAAATTCAATTTTGCAATTAAATTTGACTTAATTTGCCAGTTCGGACTAATGAGAAAGACTCTTTTGTACTGCTTAACAGTTTACTGTGTGAAGCCTCGATTTAAATTGTTTAATATTTTGCAGTCTATTTAATTATTTGTTCATTTTGAATTATTTCCCAAGGGTAGCTCTGGGCACCTAAAGAAATAATGTTAAAACTCCACACACGGTCAAAACTAATTATTAATACAGCACTTCATAACATTTTAATACAATTAAAAAACTAACGGGGAATTAAATGCAACTAGGAAAATGAAAGAAAAAGGAACATTGGGGCTGGTACCATATTTCAATAGGGGGCGCTGTTCAAATTCGACGATTATTAACACTAGATCAGAATGGTGTACCGTATTTTGAACAGGCGGACATTATAACAGTATAATTTGGGGGGGGGGGTTCGACTTATTTTTTAGGAATTTGTATATTTTTTTTGGACAGCTGGTTTCCCCCCCCCCCCCCCCCCCTCTGGGTATAACAAATAAATCATTTGTGTGAGTCCTGTTTTCCAGAGTTGTCATTATTGTTTTCAAGTTCAACCAGGTTCGCTAATTTGCACGAGATTTGTCACAATTGGATCAAACAACTTATATACTATACACCACCCTTTTAAACACTAAGGCCACGCCCACAAAATGGACAGAAAATAATGAGTGTTGGAATTCTAGAATGTTTTATCTCCTGTCTAAGTTTATTTCAAAGCATAAAAAAGCAGGACAATGAATGTTTAATATGGTTCTCAGTTTCTTATTCCTTGCATCCCCTTTTTAAAAATCAAGCTCCGCTCCCAAATCGGCAACATGATTCCAGGGTGGGTAGGCAGGCGCGGTTCTAGAGCCTATAGTTTAGAGGGGCTAGCAAGGGTGGATCCAGAAATTTTAGTAGGGAGGCGTGCTGAAATGTAGACCGTGTTTTTCTCCGGACACTTTGGCCTCCAAAAATCAATTCCTTTATTTGGGGGGGGGGGGGGGGGGGCTAGACAAAAGTTTGGGGGTGCTAAAGTGTATGTTATCAATTTTGTGACAGTGTCATATGAAAATCCGACTCCTATGAAAATCGAACTCCTTTTACCTATTATTGGTTAATCCCTCGCATGTGACAGTTCACTCTCCCATTATGATCCTAAAAATAGCCTATAATACCAATGAGTCCATATTTCATGGAGTCGAAAATTCACGCTACATCTGTCACTTTAACAGCGCCCTCTAAAAAGTAGCGTTTCTGAAATTTCGGGCTAACTTCGGACTCAAAGTCATGACTGTAATCATTTCGACAGCTCATTACACGTCCAATTCAAGCATAGCAACTGTTACATTTGGACTGTCAACAAATATCCAATGTTTTCCAAGCAGAACAAAGACCCATACCAGTATATTGCGAAAGTGACAAATAACATCTCTGGAAGTGGAAGCCCAATTTCAAACGAATCCGATGTTTGCCAAAAATCAGAAGGTATGCGCATCACACTGTCCAATGCCCACGTACGTGCGCACAGGTGTTGCTGTTTTGTGAGAGGCATGCGAAATGAATGGGATCTGTTCTACTCTTCTGCACTGCACGTGTGCTACAAAGATTATGATTACAATGGAATGGCTGTCATGCTGAAGCCCGCCATTTTTAAAGTTGTCTCGCCGTACGTGAACTGTCGCTGATGGTTGTATCTCTGCTGAAGTGTGAGGTGGTTATGTCCGCCGTCAACCCAATGTTATAAAAACCTGAAAAACTGCAGACGTCCTGCAGACGTCCATGGTGGTCCGGTCGTGAGTATTTAGCTGGGAAAGAATCGCATACCAAGGTTGCGATCATGGCGATGTGCATTCACAAAGCTCGCGGTGTTCGCAATCGCATGCAAGGCATTACCAATCCTGTCGAGTAAACCGGGCGATCGTGTAGTATAGGGCCCCTGTTTGTTTCTATCAAATTAGAATCAAGATTTTTTTTGTTACTAAAAACTGACATTGTTTATGTCAGCCTAAAGCAGACTTCTCTCAAATGCAATGACACCATTTTGATATTTTTAAACAGTTTCTTGGGATAGAAATTACGATTTTCCTACGTAGTTTACTGTCCGGTCGGTGCCGTGCAGCGCGACTGGCGCGTTCACGCTATATCGCGCGGTGATCGCCATCTTTATTTTCGTGTTGCATTTTGTCGTCATAGTCATTTTACCCCAAACTTTCCCTCGAAAATTCAAAACCCTGCCCTCTATCTATGACATACCTGTACATATATTTTTAATGTCGCCAACTATAGCATGACTAGTTTAGGTCAAACATTTTAAGTGGGTTTTGTTCCCTTATAGGAACTGGGCCCATAGATACGCAATCGCCATTAACCGTAGATCTAAGATTTCCAAACTTAAGGCTTTGTAGGTGTTTAAACATTTCGGATGTTGAGCATGTTGAGGAAGTGACAAGCAAGTGGTTACTCACGTACGGTGCATTTTTTTCATGTTGAATCTCTAACACATTTAGTTGGCCTGATCGAAGATTAAACTGATAATTGAACAATTATTATACCAAAAATAGGGCTGATGGCTTTCATGGACTTCATTCAATACTTGCAACATATCTCTCTCTGTAATGTTAGTCTCTATAGGGAGGGTGAAATAATTTTCTAAAGGAAATAATGCTGGGTTTATTTGTTTTTTAATAGGGCCCAAAGAAATATTGATTTTGGTTCGTATAAAACCTCCACTGTTGGGAATACAGTTTACTTGAAAAAATTCCTTGGTTTGAATTCTTCTCCACTATCATGAAAAGATTATTCAAGACATGCTAATTTTATGGAAGAGAAAAAAATAATTCTCTCTATTGAGGGAAACCTGCATGGGTTTGTTTAAGACATTAATTTTTTTTATGGCAGTCCCATAATCCTAATGTAAAAAAGAACCATTGTATGATGTGTTATTGCATAGTTGAGGCAACATGTCCATCATTTTTTAATTTCAAAGTTTGAAGAGTAGGCGTAAGGTAGGGAGTCAACACTGATACCAACAAAGCTATAATTCTGGATTATTTGATTCGCTTCATGTTTTTACATCAATTGACAAATAAGAAGAGTTGCAGGCCAACTTAGAACCTGTTATCTTTTGAAATAATGAATATTTCCTAGGCCGTCTGAAGTATTTTTCAGTTGTGGCCATATATTTTAATAAGAACTTGAATGGAGTGTACATGCAGGAACAAATTCAGGATAAACATTTCCAGGATTCTGGATAGAAATAAACCCACGAATGATTTTAGCGTAAGGTTGATGCAATGGCCAGTTGTACTGTTACATGTTTAATTTTATCGCTTTTAATTCTTACTCTATTTTTGGTCTTTTTTTTTATCAAGCTTTTGTATATGATCAGCTTGGATGGGGATTCAGATTCAGTGAAATTTTTTAATCTATAGGTATTTCTTAATTGTCCTTAAGATTACTTGTTTTTAATAACTTAGCATTCTTTTTTTGTTGTTGTTAAGGTCTTGTCTTTGTTTATTTTTGTGAGGGCCCCAAATGATCAGCTTCTGCTGGATGGGTTACCCTCAATAGAAGATGGTTTGAAATAATTAATGAAAGTTCTGTTCACTATAGGGTGTCACTGGGTACATTGAATTATTGAAAGTATTAAAGCTGAAACAAGAAGCAGAGGGTGAAAATAAACGAAAATCTTCTTTGACAAAATGTAATTTAGCCAGTTAAACTTTGCACATCAATTTACTTCAAGAAAATATCTGATATCAAAAAAGTAATTTCATCCTTTGCAGGCTGAGTGTCAACATTAAACTGAAATCCACAGGCAAAAGGGGAACTACATGTATGTATTGGTGGAGTGAGGAAATTATGGATGTGACCAAATTTACACTTTTAAACATTTAAAATGACAAACAATTCTAAATCTATCTGCAAATTTTTCCTAAACAGTACTTGATGACATTCAAGCTACCAAAAAGTTTATCTTTTTAATGATTTCAATGACAGCCCTCTTTTTATTATGTTACTCGTGTTTTATTTATTGTGTCGATCACGTTGGCCTGCACAATGGGCAGTCGTCAGTCTTTGTGAAATGGCTAAACATTGATTGAAGTGGTTCTTAATATTTGCTAAATATTTAGGAAATGAAATGTCACATCCTTAGAAGACATTGGAGGAGGAGGTCTAAGTAATTGGAGGAGGAAGGGAATCGGAGGTCTGTGGATGTTTGAGCTACTACGTACATGTAGAGGGTAACAGATGTCTCTGATGGTGATGCTGAAGTTTTGTGGAACTATCGTCTGTTTGCTGACCTTCATTGCTTGACAGACAGAGCATGGATGTAGCTGCTTGATACTCATGATGATGGTGTCCCTTTTGGTGAGTGCTGGACGTTCACTGATTTCCTGTGATTCTCCCCATCTGCCATGTGCTCTGTGTTTGTGCTGTCTGGCGTTGAGTTCTCTTGCTGGTGTACCCAGTGTACACCTTCTGCATTCGCAGGGGATGCATCAGGTTCGGTCTTGGAGGCTTGCTTGTCCTGTGGGCTATTGTGGATCTTGTGGGTGTGGAAAGCCCGGATACCTTTGTCATTTAGGAAGTACTGGATGTGATGAGAACTGCCTGTGTTGGGCTGTGTAATAGGGGAGTGAGCCTAGTGGGTTCGACCTTGGGTGTAGGGGACCCTTTGGTAGGTGAAAGACTTTGGATCTTGCGTCTTGAC